GGGTGCATTGCTGTTTTATTCTTTATATTTAATCTTAGTCTTATTTCGGTGGGTGTGCAGAACGTGTTATATTGATGAAATATATATTTTTAAACATAAAAAATAATGTAATTGAAACTGATTAGCTATTTTGAAGATTGGACATTGTAGATACTGAGAATTACATTCGTTTTTGGAATGTTTAGTTTTCAGGACTGGTGCATATAGTAGAGTTGCAAAAATTGCGTATGTCCCCAAGTCATAGACACATTTCTGCCTAAGTCACAGTGCGCCATTATGACGTCACTTAATTGCGTCATACAAATTAACTCAAATCCGGCTACGATAAAAAAATTGAACCATGGCAAATTATTGACACTCAATGGCATAACAATATCATTAGGAAGTTTTGTACGTTTTTCTCAAAACTGCTAAAAATGACTTACGCAATTCGGTTATTAGCGTGACAATATGGCAATGTCTAATCTAACGTTGTGGAGATTGTCATAATATCAAAAAAGCAATAGCGACCATATATTTCGGCACTGGTCATAAAAAGAATCTACAGTATTGGAAAGTCCATAGTGATCTGTTGTCTATTTTATTTCATTTTGATCAAGTCATATAGTGCTCTCGTGAAGTAAAATATAAATGTTAAATATAAAAGGGAAGTATTCTTGTTTTATTGTTATATCAGCTAATTTCAATGACGAGTTTGAAGTTTTAGAAGAAAAATCAAAATGCGATGCTGGAGAAACCCTTCTACGATCTCCTCATTACCGATTCCAACTTTTTGTAACCATCATTGAAATGATCTCACCCCAGTTCGGAGGAGTTCAGGTCGGTGGAGATATTTTGAAACCATTTTTAGTTATCGGGTTAAAATTACAATCATTCATACAATAAATCAACAGAGTTTATGTAACGGGAATATCACCAAACAGAGAATGGATAACAAGGTCACACTTAGATTTTGATAAAACAGTATTCCGCTGTGACTGTCCAGTCATTATGGATGGCGTTTTACACAAATTTATGCTTTATTTCTTATTCTGTATTCAGGCCATTACTATGCATTCAAATTCTGTGCTTCTAAATGCCAGAGTTGCCGAGGAGTACGTTACTTTGGTATCAATGGGACTATTTCTTCAGTGCTTTTTGGCATTTGCTCTCTCCATTGCAAAAGAAGTTTGGCACAGAGAACTTGTTTTCGGTCTATCCATCGTATCTTCGAGTTATATTTTGTTCATTGTCTCAGATAATCTTCGTTTCAAATATCCGAGTTCAAATTTGCTTGTGATTGTCAGCATGTTTTTGATGGTTTTTGGTCTTCAGATCGGTCCATTGTTTTCTGTAGGTATAACTGCTTTGCCGTCTGAACTGACAACTGCAAGCAGCAGACCCACTATCATTTTCTACAGTCAATGTAAGTCCTGGATTGGGGGGGGGGGGGTAATTTCCTTTGTGTTCCCTTATTCTAGCGAGTCATGGTGTTCATTTTCGCTAATTCCATTTTTCGTTCTCATAACTATGCTTATACCATTCGCTATGTTTGCAATACCGGAGACGCATAGAAGAACCTCTGTTGCGATTCAAAGGTCATTTACAAAAAAAGGCACTGCAGTCCGTATCAGAAATTTTCAATATAAGCTTCAACGGGTCTCAGAGTGATGTAAAACTTGGAGAAATGAAAGAGAATGAATGTCAAGACGCGTAAATGATATTTTCTGTTTGTTTGCTTGTTTATTTGATTCATTGAAAGGAAGCAATTTGAACTGATTGAAGCCAACTTTACCCGAAGCTAGTCTGATAGTAATTTGGCCTGACAGTATCTCTTTTGAGATAAAAATCCATTAGGGTTGCATGTGGCACGTCCAATTATCTCTTCATCAATGTTCAATCACGCTACCGCCGTACCCAAAACTTGACATGACGATACAGTACATGATATCTTGTACATAGTTTGATGCATATCATATATAGGATTAGTGTATAAATATAATTTTTTAACCATGTTGCCATGGCATATATCAATATGAGATGAACTGCTGTAAGGCCTGTAACATATTAACGTTTTTCATTTCGGAAGACTTGAAGAAAACATCGTATTGCAGTGGTGATTACGTTTTTTTTTTTTAACAGAAAATCATTTTTGTGTGCCAAAAATGTAAGTTTAGATTGCGTAGCCCTTATGAGGTCTTGTTTTTTATTTATATTTTGGGACCATCAATCCTCCACCCTAAACAAGACTCCACTCTAGCAACCACTGGTGCATAAGGAGATACCATTATTGGGAGTGGGGGAAACTTTCCAGTTGGCACCTCTTTCTACTACAATTCATTGCCGAGACGAGTTAGCGCGCACCGGGTTCGAACAAGAGATAGCTAATCTTTCATTCCAACATAGTTAGTTACAACGGTCAAGCAGCTGCACAGGTTTTTGGATTATGGCTTATGTATCGTAAGTGTAGTTCAATGCAAGCAATTGCCGATCGTGTACACATTTCAAATAACAACAGTAAGTTCCAAAATAATTTTGCTATGTGGTCATTTTCGTATGGTCTATTTTGTTGTCAGTTGTTCTGCTCTCGGGGATCAATGCAGCCGTACTGTTCAAATTGCACAAATGAGTACAATAATTGGATCTCCGCTCTAGGTCTAGGACAGAGGGTTCTCAACCGCCAGTCCGCGGACCGGTGCCGGTCCGGAAGCTTTTTTGCTGGTCCGCAAGAAAATTTCGTTGTTTTCTTGTTTTTATGTCGTCTCAATCGCTTTACCGAAGACGAGGTTGGGTTGGTTTATTACGCAATTTCTCTTTCGCCGTCATATTGCGTCGTCTTTCGCGACATCGTTGCGACGTCTTCCGCGATATTTTGGCGCCAATAATGCACTTTTCGCTTTTTCGGCTCCAATTCATCGCGAATGCGCTCAATCGAATCTCGCGAGATTCAAAAACCTAAAAATCGGCACGCGTGCTTTTTCTGTTCTGCGTGATTTTCCTGATTAACATGACCATCCATATAAAACGTTATGCATATTTCTTTGTTTAAACCAGAAAACAGTCAAGAACAGTATAATATTCCAGTAAGACATAAACTTGTTCCGGCCTTGCAGGTGGTCACGAGACGCACAAAAAGCATGAGCCGCAGAGATTTTTTCCCGTATTTTGAGCAGGCACAGTAGGATTTTGATCCTGGTGCCAAGTTACCGACAACTTTGTCATTGTAATGTATTTTCATTTCGTTTGAGGCGTCGATCAACTGCACAGGGATAAATATGATAAATCCGATAAAAAAGAAAAAGATTGATTAATATTTGTGATTCTACTTTACAGTCCAGATTTAAAAAAAGAATCACTGTCACAATTTTGGATATCTTTTGATAACGAAAACCTATCGTAAGTAATCGAGCACTCAAACTGTTGTCCGTATTTTCAACCAGTTACTGCGTTATGCAAAAAAAACATTTTCACTAGCTTTAATTAAAAAGAAGCAAAGAAATCGGATGCACGCCGATGAAGAGCTACGTGCTGCAGAAACTTCTTTAAGGCCTCGTTTGCAATCCTATATTGGAAACGAAACAGCAGCAAAATTATCACTAGAGTTAATTGTGTTTGTACATGATTTGGCTTGTACATGTTTTTTATGTTAGATGTTTATGTGTGCCTTTCTGACGCATAATGGGTGCCCAACGCTGCATTTTATTACGCAAATATATGGTGTTGTTTTCCGTTTCACCCATTTCAATTTTTGGCCACATTATTTGATAGTTTTTCTTCGTGTGAAATGTTTTAAGTGTGCCTTTTTGTCCAGAAGCATATTGAGTGTCTGACACTGCATTATATTACGCAAATTCATGTTATTCTTTTCTAATCCGGCCATTTCAATTTTTGCCGGTCCGCGAGTAAATTTAATTCTACAGGTCCGCCAGGGTAGAAAGGTTGGGAAATACTGCTCTAGGAGATCCTTATTATCGGTCGTTCTGTCTGCCTGTCTATCTGTCTGTTTAAAACTTTAGATGTAGCGTCCAAACAGCTGGATCAATGTGGATAAAATTTTTCACGTTGGTTATCCTGTCACCCTAGTATTATGCGTTTTATAGAAAGTCCGGATGGAGGTTTCGTTTCCATGGCAACAATGAATAACGTCGTCATTTGTCTCGATACTCCAAAAACTGGAGAAGCCTTAGGGGTTTTGGTTAACATTATTTTTTTCTTAATTCCAGCCATTATATATGAGTCACACGTCAGATTAACGACGCAATTTCGCGTGTCGTTGTTTATTAACTCAATGAACTGTGACCGACTCCAGCAGGTTCACAACGCATGAACAAAAGTGAGCGGGCATGATTAAATGAGGCGCGTTTGGTTTTTAAGTTATTTAGTTTTAGGTAATAGTTTTTATTAAAGCGTAGATGTGTAGTAGGGTAGCACTAGTGCGCCTAATAATTAATTAACAGAATTGTGTTAAAAACCCAAAATATAATTGGATATTTGACATATTGTATTTAATACAAATGTTTCATTGTTTCTTATTTGAAATCAATCAATTCATTTAACCTTTTTATGTCGTTTACCTTCTGTTACGTGGTTATGCAACAATTTTGTGAGCTGCAGTTCATTGATCTGCAAAAGTGACCTTAGCGAACATGAGAAATTTCCTAGCATTTCGAGGGAAAGTTGTGCAGATATGAAGAAGAAGAGTTGATCTTTTGCCTTTATTCCTTAGACCTACATGTTTACAAACTTTAGAAGGCATAAAGTACACATTAACGATCACAAAAATGAGTTTCATTCAAAAGCAACATTTATTTCGTGTTCGTGCGGCGTGAGTTATTTTCCCTGATAATTTTGCACCGCGCGAACAACAAGTTTAGGAATTGTTGAAGTATTGCATTTCCAACGTTTAATTACACCGATCGCGTTGGATTTGGTAAACTTCCGATAAAACTAGTAGAAAATTTTACTCTATGAGAAATGTGAACTCCGGGGTCGAGAGAAAGCGATAATCTACTCCATACGCTTACATGACACGTCATAAACTGTAGTTTAAATTGGGAGGTTTATGCGGTCAAACGCCATCACACCCTCCAAACGTTTCATGGTCTCGTCTACACTATTCAACATGGCTGAGTTCGTATCAAACCGCAGGAGGCTAGACCGGCCTCAGGACTATTTGTTTTGGTCGCATATTATCGCCGTGTGTTTAATCACCATTCCGAACCAAATTTATCTGAAACTCAAGCATCATAAACAACGGATTTGTCAGCTATGAGGCCAGATGAGTAGGACAACCGAAACAGATAGAACATCAAGTTTAGGCAAAATTATTTTCAATTAAGTAGAATCCGCCATTCCAAAGCACTTTATCGTAGAATACGATGTTGATCGAGCGACTAAAATAAACAATCGCGCTCTATTTATTCAGGCTTGCTGCATTCAACTTAGTACGTGGAAAACTATGGGTTCGTGTAATGGGAATGTAGAAGAAAATTCACGTTACTGTATATTCGTAATCTTAGTGACACAATTACCGTTCGCTTTCATTATGGGAATACACTTGACGGCATTGAATTCGCTGACCCCCGTGATAGAAGTATTCATCAACGAAAGCTATCAAGTAAGAATCGTTAAAATTGTGAAAATCGTTAAATTATTACGTACTTTTACTGTTTATAATTAAGATTTTCGTGAGTAACACAATAAATTTTCGTAAGTAAGATAGACATATCAGTACCTTAATCGCATTGCTAATGTACGTGCAAGTCCTAATATTTTTATACCTCCATTAATTCGGCTTTAGCAAACGATTTTTTTGCTCTTTCTAAGATGATATCACTTAAGTTATCACATGAAGTAATATTACAGGTTCGTTATAGAGAGTCGCCTTCGGAATATACAGCAAATCTTATTATCAACCTTGCACATTCAGCTCTTGTTTGGGGATCTCTTGTTGGTTGCGTCCTTGTCAAACTAGTGATTAACTTATTCAGGTAAGGAAAAACAGGTATTTCGCTTTTAAAATGTTATCAAAATACCATAAAATCTTATGCTTTGCATAAGAAATTGCATTTTGACTTTTAAAGACCTATTGAAAATATTTATATCCGAATCCGACAGTATGAACAACTTCTGAAAATATGAAGTTTTGAGATATGTGGCTATTGAAAATTTTCCCGGAATTTCCGAATTAAAGGAATTTGTCTTGTAAAAATGCCACCTATGTGTAAAATATATTTATATCTAAATAAGGCAGAACAAATGTGAAAAAATGAACTTCATGTTCAACGCACTGTTCTGAAAAAATCAGACTTGGTTGACACTCCTCAAATGTCCTATTCTTTGGCAAAATCTTGAGTATCAATGAGGAATATTATTCTCTGGTTACCAATCTATGAACTTAAACTGTACTACACTCCAATGTATTTTACGACAAGGAATGTCTCTGCAAAGAAGTTAAGCAATCCTCAAGATTGCTCATGACTGCAATTCTCTTGCAGTCGCAAAGGTTCAATTCTTATGACACACTGCTTCATGGTGCTGTCTTCTATTTTGATGGGGCCTGTTGCGCAATACGGCCACTCCTACGAATCCCTAATCATCGGTCGTTTCATCAATGGGATATTCAGAGCGGTGGGTTTTACAGTAGTTGTGATATTCATTGCTGAAACAACATGCCGAAGAAGACTTGGATTCTATCAAGGCCCATTTTCAACATTCCAATTTATATCAAGCGCATTTGGCTTAGGCCTAGCACATTCAAAGGTTAGTACAACATTTTTAGTGTCGAAACAACGCAAGATTCTGCACTAATACCGGATTTACCGATAGGCAAGGCAGTCTGAAAACTGGGGGCCTCGACATTAAATTTTAACTAATATTTGCTCTGCTTGCTGCAAAATATAACAGGTTTGTTTAATTATTTAATCAGATTTATAATTCTTGTCTCACATATTTTATGTTTAATAGGATAAAACAAATAAAAGACGACCGAATAAATAAAATCGTTTAAAATTAAAAAATCTTTATATCTTTGACTTTCATATCAAATAAATACAAGAAGAAAATTATATCCTAAATATCTAATGAATTATAACATATTTTTCTATTTTCGGATCTTTTATTTACTATTTTGTCTAATCAGTAATAGCCTAGCTTGGACCTATCATCGTATAAATTCGGCCCTGTGCTGCACACACAGAAATGATGTCATTATAAACGAGTATTTGCTCAATCATTATTAGGTTCATTGACATTTCTGTTTTTAGTCCGTAAACCCGGTCCAATGAGATAGTTTAAAAAATTTTACAATTGGGACATCGACTAAACAATTTCATATTTGCAAGGTTTTAGGAACGCAAGATCTTTGGATGTGGACAATGTGCATTCCAATTTTCGCTTCGGTAATATATTTCGTCTGCTATCCATGGATTCCAGAAACTCCTGTATACGTCCTTAAAAAACGAAAGCGAGAAGACGCTCTGAATATTTTAAAATTGCTTCGATCGGAACCAACTGTGGAAAAAGAATTGACTATACTTGAAAACGAATCTGAAGAACTACCGTCACAAAAGGATTTACCGCTCATGATGTTGCTGAAGAAACGTTATTCGAGGCGACAATTATTTACAACCATGATAACAATGACAACTGTGCAATTACTTGGAATTCAGGTCGTAGGCTTTGTAATATATATTTAATAGGTCATAGGTGTACTAAAAACATTTACATTACTTGTCCCCAAGGCAGCAAACTCTTCAGCAAAAATATTGACAAGCTTTGAAAAAAGCGACAAGATCCGATGCTACATTTTGAAAATTCCTCGAATAAATGTGAATAATTATTATTTTCATGTTCCCCGTTTATTTAATTTTTTTTTAAATGCACATTCTAATGTATTGAAACTTTTTTAGGCGATCACGATGTTTTCAGATTCGTTACTGCTGAGTGCTGGTGTGGATGAAGGTTACGTCACAATCGTATCTGTTGGCCTCTTTCTACAAAGTATTATTGCATTTTTGATATCAGCACCTTTGCAAAGACGATTCGGTACTAAGAAAGTTTACGTCATTGGACTTTTTGTTATTACGATAAGCTACATGATATTTGTAATAGCGGATGGACTACATGTTAAAATTCCAACGACGAGTTACGTCGCAATTTTCGGATTGTTTGCAGTTTTCTTTGGTTTACAGCTCGGCCCGCTATTTGTGTTATCGGGTCTTCCATCCGAACTAACGACTGCCGGTAGTCGTCCTACTGTTGTATTTTATAGTCAATGTGCGTACTGGATTTTAGCCGGTATCATAATATTTGTGTTTCCGTATTCGCATCAAGCATGGGGTGTTTACTCGTATATACCATTTGTAGCCATTTCGATAATTCTTGTCCCATTTTCTATATTTGTGCTACCGGAAACTCATAATCGTTCTTCGGCACAGATTCAAAAATCTTTTGGGATGAAAACTATGGCATTGGCATCCAAGTCAGACGATTGCATTGAAACAGTACCGGTGTTGCAACTAGCAAATGATCAAATGGCATAATATGTTAATTGACTAGCCTAAAATTATATCGAATTGTATTCGCATTTAATGAACCATGAATCAGATATTTATGCACAATAAAAGCATATTCATAATCAAAATAAAGTAGGCATATGTTACGTGAAATAGTTAAAACTGCTACATTTGATAAGATTTGTTATGACTAATTTTGATGCCGATAAGATGATATTTATTGCTGAGATACGAGTCGATTTATTCATTTATGTTGATTTTAGAAGTCAGTTTCCACCAAGGTTGTTTAGGCAAATAACAGTTAACTCCTAGTCAATGAATTGTAAATTTGAAAGACACTCTGATTACGCTTCTGGTAAAACAGGCCCAGACTTCGACTTTACAGGCCTAGTTGGATTGACTTTGTTTGGTGGGGAAAAGTTACTGTCTAGGATTGATGGTCAAACTTGCCTAACGATGATTAGGAGCTGTCTATTATCGATTACTAACTACATAGTTCAGCTGACGAAAAAGTTTCAAGATTTATAGTAATTTTGTGTTGAATATAAATCCACACTTTCGTTAATGTATGCGTTTTATAGATGTTGTCAATTTTTTTCTGACGTTGTCCGTTTACTGTCAGTATTCATATGAGACGATAAAACGTATGACAAAAGTTTTTTTCAAGAACCTCAGTTATTTGAAATTGACTACCTCTTGCCTGTTTTTGCAATTGTTTTGATCTGAACAGCTTTGAGTCTCACGTCAATCTCATTTAGTAAAGCGTAAGTCATGACTATAATTCCTTTTTGTCTAAATAGGTCTTGGAAGTTCGGTAGCCTGTAACTTTGCTCAAAGATCAGTCTCTTTGGCTTCTGTGTAAGGGCGCGTTATCTCGCGTTAAGCTAATTTTCTCAAAACAACTAAATATATATTCCCATCAACAAAATCACAATAGAATCGCCGCAAGCCGTCTGCAATAAAAAAAATACAAAAATACTTAATTTTAATCATGTTACATTTTTCAATAAAAGCAGGGAAGGGGCCCTGGGGAGATATGGATCGATATGTTCACGAAAAGATGTCAGTATGGATATCGGTTAGTTTATCCGTTGTAAATTTTGGAAGAAAAAGAGATGGAATTGCTAATCCTTCAACGATAGTATGCAAATAATTTAGAAGGTTCATAATTTCGTAAGATTTGTTGTAAGTTTTAACGGCACTATTCAAGGTAAATAAATATATATACGAAATAAAGGTAAATAAAATGTACGAATCTTACGTTAACCACGTTACGATAAGATATCGAGATAATCCCATAAGAATATTAGTAAATTTCGGAACAAATAAAGTAATAGCCCTCTAGCGAGAATATTTAACCATTGTGTGAATTTATAGTAATTGGTTTAGTAGGTAGAGAGAAAATACCAAGATGGAAAAGAACATATACAAAACAATATAATAACAAATATTCCGTAGGTTCACTTCGTGTCCGATGACCCCCATTATTGAATAACACATCAAAGCAGAATATACATTCATATAAACACCATTACAACATTCAATTGTATGACTTATAGACATCATTATGTGATACTAGCAATGCTACGATTCGAATCGATTTGATGAAATTCATCATTCATAGTTTCTCTTCCGAAAGATTTCTGTATCTGAGCGGCGGAACGATTATGCGTTTCGGGTACTAAAAATACAGAAAATGGAATAAGGACTATTGACATAATGACGAACGGGGTGTATGCGTAAACACCCCATGCTTGGTGTGAATACGGGAATACAAACGTAATTATACCAGCAGAAATCCAGAGTGTACACTGGCTGTAAAAAACGACAGTGGGGCGACTACTAGCGGTCGTGAGTTCTGATGGAAGTCCAAATGTCACAAACAGAGGTCCGATTTGAAAACCAAAAACAAGTGTAAAAAATCCTACTATTGCAACTGAACTCATGTACTGAAATTTAACATATAGTCCTCCAGCTATTGTAAATATGAAATAACTTAGAGATATTATGATAAGACCGATGACATATACTTTCTTCAAACCGAAACGACGTTGCAATGGCGCAGTAATCAAAAATGCTAAAATAATCTGAAGAAAGACACCAACAGATAATATAGTGACATATTTTTCATCAACTCCCGCATCCAACAGTAGCGAATCGGAAAACATTTCAATTGCCTGAAAAAAAGTATATTTAGTTCAAGCACCAATCGCGGAAGTAGGTAAATCTCAAGTTGATCAGGAAAGCGGTGGGGCAAAGTGATTTCTAGCTATTGAAAATGTCTTGTTAGTCAGTTATACGTCTACTTTTTCATTCATGAGTCATTCGATTTTAGTTAAAAGTATATACAAAAAATAAAATGTTTTCCTTAAAATATACGTACTATTATCAACGGAATGTGTTGTAGTAGAAGTAATTTTTAAAATAACCTGAAGTCCTAGTAACTGAGACGTTGTCCTTATTATCGTATTGACGAACAACTGTCGTCTGAGGTATTTCTTTTTGAAAATCGAAGATAAAGTCAGGTAATTTCGCTGTGAAATTTCTCGAGATTCTTTTTGAAGAGTAGTTAATTCACTTTCTACATTTGAGTTTGACCTGAGTTTTTTCAAATTATTCAACGCATCTTCCCACTTTCCAGTTTCTAGAAGATATACTGGAGTTTCTGGAATCCACGGATAGCATAGAAAATATATAATTGAAGCAACTATTGATATACACATCGTCCACATCCAAAGTTCCTGTGTTCCTAAAACCTTGCAACAAATGTTGTTCAATTTCTAATTATATTTCATGATAAGTTTCTACAAGCCATCAGCCACTTTTGATTGGCTATAACTAGGCACCAGAACGCTATTTTGAGATAATGCAAAACTATTTATTAAATATAAGGACAAAACGTTTGGCCAACATTAGCATGAAAACATGGGAACGATCTCAAATATATGGACACGAAAGGCTCAAAACGAAGTAGTACGGGTATGCAATCTGTCACGATAGACTACCACCATACCGCAGTGTTCACAACTTCGCCTGGCAACCAGATCGCGAACGTGGAACTGCCACCAGGTACGCAATTTTGATGACGCCATCGCACACAGAAGAAACAAATCCCTTAGAGCCGACTTAAATTTCTGAAATAAAAGCAATAGCCTTATCGTGGAAAATACAATCTTTAACCACTGAAAATTTCAAAGAAATTGGTCCAGTAGTTAATGCAAAAAATTTTATCATAACAACAAGAATGAGAAGACGAATTTTAATAACAACATAATAACAAAACGATCCCTGTGTACACTTCGTGTCCAATAATTCGTACTCCCGAAGTATGTAAACCAAGATGGCGGACACCGAAACGTAGTATGTGTACCAGGTTAGGGTTGGGCCATACTTTTTTTTCAATTTTCCTTATTTTAGTTCTATTACGAGAACGGGTACTAGCGAAGTGACTCCCGTAGTTTTTGTACCTGAAATTATGGTCTAACCCTAACCTGGTACACATAGTACGTTCCGGTGTCCGCCATCATTGTTCACTTCGGGAATACCCAATAATTATATATAAGATACTAACCTTTGAATGCGATAGACCCATTCCGAATGCGCTTGAAATGTACTGGAATGTTGAAAACGGTCCTTGATAAAAACCAACTCTCTTTCGAGAAGATATTTCAGCGACGTATATCATAACTACAGCAAGAGCAATAGCTTTGAATACCCCATTGAGGAAGCGACCGATGATAAGTGTTTCGTAAACATGCCAATACTGCGCAACAGGTCCCATTAAAACGGAAGACAGCACCAAGAAGATGTGAACAAATAAAATTGATCCTTTGCGGCTAAAACGATATCAAGATTTTCAAATCATTCGAGAAAAATACACCAAATAAAAATTAAAGTCAATAGAAATGCAAGCTATTTAAACGGTCGAAGCGGACCATTTTCGAAGCTACCGCTCAATGACCTCAAGAGAGGCTCCAATGAAAATCAACTATTTGTACCTGAACGTATTAATCACTAGTTTGACGCTTATACATCCAAGTACAGATCCCCACACCAGAGAGGAGTGTGCTAGGTTGATAATGAGAGTTGCTGTAGCGGCCGATGGTACTTCATTGTATCGAATCTAAAATTACAATTAATCATAAAGTTCTTTATGTGACTTTACGTGCAATAGTGTGAATATTATTACATTTACAAGTGTAGTTTGAGATAGTAAGACAACGTAATATTTAGCCAATCAAGACCTCCGAGCGTATTTAAAATTGGGTATTCCAATAAGTATCTCGTACACCTAGAGTCTAGAGCAGGGTGGTCCAAACCCAGGCCCGCGGGCAACATGTGGCCCGCCACTTCATTATCTGTGGCCCGCGTCGCATTCGGAGAGAAATCAAAAATCGCATTTCGTGTTGTTTCGTCATAAAATTAACCAAAAAATCTTTTGACATATTGTTGCATCACTAATGTCAATGAATTGACTAGTGTTATGGCTTGCTGAGGCAGCTAGCGAAGTTAAACGAGCAAAGTTCTTGGCACTATTGTGGCCCGCGAACAATGCAAATTTAATTTTGTAGCCCGCGGAGCTGCCAATCTTGGACCACCTTGGTCTAGAGTCTAGCTAGACACATCTCAGGTGTGCGAACTTGGAACTATAGGGGTATTTTAATTAGCATCGTCAAAACCCAAAAATGTATTATAATTTATGATACTAGCAAGGTACGAGTAGCAGCAGTCGAGTAGTAAAGAGTTTTTTTTATTCCACTCAATTTTCATCTCTGACGTCCGCAAATGACTATTACGTCATTGGTCGTTAAAACATACATTAAATGAGAAACTTAAAATATTGTGGAAAAGTCCCTAATTCGGGTTTGCCAGAAAGTCATCTATTTATTACAGAGCTGCTGTTCGTTGTGTATACTTTTGCCCTTTGCAATTCACCCCAATTCTGATTTAATATTAGTAAGTGGTAATTGTACCACAGGAAAAATATTGCCGTTCACACAATAAAAGGGTTAACATATTATAATTAGCCGTTACCTGGTAACTTTCATTGATGAAAACCTCCATCACGGGTGTCAGCGAGTTCAATGCTGTCAAGTTAATCCCCACGATAAAAGCAATAGGTATTTGTGTTGCAAAGATTACAAAAATACAGTAACGCGAATTCTTTTCTGAACTTGGAGTAACTGAATCCATCGTTCTGATCGTACGCGTTTAATCACTATCTATCGTAGCTGAGAAACTGAGGAATTTTTTGTTGCAATCTCATTATTCGATATGGTTTGCTGACCACAGCTTTCTCTAGAACAGGCGACCATGAAATATATTTTTATCGATGAAATGCTGTCTGGCGCGTTAGGGTCTTTCAGAAACAATGCCATAGCGCAGCGGTTCCCAAACTTTTTGTTCGTGGGGCGCTAAAGTATCCGGGTAAAAAACTCACGCAAACTTACACGACAAAAAATTGATGCCTTTAAATAAAACTCAGTTTTGTGATCATTCATTTGTACTTTACTTATTGTGTACTTCGCTTAAAGTTTGTAAACATTAAAAATCACTCATGTTTTTTTGTTTTTTTTGTATTTTGTATATTTATCAATATATGAAACACAGTTGATCGGGTACATCTACAAAGACTATACAGAAAATACACAATCACAATTCATCATATAAAATAATCAATTATTGTGCATACATCTTAAAATTTTCCATTTTTAATCATGTTTCTTTATTTTGCCATTTTTATATGCAATGAAACGTTCAATTTCCCTCACTTCATAAAGATATGAGGTGAAAACATTGAACAGTGGTTTCTTTTTCTGTATCTTACAACGATATAGATAAAACCGGGCAGCAAGAGGTAAACAATTACACAGTTTGGTATAAAAATTACAAACATATCCAAACATGCAATCTCTTTTGGAAAAGTTTAAATTAATTCTGTTTTTGAATATATCCACATGTTCAGAGATTCCCAAAACTGGTGAACAACTATACAATCATAGAAAAAATGGTTAGTAGTTCCAACATTAGAATGACAGAAATCACATAACTCTGATGAAACAAGTTTGAATTTATACAATCTATCGTTTAGTACTATGGCACCATGGAACATTTTTACATGAAAAGATGGCAATTTAGTTTCAATATTACAATAAAAGATATCCATATACAATTTATTCCAATTAAAATCACTCTCTAAAAAAATCAGATCAGCCCATTCTTTCTTGATTTATCAGGGGATATAAATATGATCAGGTTTAACTTTTTATATACTTTTATTTACTTTTCCTGATTCGAATGTTTCATAAATAAAATGAGATACATTCTCGTCAGGGTCACTTAATACACTAAAAGCAATACAGTTACCAATATTGCATAATCAATCATCAGGTAAAACTCCAGTGATGCGATAATAATTTACATACTCTACATCACTATATTGCATGCTATAGTAAACAAATTACCCACATTTGCTAAGTGTCTTACTGCTTTTATACCATGATCATACCAAGACTTGATAAAAAATTGTTTTCTGGCATAAAAGATACTTTTGTTGTACCTTAAAGGTTGATCAAAATTTGACCTCCACCTCCAATCTCTGCTAGTCTGTTGTGGATACGAAGAAGGTCCTCCGGGCTTGAATGATTGTGTCTCATTATCGCCCAAACATGTTTATCACCTGAAAATTAATTTACACAAGCAACTCAGAGATAAATTAAAAGTGTTTCCAAAATTAAAGTTTTTGAATTGTTGGCTGATGCGCAACATTGCACATCTGACTAAATGTCCACGAGTTTAACATAATATTATTAACAAAAATGTTTTGGTTATTGTCTGTGCTGTAATAAAATTTTCAGTTTTAAAAAAACGAATTTTTTTAATTCTGAAAGATAGTTGTCATTTAATATTGAATTGGTCTCCATGAGTAACATCTTCATGTTTTGAGCGCTATGTGGTTAAACTGAACAGGTTAATGTGTAGTATCAACAGAAACGTGTTAATGATATTTATTATGAAGATTTTTTCAATGCTATATTTTAAATTTAGCCTAAATTGATTATAGCTGCTGTGTCAATCGTATTTATTTACGTACAAAGTCAATACTTACCTCCAGATGAGCATTGCATGTAAGGGATATAGTTTTCATAATCAGTCACTTTACTCATAGGCAAGGAATAAAACTCGTGAACTTCTGAACATGAAATGGAAAATTAATAAATAATCTCATGTTGCAAGAACACATTTTATATTTCTCTAAAATCAAATAAAGCCATCAAAATTGAAAATCGATTTTGCGATTCTTTTAAAATGACAAATAAAAAATAATCCCAATTTTGAATGCCGCAGAAACCAGTGCGTTTATTGCCAACATCTCTTACGAAGGCGATGTGTCTTATTGGATGAAACATTCTTGTGAAATTACATGGAATAAAACAAAATCTATTTTTTCGAAATTAGTTGGACAGTGGCAAACAATATTGAATTCTTGTGGTCGAAAAGATAATTTGATAGCTCTCGTGAGAATGTGAAAAAAGAAATGTATAACTAGATAACCTACCCTATAAAGCAGGGGTCGGCAAACTTTTGTTTTGTTATCACATTTTTTCACGCAGATTTCAGTTAAATTTTAAGCAGCGCGCGAAGACTGATCATTTGAATATTTTCTGCGCCATCTAACCATTTGCACTCAGCATCAGTTTTTTCACATTCTGTTGCCGTTTGTCTAATTATAATCAATTAATTATAGGCTCATTAAACGAGTGATTGTGAATTATATACTTCTTAGGTTATAATATAAATTAGTGTGTCAAAACTAATTCTGTTACGCGTAAAGAATATATAATCGTCTATACAGTTGTTTTGTTTTTATAATTCAGTGAAGCGTCGCGGGCCGGATTTTATTGTTCCGCGGGCCGGATCTGTCCCGCGGGCCGTAGTTTGCCGACCCCTGCTCTAAAGCCTCCCCATTTGTTCAATTGGTTCTCTGGTGTTGAGTACTCGATATCAAATACCGGGAACTTAAATTTAAACACGGTTAAATTTTGCGCAATATAGGCGCAAATTTGTATTTTTAGATTTAAAACATTTGCTCCGTAACGACAATTCTAAATAGATATTTATCAACGTACCTTTTTCGTGTTCACTTTTAAAAACTGGTAGGGTGCATTCTTTATCGCATGTTGCTTTGCCAACTGCAAAAATAGCAAGGTACGCCAAATGAGCAAGTCTTGAATTCATTTTGTTTCTTGCCTTTGTTTCTTGAAATGTCTATAGTAAACTTGAACTCAACCTAGATTATTTATAAGCACATTTCACGTTTACGTTATGTCAGGTTGGCTTGATTTACTTCATATAAAGCAATGTATGGACTTGTTTGCAAATTTGCTTATGAGCTGTGTGTAATGGAGACAGACGCCTTCTTGAGATGTTTTTAGAGCGGTATTGCAATTAATCTTTTTCCACCATATAGAAACAGTGATAAGAAAAATATGTCAAATTTTTTTTTTTTATATTTATCGAGATGCTCTGCTAGGAACTCGAATCCAAAATAAAATGGCCATATATGAAATTTTTTTCTAAAACTCGAGCGGGAAAGTTTAAACACTTTGGCACTGAGTACATTTCATGATTTTCCATCGTAAACCATTCTTACGTAGATCTTGAATAAATGTACTTTATCTGCGGATCGTTTGTTGTGCATGTCTTTCACGTGATTGTCAAAATTACATGGTTAATTATTATATTAAATATCGCGTTGAAAATGCTTTGTGCACATCAGTTGGTATTGCAAAATCAATTGCATGATTTTAATCAATCCAGATTTTAGCAAAAATTTGATCTTTGGCGAACTTCACAATTCTTCGTACTTGTACGTTTACATAATGCAATATATATACTATTTGTATTCGACAACACATTAGATTGAATAATTGGTTTACCTACTGCTTCAGTTTTAGTGCGGATGTTTATGGGTATCACGTGATACCGTATTGCCTGATACGCCAGGGCTGGCCAACCTGCTTTTGACCGCGATCGACTAAAATCTTCAAAATAGATCGCGATCGACTGATCGGTATAAGGTCCTACACAAAAAGAAATGGGCACTGAATGTGCAGATAACTGCACACACGCATACAAAAAATTCCTCCACTGCCAATAAGAAAGCTTTTTGGGCACATTATTATTAAAATCGACACAAAATTTGTATTTTTTATGTTCCATTTAAGTTATTGATTTGATTATTTAATTGTACCCGGAGTAAATGTTTCATCATTTATTTAAGTATCATTTAAATAATACAATTCAGATAATGGGCGTGCCTAATTTTCAGTCGTAAGTGTTGAAAATTCTTCAAGAAACCTTGCCAAGTATTATTTGAACAGCGCAAAATAAATATTCTCAAACCATGAATGTTGCATGACTACTCAAACTTCAGTATTTAATTTACAATTTCTTCCAGAAGCGATTCTTCGCTTGCTTAGAATTAGAACAAATTGGGCATTTTGATGCCACAATTTATCACAGTACTCTTGGAGTTAGACAATAACTTCCGCATACTGCGGAATGGACCACAGGTGTCGCTGCTTGATAACCAGTATTGGTTTTTCGCACCCCCTTTTCACCCTGTAATACCATTTTCACTTCCGTTTTTTATTTTGTTCGTGCAAAGTGTATTTACATGATGGTGAAAAAATAAAATACTGATGACTAATTCGATACAGGTAGAATAGAAAGAAGTCGACCAAATTTATGTAATTAAAAAATGAATGCCCAAAAACCAAAACCTTTACAAAAAAAGAGACTGAGGTAACCATTGTTGCATCGATTTTTAGAGTGCGCGTCCTGGTAGAAGGCATACGGTTGCGGGACCGCTACAAGTAAAGAGTTCTAACAACAACAACACAGAATGATCCCTAGGTCCACTTCTTATCCAATTAATTACCGGTAGACGTGTCTCACTGAGTTGAGCATGATATAGTTTGATATTTTCTATAAGAAATGCGGCGTGTATTGTAAATGATAGTTAGTCACAGCAATACATGAATAAAACATTTAAAATCTAAGAGCTTTAGCATATATTCTCATTGCTTTGAGATGCGAAATAATTTTCGGTAAATCCACAAGATCCAACACGTGAAGAAACTTGTTCTGTGCTTCAACAGCAGAAGATGATTCACTAAATAGGAGAAGTTCATTAACTATTGTAAATATATATTCAAAATTTAATTTTCCGTTTCAAATTCTTCTAACAACCAAACAGATGCGAAACAACTTGGGCATGTTATAATACAATTAGAATAATCTGATATCATTCGATCAACCCATATTTGAAGTCGACACACCTCTGTTGCTAGGTAACTACTTTTTATTCGTTTAGCCACAACCATTCGTACCGGGCAGTAGAGCCTTTCCTTAACCAACAAACACCAAATACATTATCTAAATGCTTTCATTTGTCCCAATAAAAACAGACGACCGATTAACTACCCAAACCAGAATGCAGATTCCTTTATTGTTCTCACGAATTAAATTATAGTAAAAATCTATCAAATTGATTCTATTTAGATTCAAACCTACTTCATCTTCCGCCACATCTGAAATAATTCCATCAATTGTTGATTTTCGGTGATATTTTTATTTGAAGCTATTTTCAAAATATCTTCAGTTGGTAGTCTCAATTTCAAACATGTTCTATCAAAATCTTCAATGCTCAAATTGTTAGCAACGTGTTCCATCATGTTGTAAAGTAGTTTTTCTTAGAATATAAATTTGTCCAAATAAAATGAAATGCGAATTTATCGGAATGCGATCATTGTTAGTATAGGGATATATTCGACTTTACATTATTATTTCATCATAATTTAGTGTTATTTCAGATGGGACACATAAGTATACAGTATATACCCTTATATTGAAGAAACAAGAAAGCTTTATCATGATTTTAAATCTTTGAAACTAATATCTTTGTTAGTCGTACAATCACCTGACAATCTTTGCCTAACTGTCGTGCAATACGACAATATTTTTATTTTTTGATGATTAGTTATAATATGAATTTACCGTGCATGACTCTACAGTTCGAATCTCGCGGTCGTGCAAGACTGATTTCATTTTTTCATGATAGTTGTATAGGTTTATCTTATATGATTATATTGACTCGGTTCTCAGCAGTAGTTCATGTACTAGTGTGACTAATCGAACGTTTTGCTTGACAGAGTGGTTTAATTTCGTACAAAATTGTATATAACTATAACCGATGTATTTATACGGAACATAGCCCAGATACTTACCTTCTCTGTCCTCCTTACTTAGCACATATCTCCCAATAGCACCAATTTGTCCTGATTCAACAACAGCTTTTGGAGGATTTTTAATCGGATTCGAAGCCATTTCAATTACTTCCAACGCAGTTAATTTGCCTAGATGTACTGGGAGTTCTTCTATTTCGTTATCTGTAATTGAAATAATCCTATTCTATTAAACGATTCCATATACCAGTCCATCCACAAAGAATACTTTTATTATTAGGAGTGATATATCAGAGTGGCGGTTTAAAGTCATTATAACGTCACAGTCTTATTTTGAAATTGAATTAGTAATTTGACCAGTTTAATTTGTTGGTAGTTGAAGCGAAATATCCGATGAACTATGTGATAGATTTGCATGCGAACCGTGACTAGTGACCTATTCAGTCAAAGTTCATGTATTGGCCAATGTAAATAAGACTTATCATCAAAAACATTGTTACTATAGGTGAGCCCTTTGACGACTGAATAATAGTTTGGTTTGTCAAAATCATAATCTGCTTCAATCGTAAAATATCAAGCAGTAACTAGATTTTAAATATCAAATCAAAAAGCGACTATCATATTTGAAAAATGTGATTTATCTTTTCTCATTCAAATACCTGTGAGTTTAAGTGTTTTCAGTGCGGACAATTCACAAATGCTATCGGGTAGAGCAACCAATTTATTCGAGGATACTGACAAATGTTCCAACTTGCTGCATAAGCCAAAAGAGTCTGGTAGATATTCCAATGAGTTATCGTCTAATTGTAGAGTCTGAATGTAGAAAATGGTTTATGATTAATCTTAGGCAATCATCAATGTGTACGTGGATGTAAAATTCACATGAAAAAGTGTTGTAAATAGAGTGACGTCGCTATAAGAACTCTACGATTGTTGAACTAATTGTGAGGATTGTCATCGAATCTTTGGTGACCGAAACAAAGGACGCTATATCCTCACCAAGTGAACCCATCTTTCATTGAATATTAGAGGATTCAAACCAACTGTTACGATACTTAAATGGAAAGACACAGTTAGGTGGGAAATACTAATTTCACCACAAATTACTATATATAGACGAAGTTACTGAGAAGACATTCCATATGGATATTTGACTGACCATTAGTGCAACTGAAACCCCAAACGGAGATATCCAACATATATACTACTAATCAGCGCTTACTTATCTAGGTGTATTACTCATTATAATTCATTTATTTGTGTAGCTATTCATTTGTAAATATTCTATAATATGTAAGTATAGGTTTTTTAATTCGAATTGATCAATGGCGCAAAATACCACTGACGTTAGAGGCGCCATGAAACATATAACAACAACAACCTATGTAGGCCTACATATTTCCTAATAAGATTGTCAATTCTTTCAACAGTTCTAGATTTTGGATGAGAAATATTTTAGCTATATTTGAACATTTCTATTGTACCTGGAGATTTTTGAGCTCAGTGATGTTTTCTGGGAGACTTTCTGTTTTTCTACCGTGTTTCTGAGCATAGGCAATATGTGTTAAGTTCTTCAAAAAACAAATCCGAATTGGAAATGATTCAAATGTATTGTTTGATAAATCGATGTGTCGGAGAGTATCAAGCTGTTGAAATAAAAAAAAATCAGTATAAGTACTTTCAAAATTGGCAACAGATTGTTATTCGGATAAAACAAACATTCGTTGTTTGTCATCGCAATTTAATGTCTGCGGCCATCAGGGCAAAGATGGGGATTTTAGGAATTTTGCCCTAATCTCATGAACACTCTCATATTCTAGTGTGCAATGTGTCACTGTATGAGGTTCCAACGCCAAATTTCTGTACAATTAATATATTGAGTGCAATTCAGTGGTTAATAGTTGAATAATATTACTGCAAATATTATTAAACAACATATAATCATACCAAAGGAACAAACTTACATTTTGAAATTGGTACGGTAGCTCTGAAATATGGTTATCGCTGAGCAGAAGTTTTGTTAGTGACTTCACAAAACAGATTTCAGTAGGAAAATCTTCAAAATTGTTGTCGCTCAGGTCAATTTCTCTCAATTTTAGTAAATATTTGATGTCACTTGGCAGATATTGAAGTGAATTTTCTGCGAAGTCGATTTCTTCCAACTGAAAATAAGACAGAGAAAAGTTCAAAAATAAAATATAGACAGTTTCCTAGACATCAAAATTGTTGCCAGTTGTTAAATTGATGAAATCTTTTAATCACATTAACAATATATATTCATCTTAGAATCTTTTGTAATCCATTTTAAATCGCATTCAATAAAATTTAAGATTATGACACAGAATTAGTATCTTTCTTCTGCAATATTATAGGCGCTCTAGAAGTGTGTGTACCAATATGGATGTAACTAATTTTGTTCGCCTATTTCACATCAAGTTGTGTAAAGGGACTGAAACCTATGGGCAGGGGTTATATTTACTTGGCTATAAAGGACAGTCCCCGAAATCGTAATAGGACTAAAATAAGGAAAATCGGAATAAAAGTATGGCCTAACCCTAACCTGGTACACATACGACGGGAGTACCATATTATATAATACTGTTGTTTCAAACAAGCAAGAAACTCTTTCTTACCTGAGCAACGTGACAGAGAGCAGTCGGAAACTCAAAAAACTTGTTTTTTCTTAACACGATTTTCTTGAGAGAAGTTAAATTTCTCAAATTCTTTGGAATTCTAGATATTTCGTTCCCGGTAAGATCAAGAACGTAAATTCCTATTAAAGAACAAGCTGTTGCAGGCAGTTTCTTTAAATGCGTGTTGGCTATATGAAGCTACAAAAAAGAATGTGAAATTGGCTTTTTAAGAATTTTCTTTAACTTAAACAGATTGTTTGGAAATATAATTAAAAACTATTGCTCGATGTTTGAATAGTAATACACCGATATAGTTAAGTGGACTGTATGCATGATAGGGGGCGCTGGCGGGCCTTATTTCTTGCTTGTTTCTGCGTTCGCCATTCAGAGTACATGCACCTATACGTTAGCAAGTCGTTCAAATAACAAATTTTAAAGCGAATCATCGCTTTCCTAGTATAGCCCAGGTTCTGCGTTTGTTATTTATTTCGTGCTTTTACCAATGTGTTATAATAGTTTGGTTAAGGGTGCGTTTAACGTACAATCTTAACAAAGATATACTCTTATTAGATATCAAGTAGTAACAAAATAGCAGTTAAAAATGCTACGATCTCCCACGTACCTTTGGTAGTACTACGTGATCGAATTTTTCATCGCTCATAACACAAACCTAATAGGATGTCTTGCATTTAGCTACAATGAATAATAACTATTTGAATTAATTTATATAGATGAAATAATCTGTTACAATTATTACGTCATAAGAATGTAACAAATCGAACCTCTTCCAGTGTTGTCAATGTCTTCATTTCAACGGGAATATCGCCAAGTTTTGTATTTCCTGATGCATGGAAGATAGCCAAATTTTTGAGTTGTGTAATTGAGTCAGGAATAGCGTCGATCCCTTGTAGGCGATTATTGCCAATGTAGAGTTCGGATAGAGTAGCGATTAATCCTAAAATGAAAAAGAAACAATTTCACATAAAGAAACTAAAACCCTTTGTAATATACTTTGTAAGTAAATAAATAACAATAATGACCTGAAAATAAAATAAAATTGATACAACAAAAATACATTGAATGAATGCAGCAATATTAAAAAAATATACATTTAGTGTTACAACTTTGGAAAAGCAGTAATCGCAAGGAAAGTAAACGTCGATGTCAAGACTGCGTCGTGCGATCGCCCCGTGTTATCTAAATTTTTTTTTTTTTTTTCCAAGCTTCGAATCAATTTTAATTGACGTTGACTCGAATCGAAATTCTGAATCTTACATTCCTACTCATGAAGTGTTTATCCGAATCCAAACATGAGGTGAAGAGATAGCCACACTCAATCAAAAACTTCAAATGGATATTGTTAAGACATCATTATCAAAGCTTCTTACCGATTTCATTGTTGAGATAGGTAATAAGATTTCCTTCTAAGCCCAGAATTTCAAGTGAACGGCACAGTCCAATTTCTTGCGGTAGTTTCGAAAGTCGGTTTTGATTCAGTCCGAGCGATCTTAAATTGGTGAGCATGCATATTTCTGGATTAATCTCTTGAATTTGATTTCTGTTTGAAATAAGAGAATGAAACGTTACACATACTTTTCTATGGGCGTTCCAAACTCATAACTACATTTAGCTGTTTTATTTTTTGGTTGTTACACGAATTATCTTTGAACAACGCTCTATGCCAGCAGGCGCAGTGAATGTTTATGTAAAACCAACTTGGAGCTTTAGTAATGATTTTACCAAAAGAAATCCGGCTTATCATAAATTAATTTTTCGTCAGACGTTGTTCAAAGTTTAAAGTTAGGAATCAGTACAGTCTTTTGAGAGATCCGCTAAGAAAAGAGACTCCCTCATTATTACCTATGTAACTAAATAATACTGAAAACTATATATAAATATATGAACTATATAATAGAACATATTGACTTGCAACTAACGCCAAGAAATTTTGAGATTTCGAAAACAGAAACTAAATAAATACTTCGCAAGTTACCTTCATCCGGTATGGACACTAGCAAATTTATACGTAATGTAGATTTATCACACAGTTCAATTAGGTTATTATAATGTTTTTGTCCTAAAACTGTTCAGATTTTACAAGTCATCATGTAAATGATTTTACCAAAAGAAATCCAGCTTATCATAAACTAATTTTTTGATATACGTATTTAATATATTCAATAGACAATGAAGCTCACCCAGATAAAGCAAGTTCTTCAAGGGATGTGACTAAAAACAAATGTGAAGGAAGGCGAGTGAGAAGATTCTCGTCTACTCGAAGCTCACGTAGTGACTGCATCTTTTCGATGTCATATGGAATGCTGAAACGGCATGGTATATATAACAAGTGACCATGAAATGATTTCATGACGCTTATTTTATCGCTAAAAGTTTATTTTCCGGAGCTTGTCGTTGATGAGATAAATTGGATAACAGTAAAAGAAATAAAAGACAGATGCAATTCAACTCTGCATAAATACAGTAAAGAATCATATTACTTATTATATATATATATTATATATCTTGATGTTTTCACGTAGTTGATTCTCTTTATTGATAAATAAAGGTTTACTGTAGTATAAATGCCGCGAACTGCAGAAACGTTGCGCACGAAAGGCACTGTTGTGAATCGTAGTTTAAATATACTTTCGTGTCTAAACACTTCAAAACATAGAAAGTAGAAAGGAAATGAAGGATGAATAACGAGAGAAAACTATTATTCTGATACTAACACACATAAACTGACGCCTAACACCATACCTCGTGATTTTATTTCGTGACAGTCCAAGTTGAATAAGATTTTTCATTCCAATAACTGGCTTTGGAAAAGAAGATAATCGATTGTCAGACAGACCCAGAACTCTTAATGATTCCATAAACAGTGGCATATCGCCTGGTAACCTTGCGATTCTGAAAACGGTATAATCTCTGTTCACTATACTGCAATCACCTGTGTTGTATCGTCTATATCAGTGCTCGTCAAGATTTAGAACTAGTACTGAAAGGCACCATCACCGAAATAGATTCAAGATTCGATATTTTGTGCAAGAATATACAAGAACATCGGTTTCATTGAAGGTATCGTCAATTTTATTATTTGTTTTTGTTGCATTATAAAAATTTCCTTCATATTCATTTTAATTCCTAGAGGTCGTGAAACAAGTTGGCCGTATCAAAAAAGTTTGAAGAACACTGGTCTAGACATTTCTATGAAAGCGTATGCGCGTATGTATATATACAATTATATAAGAATCAGTGCAACGCTAATAGAGATTGCTTATCATATTGCAACTCATTCTGCTATCGAAATTAACAATATTGGATATATAACCTACTCACCTGTTCCCATTTAAGCCAAGCACCTCTAATTGCCACAGGTAACTGATCTCTTCGGGTAATTGCTCAATCACATTGTTGTTGGCAAAAAATTGTACAAGGTATTTCAGGTTTGATATGCGATTTGAAATTTTCTGAAAATATATTAAGATAATGTTAATTATATTGCCGTGTGCTGAAGGTGTGCCGTGTGCTGTCTTTGAAAAGTGTCAAAATTACAATTGCAATAAATAATTCAGCAGGTATATTGAGCTTTTTGCGCAACGGTGGTCGCATGTTATTGTTCTAGCTGTTCTTTTCCCGAATTTGGTTGAGAACTCCTGGTCTTACTCTGAACATAATTGTATTTAAAAAAAAAATTGATTTAACCCCCTAAATCTCGAGGAAAATGAAAATATGATTTGGCGTATTTTCACCTTATTAAAAACGTAGTAATATGGTGTTTGCCAATAGGTTCTGTTTGGTCCGGGATATGAATGCGTTATAGAACAGAACTGGCCTCCAAAATATAGGGTGGTGATCAAGAAAGTAAATGGTGAAACATTGAGGTATAAAATGGAAATTCGAACCAAATCAAATAGCTTACTAACCACTCTGACTAGATAATCAGATAAAACGCAAATAATGCAAACATCTGTGATTGGCGCTTACTTTAATTCTGTTGTTGCTGCACTCGACGTATTGCAGACGTGTCAGTTCACACAGATCTGCCGGTATTTCGACCAGTTTGTTTCCTTTGATTGAGATCGCTTCAAGGTTTTGTAGCTTCCTAAATTGGGATAAGCGATTACGTCAGATAACACAACCCGACGAAGTGTTCGCTAATCTAATTCAGTTCATTTCTTGCGAAGGATACATTTAGTATACGGTTCGAGCATGTAGTTTTGGCTTGTGGAAAAAGCTTAGTACACGTATACGCAGATGCATTGATTTAAATTTAGGACAGGAGGCACATGCATGCTTCTCACGTTTGCCTAATCCCAAAACTTCACGAGGTAAAAGAAATAACAGAAAGCTCACTTGATTTCCGGTGGAATTTTTTTGATTCCATTGTTATCTACAATTATACATTGAATATCAGTCAAATCCCAGATAGCAGACGGAAATTCTTTCAAACCTTTCCCGGTTAAATTCAAAGTAAACCGTCCACCTGAACCACGAAATATTTGACTCCGAATGTCTGAAGCGGTTACCATTTCGTCAGACGCTGTACAGAATTTGAGAGTTAAGATTCAGTACAGTCTTTTGATAGATCCGTTAAGAAAAGAGACTTTATCATTATTAAACCTATGTAACTATATAATACTGAAAACTATGTATTAATATATAAACTATAATAGAACATATTGACTTGCAACTAACGCCAAGAAATTATGAGATTTCGAAAACAGAAACTCGCAATATCACGTTAAATGTAAATACTTCGCAAGTTACCTTAATCTGGTATGGACACTAGCAAATTTATATGAAATGTATATTTATCACACAGTTCAATTAGGTATTATAACGTTTTTGTCCTAAAATTTTCAGGTTGTTAAAATATGCATTCTAAAATTTGTACTAAAATTGTTCATTTTTGTATTTCAACTTAAAATGAATCCTTTCGCACATAGGAAAGACTTATTATACAAAAATTGGGTGACTGTTTGTCTTTGGCCTGATTTATATTCAATTTTCATAAAAACCGTCTTTCATTCTCATTCAAATAACACTTCAAAGGGCTACATTCTTGCATTCTAATTTGATATTATATTCACGTTTTGAAATCTGACAATCTCTCTATATTTAACACACGTACACACTTTACTATTATATTTTCAAAACTACATTTGTATCTCACCAACTAAATCAACGCTTACCTGATTAATTCTAACATGTCACGAGATGTCCTGTAGACAGCATAAAATGGTTTTTAAACACCCTGCCTTAAAATAACAATATAGAACCAATACATCATTTTACCTGCGAATACCAAAACATAGTACTTAAAGAAACTTCATTTAAGTCTTTTAAGTCGGATAATGTGGCGAACTATTGTATCCTTTGAAAGGTAACCTATCCTATTGTTCACCTCATTCATCCCCATTGACATAGAATCATATTCGAGTGTCGGTAAACAAGGCGGCACGTTAGGCTATTATTGAAACTAACGGGCTTTCTGATAATCTTTCCAAATGTATCGTACGTAAAACTTGAGGTCAGAAAATAGCAAATAGTTACGCCGTTGACATAACCAAACAAAGCCTTCATCCGTGATGCTACTAGTTTCTTCCGTTTTATCATGAACAGCTCGTTAATCTCATTCTTATGAAAGTAATTTATACTACACAGGCAAGTTTGTACAAAAAAGTGCTATCTCTAGGTCCGACGGGGAAATATACTCACATCATATCATAAAAAATAGCACATACTGGCAGCATAGAATAACGTTGTTAAATTGAAAATTGTAGTCCTTATGCATAATAGTGCCATTCCAAGATTATTTCCATACACTATTAAGGTGGCGAAATGTGAGACCCATAGCTCTTCAATCTTGGCTAACGCGATAGTCGAAGTTTATGCTTGTTTGTGAGTCGCAGTCAGTTTCGTACCGGGGTAATATATCTTAACACTAACTTATCACCGACGTCTGTACTATACCTCTTTAACCAAAGAAACTGTTTGTATATGCATATATATGGCAGATATATTCATTATATAGCTTCACACAATTGCAAAAAATTACATTTCCACGGATTAGTCACACTCCTTAAATTACTAGATTTGAAATATTCATGACCTCCGTGTTGACTTAGTCTGAAAGAACTTTGTCATCAAGTCCAAATTATGAGAAAGAGTGAATTTACAGTACACAATTTTTTTTACATAAAATCCTCATTACGAAACAAAGTCCGGAAATAGGAATATTATTGATTTGGAACTGTACTGCACACATTTGCAAAGCCCATTTTATTCTTTTCGTCGGGTGCCAAACAAGACTTCATCAAAAAAGTCATTTAAAACAGTGTCGTAAAGATATTTGTTAGTTGATATTCACAAACCAAAAAAATTGGGAATAAAATTAGCATAATTATTTTTGCTACGATGATAATGAAAGTGCATATAATAGTGTATGTGTTGCGATATTGTACCATATCCCGCCTTTACTCATTTTGCTTAAATGGTTTCGAACTTTGTACAAGAACTACAAGTTATGGTTAATGGTATGAAAAATTGTTATTGTTTTCTTTTTGTTAAAATATCACTTTTCGTTTATATCGAATTTGTTCTGAAAACTACTTTAACGTTACGATAGTATCATTGGAAGCGGTGAGATTAACTTGATTGCTTATGTCTCGAAAACGCGGTACAGATAGTAAACAAGCTAGGTAAGTCTTTGAAAATTGAACACTTCAATGTGAATATGGTAAGATATGGCACATGTTGTACAAATGGGGATTTATTGAAGTTTAAACAGTAACGTAAATTAACATATAAACACACTGTTTCCGATTACATTTTATCAAAAAGGCAGCATAGCAAGTAAACTTCTGTTAGTGAGTTCGTGTAGTTGGAATATTATAGGTTATAAAAGTATATAAAGTATATATGCTTATATTTCAAGTTATATTATTGTAACGAGCAGAATTTACAAAAGCACTAAGCTACAGCACCAATTATAAGAAACCAATATATGGCTTGTCATTCCAGAAAGTATCTTCAAATCTAATCATCTTCATCAATAAGCTTCAGCAACATCTTTCTGTAATCTCCCTTGGTCTCGCTCTGAATATGAAGGAAAAACGTATAACAAAGCAAACCTTTCTTATAACTAATTTATAATACTTGCATTCATTGTAGTTTACGATTTCATTGCAACAATATTTATATATTGTGCGCGCTCTTATATTTGTATAATAAAATTTAGGAGATATACTAAAGGAATACTTTTTATAAGTTAGATATAAAAGATATTTCAATCAAACGTATATAGTAAAATACTACTAGAATAAATTTTCTGAGTATTCGCTCAGACATGGTCACTCGGCAGACCAAACTTGACACCTTTGTAAGAGATTATGATTCAAATGGCACTGAAGTCTTCCCTTCGCGGAATTTTTAAATATATCTCTAAACAACATGTTTGTTATATACCTTGATCTTCTTAGCCAGCGGTTCACCGTATTTATTCCCAAATTCTTCTTTGATGTCTATCATGTCAATTTCACTTCTGGTGGTGACGATATAAATCAGCTGTTCATCTTCGGTTCCAAAGCCCTGTAATATGATTTTGTTTATGAAAAATAAGTCCAGAGACTTGTGTCCTGGAATAATCCTAGTGTCAAATAGCTTTCTCAAACGTTTCAATGAAGTATAATAAAATACAGACAGTTATGTGTGTAGCAAGAAACACAAATGCAGCTTACCTTCATTGCTTCGTGAAGCTGAGTCGCGTAATACAGGGGTGGAATGAACACAGAGAAGCGGACTGTAATATAAAATGAAATATAAAAATTGCATATTATTCCATAATTCCACTTAATTTTCACTTTCAGCAGTTCAAAATTCTAAACGGGGCCACATTTTGACTATAAAGCCAACACAATCCAGTAAAAACAAAGAAGGCACTGGTCCAGCAGAAACATTTTTCGAATCCGAATGCTGAAATAACACGATCAAGTTGATAACGTTCGCCATTCTTGACAGCACCGATCCGACAGCACCGATCCGTTCTATACGATCGATTTCTTAGCCTTATATTAACGTTTGATACAAAATGTGCAATTCATGTTACGGATTGATTCATTGAGGTATAAATTATGGCCCACGCTTATTTTCTAAATAGTACGCAAAGTCTCTAAGAAGACAAACAACTCACTCAAAGCTTTCAATCCTTTTTTCAAATCTCCCTTGCATTCTTTGTCGATGGTTTCAAGGAGGTTGTCCTCTGAAAGTTTCGGCCAACTTTGATTGAACAAAAACCAGAGATGTTCAAAGCTTCGTTGAGTGAAGATCTCCAAAAACTTGGGATGGGCTGGAGTCCAGTCTTTGACTGCCATTTTGTGCAACTCCTATCAAATAAAACAAGAGTCAAGTAAGAAGCTCTAAAGAGATAGAGTTCAACGAATTAGGTAAAGTATATACCTGGGCATCTTCGTCAGCTTGATTAGCTAGAACTGTTCCACTGTCGACTGGTCTGTTTGCTTTCAAAACAGCAAGCAAAAATTGCTTGAACGATCCAGATGTTTCTTTTTCAATGTCCTCTTCCAGTGATTTACCAGGAAATTCTGTAAAAAATCAGCATATGAAAAAGAGTTCACTCATTAAAAAACTGAGAAAGTTAAATGTGTGTGATGTATGTGTTTGATTTCCACTACAAAGAAACTTTCTAAGATACTTTTGATTTTTTTTTTTTGGACTAAATACCAATCCTGTTAAAATCTGTTAACCACAGAACCAAATTATTGAAAACTATCGGTTGTTGGAATACAAATAAATTGGCAACATTCCTACAAAAAGTCTCATTTCGCTATTGATGCTATTATATTATTGGAAACGTACCTGATGCGTAAGACGCCTTGATTTCTTGTATTTCGCGGCTGGTTTGAGTGCAAAGTATTTCTATTAGGACAGCTTCATCTGTGCCAAATCCTTTCACAGCCTTGCGCAATGCATTTGCATCCATTACACTGCGACTCCACATCAAATGCAACGTTACAGTCTTCAAATCACCGCTCAGATCCTTCTTCAGATCCTCGATCAGTTCCTGCGTAATATACGTTGCTCTCAGTTACTTTATGAATCGTTGTATATTTGGCAATGGAGTTTTGTGTATAATTGTTCAGATAAGATCGAAAATCATTATTGTTACAAGAGTTGCAATGAAACATTTCTTTTTTTAGGAAAGACGATTAACAAAATTTCCGTGAAGAATCGAAATAACTTTTTGATGCTTCAAAACTTGTTCCATATATAATTACTTACAGTGTCATATTTGTCCTCATACACATTCGCGATTGCCAATCGTTGAGCTTTGTTGCGACCCGCGAGGATATTGATGATCGTGTCTTCATCAGTTCCTAACGAAAGGTAAATGTTAGCTTGAAAAATGTAATTTGTATATTCTTGTATATATATATACAAAAGTAAACAAACTACCACTGCCTCTAAAGTGCGCTTTCTGCTGGAAAGTCGAGATAAAAAGAACGATTGGTTGTCTCATATTATATGTATGTGTTATAAAGGTATTGCAGTATAGTTGCATAATTCTGAAATTCATTTCAAGACTGGCTTAGGTCTGTATCAATAGTTTGAGTTAATTGATTGCACTTTCTGCAAAATCAAGATGGAGTTTCATGTGTTGAAGTGTCTTACAAGCATGGAACAAATTCCTCGTTGAGGAGTCTTCATGATTTATAAGAGGGCCGTGGAATGATTAAAGTACACAACGGGCAAATGGTGGGATGTATCAAAATAAATAGGAAGGACTGGTTTTTGAGAATATTCTACTAACCTCTCCCTTTTATGGCTTCGTGTAGCTTCTCGGCGTCATCTGCTGGGTTGAACGGTTCAGAGGGTCGGACAGTTCCACCTTTCACTTTCCATGTTACAGACACGACTCCCTGAAATTCATAGTTTCACTACAATTTACAAGTACAAGGTTCATCTTAGCAATTATGTTAGTACACAATAATTGCACTCTTTTGTGAGAAACTGACGTCTATACACATAATGAAAAGTCGTTACGATCAGTATCAATTTCCAACCAATTGGCATTGTACTCTTACTATTCATCAACTGATTGGATATTTTCAAGTCGTGGTTATGGCTCATGGTTCAGTAACAAACATGCCTTCATATCAAAGTGTGTTTGTGCAATAAATGAATTGTCATAATTTCTAATTGATGTGAAAAGTGGTGTGTATGAATGTGGACAATGGTATCAATGTGATGAAATTTCAATCCCAACCTAAGCTCCGGAAAATATATATCATTTGAGTTTATTTTATTCAAACACGACTGATTCTAAAATCATTTTAACAACAATCACATGGGTGTGTTAAAATCTGACAGGTAAAAGATATGCGCACTTGTATAATAGCTATAGCTATTTAGCTATTATAGGTAACTATATAAATGTGTGGAAAATACAGTAAAGAATTCATAGTCTTACAAAAATCTATAGAATCAAGAACAGAATGATTAAAAGGTTGAATGATTAAAACCACAATCTACATGTCACAAATCAGTGACGGATTGGATGACTGTTACGTTATTCAAGTGAAAAATTACGCAGTCAAGCCAAATGTGTGATTTGTCACGCTGTAAACCTGCTTTGTGACGTAGATATATTCGTTCCCAACAGGAGAAAGCATTTGCCACTTCAATTTCGAAGACTTTTGTTTCTTTTTACGCCTGGGCGTTTTGGAGGGGGTTGAAGTCAAGGGTATAGGATTAGGTGAATGTTGAGAGGTAAAAACGGAAGGGGAAATTGTGTCTTCGGACACGAGGGATTGAGTGTCTTCGTTAGGGAAAATTTGGCCAGCTTGTACACCTTTTTCTTGAGGGGTATAGGGTTTATCGTTGACTGGCTTTCTTTTTTGCTTTTGAACTAAGTCTCCTTCTACACTAACGTCCGACATAAAACACGCTTCTATATCATCAGAGGATAACGAGCGGTTATGTAATGAGACATTATCTGGGGTTTGCGTTCCAGTATGGCTTCTCTTTGGTCGGCGTTTCTTCAGTAGTTTCAAACATTTGTCGTCACATTTCAATTCCGCATCTAATCGGGCAATTAAGGCGTCTTTAAAAGTAACTTCACCATTGTCATTTGATTGGTCTACCTCACTACATGGACAACTTTTAGACTCTCATGCGCCGCCGCTTTTCCCATCGTGTGCAGTAGATAAACTACTGTCTGACGTGCTACTTTCTGAATCACTGTCGTCTTGCCTGATTATTTTCGTTGGTGGATCAAAGCTAATTGGGACCTGAGCTGGTTCGATGGAAAAATCTTCTTGAAACTCGGACTTGGGTTCGCTATTTTGGGGGGAAAACGTACCGCCAGGGTCTTCTAACTCACTGGAGTTGCCTGTGGAATTAAGCGATTTCGGTATTACGATTTCACATTCTCCAATACTATATTCATTTTTCTTTTCTAATTTGGAAGGAATGGGTAATGTTTCGGAATATGGTGGTTTTGGAAGTTGAAGTAGGTTGGCAGAATGGTTATCAGGATAGCAAGCTGGATGGGAAATGGAATTTTCTTTTTCATCGCTGACAGTTCTCCTCTCGGCGACCTTACATAAATTTTTCGCCATTAAAATTCTGCCTATTTTTAAGACCTCCGCTTTTCTTTTACAACATCTTGTTGAGTTTATAATCGAACAAAATCTACTGAAAGATTTATTAGTGCAACAAAACTCTAGGTTAATATACAGACGATGAATTTGTGGCGTTAATTGCATTCTTTGGTTATGTACACGTGTAATAAACAACAACATCGGTGCATAAATCTAGTGATTGTGAGCAGAATATAACAACGGCACAACAAAATATTTTGACTGATTTTGCACAGTCTTTCAACAAGGGGGCTTTTTGAGCTATATACATAATTTTGAATAAGTGTTCGTCATAAATTTGTTTCTATAATGTTTGCAATTGCATGCACAAAAACTCTATAGCAAGAATTTATAATAATTAGATAGCATTTTTTTATTATTGTATAATAGCGAAATTTAGCGGTTTCGAAATTGTCTTTCTATGGAATATTTATAAAATTTTGCTCCTCTTCTTCCCAATTTCTTTGTGGCGATGTTCTGGACGTTTTTGCGTTCTCACTGCCAAAAATAAATAAAAAAGAGAATAAAGGAGCGCTCATTAGTGACAAAACGAAGCAAGGAAGAAAAAGAAACAAACTATTGAGAAGAAGAGGATCGCCATTTGTAAATTTAGCAGCGGGATTGTTTTTAACGCGTTGCAATTTAGAGCATGTTATATTTTATAGTTATATTCCTTATTTTTTCAGGTGGGTTCCTTAACAACCTATTAATTCAGCTTATTTAGTAATGCTTGCTATTTGATCAATGAGCTTGCGGTTTTAGTTAAGCAATGATCTGTCGTGCAATAAAGTCAGACGTTTGTTGACGAACGATACCGAGCGTAGATTTTTCACGCATGAATACACTTTGGCGAGCACGAGTAAAACAATGCTATTTTTGAGCTATTATGCTATTTTCAATTCTCTTTGTTTTAATAATTCGTGTCTCATGCACGGTGTTTGCGAGAAATCGCTTTTCCAATGACACGTTGGTATTCATGCTTTTTATTTGTGCGTGCATTTGGTGTTGCATTCAATGTGTATTTGTTGCGGATTAAATCAGTGACTTGGTATCGTCCAGCAAAACGTTCTGCTGGTAATGAATGTTAGAGTGTTAGGTGACAAGAACAAATTTAATTCACCTTCTCCTCTTTGGGTGCTTTTTCTTCCAGCATCTCTCCAACTACGTCGCTCGTGGTTCTTGTTGGTGAACCTTCAGATGACTTACTCGAAGCGGAACTGCAAAATTACAAAATGCATGGTTTTTGTGGTGGAATTGAGGTAAGTAGTCTTCTTTTTATATATTCAATTTCAGTTTAATCAAACGTTACCATTTTATTCAGATAGTACATGAACTTGCAATATGAAGCAATATACATGCAAGTTTGCTTTCATAATCTGGTATTATACATATTTTTTAAACTGCTGCATTGCATTGCTTCTATTTATAAATGACAAAAAAATTTACCTGGATCGTGAACTAGCGCTGGACCTAGAGTGAGATCGTGATTTTCTTGCTGCAGGAGATGCAGATCTGGCTCGAACCGGTTTTCCTTCAGCAACTTCTACGTCAATGTTCCTGTAAAATTATATGAATTATTTGAACCTGCTGCGCATGAGTAATCTTTGTCTATTTTTTGCAGCGGGCATTATTCCAATGTCCCGATTAGATTACGGGCTAATTTCACCTATTTTCAATGCCCGGATGCGCCCCCAATATTACATTAAACACATAACTGTTATTCAACGGGGAAAAGTCTATACCGATTAAATAACAAAATCTTACTTAGATTCCTCTCCTTGCAGAAGTTTGTGATAGATGGCAATTTCTTGATCCAAGCTTAATTTCAAATTGTTCAAATCTTGGTATTCCTTCAAATACTTGCCCAAATCCTGAATAATTAAAGTATCTCGAATATAAGAAGCAATTATGTTAGACGTATCAAAATATAACTTATGAATTTCAAATCATATCTCTCGTCTATGTAAACTTAATTTCCTCGAAGCCGTTTGCTTTAGGGTAAATTACAAATTTACAAGAATGTACCTGCTTAGCGTCATCAAGTTCTTTGCCAAGTGCGTGTATTTTCTCTTGTGAAGTGTTGTTTTGCTTAGCAAGTCTGTCTTCCAAATCATCTATTTGCCTTTCCAAGTTGTCGGTCTGATAACAAAAGAGAGTAAAATGAGATGTATATGTGTGAATACCAATGACAAGTTTTATGCGTAAGTTCCAAAAAGTGAGTGTAATATGTATAATATGACTGTCGAGCATATCTTTATCGTGCTATTGTATTTGCAATATAACTTGACCACCCCATGTATTTGTGGGCGTGCGTTATGCCTACCATGCTATATTATTCAAGCATGCTTGAATTTAATTACCAATCTAAAAGGAAGTTCTATCATGCCCAAAACATTTTTGTAAAGTTTACAAAAATGTTTGGAAATCATGCGAATGAGTCATAGATGTTTCATTTCACCATCACTTTATCTTCCAGGAATCATGACCAAATACCAATTCGTCCGATCTGGAATTTGTTCTTGCTCATTACCTTACTACGGAGGCTTTCAAGCTCTAATTCCAGTTGGTGAATTTGCTTCCGTTGATCATTATTCTCGATACGAAGTATGTTATTGTCTTCTTGCAATGATTTGTTTTGTTTGTGGAGACCTTCAACCTTGATGGTGTAAAATTGTTGATTAGGTTTACACTAATTCAAATTAAGCCTAATCAGCTTCTAGACCTAGTAGAATTTAGTGCACGCTGGACCAGATGTAGTTCAAAAATTTGATGAACGGAAATCACTGAGGTAAGAACTAGGATTTGTATATTGAACTGTGGGTCCTGCCTCTTTGGCTACTCCTACATCGATTCGCATGCCGTTGCCACGCAAGGATACTTGGACGAGATAGTATTGAAGTGATAATAAAATAAAATTTTTCCACGAAATAGCAAGTATATTTGTAAAATGTTTTGTTAGATGTTTACGTCAAAAAAAGTTGTGGGGTAATGTATTTATAAATTATGGATACTGTTAGATAGATTGGCACAGGTGTCAGTTATCCTTATATTTATGGATATTTCATCTCAGGTATTTTCTGAAAAGAATGCGTAAGATATACTCCAACATTATGAAGCAATGTACAAATAAAGGTGCGGTCACTATACGAGCTAATACTACGCGATATACGAGCGACATTTTTGTTTGTTCTGAGGGTGGTGAACCAAAACGTGTATTTTCATATGTAATGAGTGGTTTGAGCCGGTTCAAACCTGATTTCCCTTAGGTAGTCATCGAAATTTCGCTTCATACGGAGATATGGCGCTGTGTTACTTCTTGTGTGTACAAATGAGATGATTTAATCGGGTCACCGAAATAACAGAATAGACTAATAAGTATGAAATTCCTACAGTTGTTTGGTCAGTTTGCTGGATTTATAATGATCACCTTTGCCAGAACATGCTTATAGTCACGTCTTCGGATTCTATTCGACAAAATAAAAGTACCTTTTCTTTGTAGTAGCTGTCGAGTGACTCCATGTTTTTGGTGTTGAAGGCTTCGTATTGCTGTCTCACTTGTTGGATGGCATCAGTCAAATCGGGAGTAAGACTCGATGGTTCGTTCTCCACAACAACTGCATGCACAGGTTGAATTTGACTACGAAGATTGTCCAATTCCTTCAAAATATCAACAATTCAGTATACAAAAAATATATATTTTTGGTGTTCAACTTTAGCAAATATCAAACCGAAAAACTCGAACTCCGTAGCCTCCAACTGCAGTGAATAACAAGTGGGATCTTTAATAATGAACCAATGGCCTTGTTGAATGAGGAATTATTGTGAACTAAAATTTTGTGTATATCACTCCACGCCACTCCCTAATTTTACTTTTTAAATGTTTTATCAACCAATAATATAATATGTCGAGTGTGAACATATGAGGGTACCTTAGTACGGAGTAATACTTAAACAATGGAATTGAATTCCGCTTACCACTGCATGAGCTTGGCGCTCAAGTTGAAGAGTTTCTTGAAGATTCTCTAACTTGCTTTCCATGCTGACCCTCTCGATTGTTGCATCATCAACATCCTACAATATTGAATATTGGGTTATCAGAGTACTTGTACTAAAAATGTCTGCAGGTAATTTATTAATTAATTTCTACTGATGTATATGACACATATTGAGATGAAAATCAGCATAACTTTTCGATATTCAACGCCAGATAGCAAAAATGGTCATATGATCCTGGGATCACGCCATCTGCAATCTGTAAGGACTGGTCGAAGCAAGACCTTTGTATCATCTAGTAACGGGATGTGCCATATTACTGTTATATATTAGTCACCTTTCTCAGATTTTTAACTTCTTTTTCAATGTCTTCCTTCTCTTTTGATACCTCGTCATACCTGTTGATATATTACATAAACAGAGTTACTTAGTGATCTAAATTATATATATATTGAATATTATTATCTTTATAGCACTCAACGCTTCGATATATGGTTATTGTGTGTATTATAGTGTAAAGGTTCAAAGGCCAATTCAGCATAATACAATAGAGGCGGTCGAAATAAAATTTATCCTTTGAATACCTATAGCCAGGCATATAAACCAGACGTTGTAACGCTAATATAAATAGCGACAAAGAATGGCGACGCCCTTAGTACACACACTAGAATTCTCCGGCGTTTTTCCACGAATCCGTTCTGCGCATGTGCATAAGAATAGGGCGACCTCAATTTTGTGCCGGCAAGTATTATTAAAATCAATAGAGCATGTCGCTGCCTTTGAAATATTCCAATTCGAGCTATATTCAATTTTGTGGCTTTTAAATGAGTCGTTGTATGGATTTAAAGAGACAATTCATACCTTACCAACAAGGTAACATTTATTGGATATGTGTTTTTAAACTAGATCAGACAAATTGACATTCCACAAAATATTTTACGTTTTATTTGCGTTTGAACTTTATGTAAATTATAAAGCTTGAATTGGTGTTTTTGCCGACACATTTCCGCAAATATGTGAGCATGCATCAATGGTCATGAACGTATTGGTCCTAACTCCTAAACAAAATCGCTAGGTATTGATATTAAAGGACCTGGTGTGTCTTAATGTAAAAGATGATAATAACATCGCCGTTACCAGACGAAAATAAAATATAGGCCCCGTAGAAAAACATTCAGCACAATTTGAAACTTATCGACATAATTTATCATACTTCTCCTCCAATTCGTCCAGGTCATATTTCAAGTTTTCCTTCTCGATCTCCAGCTTTTGATTTTCGACGGACAATTCTTCAACTTTGCTGCGCAATCTCTGAAAACATAGATAATAAGAACAATTTAGTATATATAATCATATCCACAATGTAGTTTCTTGTTTCCAGTCAGAAATTGTAAGACAAAAGACATCCGGTGAATAGATTTATTATTCAAACCGTCATAATAGGGAGGCTTTGGTAACGAGGTCGAATAAGCCATGGCCTTCTTCGCTGGCCTGTTGCCCAACAAGTCCCCCGCACTTTAGTGACTGGTGCTAGCTACAGTACCAAACATCCAATGCATACATAATGGTGAAAAAATAGATTTTGTACTTACAGACAATTCATCTTCGTACAACCCAGCAACATCTTTTTGCTGGTCATGTCCAGCTGCCTTTCGCAGTAAAGCGTTCTCAGTTTTTAGCGCTTTGTTAGCTTCGACCAAATCGTGAACTTTGTCAATGTAGTTTACCAATCTGTTGTTGCACTTCTTCAATTTTTCTTTTTCAGCTTCCTTGGTCTTTCGCATCTCTCTAAAATGTCAATTACCCTACATTATATGCTTTGTACTTCGTATGGTTTATACTAGTATATGTGACTTTTATTATCATCTTGTAAAAAAGAGATCTCTAACATGCAGTTCTTCTGATGTACTAAGTAATCTAATGAGTTATTATTAACTTCTAGGTGTTATTTTTCTTGCAATAAATAACATTGGAGAATCTTCACTGCCTCATCATACATTTAAATAAAGAAACTACTCGTGAAAATTTTACCGCAGTGTGCGTTCGTACTTACGGAGTCAAAGCGACTGAAGTTGTTTTCCTCTCTGCTCCATAGCTACGTCTGTATGCTGATGTTCTTGTATGGCTGGGCATGTTGTGTCTAAAATGAATGACCAAGTTTTACACCGTCACCCTGGACCACCTGCACTATTATATTTGTGTATAAGCCATCAAGCATATGTTACTTCTAAACCGCATTGGGATATTACAATTTCTGGCGAAGAAAATATTTGATATTTACCCATTTTATCCGAATGCATATTTAATGCGCGCTATGTTGAACATAAATGGTTGTAGTACCAGTTTAAGCCGGTTTAATTCTGTTTCTGTAGACAGACAATACGTGAAAGAATGAAAGTATACGGTTGGATACACATTTCAATGATCCCAACAAATGGGTAAGCATGACGATGCCAAACCCTGTAAAATCTTGATCTGATGAAGCACAATGTACTTTAACAGGATGTCTATATCAAAACGGTTTCAAAATTTTCATTTTTGCGCGCGTGAGTATAGAATTTCCCGAAGTTTTCTACAATAACTTTGCGCGATTCAAAATGAAAAGGATTCAGAAATCGCGCGCATAACACCCGTGTGATAAAACTTGAGGAGTTACCATCAACAAGTTCAATTGAAACTTAAACTATAACTAATATTATTGGTTGTATTCTCTCAGAACTGTTTTTGTCCTGTGAAGATTATATCGAATTGAGACTTACTTCAGCACTAAAATGACTACACCCACGCAAATAGTATTGGAATCTACATGGATCAATGCATTTTCTGAATAGTAGGCTAGTCGCCAAGAAATTGTAAAAACGGCCACACCCAACACTGAAATGTAGACGAATTGTCAAACCCAAGGAAAATTAGTAAGATAAATTGTGGGTTACTTTCAAAACGTATCGATCATGTCATTTAATTTCACCCACTTGGAGCGCAGTCAGAGCGCGTACATCGAAAGCATGACAAATAGCCAGTCATAACACAACTCACAATCCCTGTTTCCAATCGTTTATCCACCCTAGAATTGCTTAAATAGTAATTTTTTTCTATAAAATAAAGTGTCCCAAGTATCAAAAATTTATATTTCAGTATTCCAAATAATTGTACAATTTACAGCTGCAGCACGTTCGGAATGTCCGGGAGTCAACTTGAACTTGTGCTGGATATAAATAGCAGTTTGTTGTTGTCTATATGTGAAAAATAGATGATGCTAAACCGTATATTTGGGATCACTTTGGCCTTTGTCATCGACCACCTACCTATATAATTTTATACTTCGCGACAAAAAAAAACGCTCGGTTTACAATTTCAGCAAATTCCGATTACTGCCGTCGTCCCACCCACGGATAATATTGACAGACAATAAAACGGCTTTCAGAATGTGCTCGCTGTTGTTTGAGACAAGACGGAAAATATTTGATTTGGGAGAAATATTTCCTATTAGTTGTCTCTAAGATGGAGACGTAAAGTAATTTGCTTTTCCGTAAACTACAAATCTTGTTCGATTGAACAATTGGTATTGATCCGAATTTTTCTCGAAATAAAAGGAACGTCTCACGCGTTTTGGGAAAAAATATTCCGATTTTTCAGAGAAGGATTCAAGGTAAAATACCAGTATTTGGTACACTTTTTCTAACAGCATATAATGGTGTTTGTCTAAGCCTAGTTATTATTTGGTCGTTCCTCGATGTTGCTTATATTAAAGATGCCTTTCTCGTTTATCGCTGAAACATCGTGCAAATAACATTGCGCTGGTGAGGCTTTGTCAACAAACATATATATTTGGAAATATTTATTTTCTTTTGCAAATTCCAACATTTAAGCTCGCGTCAATAACGCAAATAATTTAGAATATGCACAGCCTACGCCCACCCTTACGTCACTGGAAAATTTCTATTAAGTTTCACGACTTCGGCTAAGTATACAGAGGATAATATGTCACCCAAAAAACCCATGGCGAACCCATATATACCGGGACCAATATTTAAATTATATTATTTCATCACCAAATATCAACAGTGTGATTTCTTACAAATTTTTATGCGCACGGGTTTGTGTATTTCATCGATATACCATCGGTTTGGTATATTCCGCGACACTGTAAATATCACTCAATGCGATTAATTCTGCGCGCGAAACGTTTTTTATCCACATCATTGGAAAATAGTCTTCTTTGTATCTTCTGATCTTTTCATGAAAAAACCTATTTACTCCGTAATAATTTGATCGACCGTATAAATCGAATCAGGATATTTGTTTTTGCTCTATGACTGCTCAGTGTCATACGACATAGAAATGAGTGAATGCGGCTTCACGATTCATAAACTATTGATTAGCCTGAGAAGTTTGTGTAGGTAAGTATTGGTTCCTAAACTGATTCAAGAAAAACAACATCTCCTTTTATGGTTGCGGCAAAATGTTATTTGCGTTCGGCAAACATCGCACCAGCAAATTACTGCGTTTTGTAAAGCCACTCCGTCGACTGGGTAAACGCGCCGTTGATTTCACAAATTGCCCCATTTAACCTACGTAGGTGAATAAAATAGCTTTTTATCCTTCACGAAAGATGGAATGGTTTTGTGTTGACGAATTCGAGCGGAAATTTAGTATATTCATGATATTATGGCGTTCGTTCGTGCGTGGTTTTCGTCTCATTCTTAGCAGGCCACGATGATTCGAACGACAGTAAACACGGCATCCAAGGAATGCTCACGTCACGCAAGGGCGTGGTTCAGAAATATGAGTCGTTCGTTTCCTACCAGCGTAGGTTTACGCTAGATTTGAGTTCCAAAAGCAAAAACAGACATTTGAACCCCTTTTCCGTATTTGCGCACGTGAAAATTGGTCGTAAAAAAACAAAAATTGTAATGATAGCGATTACGTAACCCCAAAATAATATCTATATCTTCAGCCTTTTTTTCTTGCGTTTGAATCGAAAACAATTTGACATTTAAAAAACTATGTTGAAAAATTTGTCTCAATCGGTCTGATACCCATAGCGGTACATGACTCATATATTGAGGTAGCTTTATTTTTGCACACCCAGCTACTAAAAGGTCACGCAAGTTTGAAGCGCAAAGGGTTGAAATAGGTTCAGCAGAGACTCCGGCGAAATTTACAATCGATGAGGGATAAAAAAAAAAGTGCGCGTACAAATTCTCACCAAATTGTTTCTGGTAGACAAAATTTGTGATAAATGATTCCTGTGGCAAATAAGCAAAAATGTATTGAAATGTCCAATGTAACTTCCCGGTTTAGGCTGCACCTCTTGTAAATGCTCGGCTACGTTAGAGCCGCGAGTTTTTGGGCTGTAGCCCACAAGTCCTTAAGTTTTGATCGAGTAGGAAATACGTTTTTGGATATATTATAGGTCTTTTAATTGATTAGATTGTTCCACCCGTTGGATATACTCCGAAACTTGGAAGTCACAAAATTTAATAATAAAACAGATCACAAACCGTTTTATGGTACACATTTTAAACTGTCTGTATGAGAAAAGCGTCATAACAACTCAGCACTTCCATTATACAGAGAATACAATGCTCAGGTTTACTATTTCGGTCTTCGTCACGCTTTCATGGAATGACAGTAAGTGACAGTCGTTACATGTTTGCATCCGGTTTATTTGCTTTCGGCGTAATATATATGCAGTATCAGCATTGCAATGTTTACGAAAATGCCTATATTTGAAATGACAAGACTTTGATAAATGGGCATCGTATACACCGCAAAGCAAATCATACAATCTTTTGTACAAGATTCCGCGGTACGAAATTTCTGTTCAATACGAGTACGGAGTACCGGCAAAAAATTTAGCCATACAATGTGCAACTCGTATTATGCATGACGTAAAATCTCAAACGTGATTATATATCTTGTATAGGCTTAGGATGTACAGTAATTACGACAAATTTGGGTTTCGTCGTTTTGGACAGTTATAATATAATATTTCTGTGCCTCTACCGAAAAATGTGCATGGGCTCTTCAATGTATAAATTTGTCGGATGGTATATTTTGCACGTAACGATTCACACCAATGTGTCGTCAATGAAAATACTAAATTCTCTATTACAATCAGTAATAAATCAGTATAAATTGCATAAAAGTTTTTAACTGGTTCCCTCCCGCCGTACTGCCCCACATTTTTTTTTTTATATTTGCCACATATCTTCAATTGAAGGTTATAATAATTGAATGTACACATTGCATGGATTGAATATTCGTATTTGGTGGATAGAAATTCTTATTGAGATTGTTTTCGACTTCTGATTTAAGCACAAGAGTAAAAGTAATCGACACAGAAAATATGAACGAACCTTTTGCTCTTCGTTTCTCGAAATGTCGAATCCGATCACCCGTACTTGCTCCGTCGAAATCTTGCTCGAAGATGGTGACGGTGACGTCGCGAGGTACAATTTATTCAATACCGGCAACCGGGCTAAGCTCAAAGAGAGAGTAGCTCGCAACTGTCGACTAATAAAGAAACAAGGTTCAGTCGAGCAGTGAGACCATTCACGTTAAATCAAATATGGCTTAGTGTGTAGGGAGCGTTAAACGAATTCAAAATATTGCGGTCTAGCTCAAATACCGGCCTTGCGTATAGGACTCACGTTCGCATATTCAGTGGGCGTGCTAGTCTGAATACAGGTGGGTGAGAAAATCCACTTGACATTGATAAATGACTTCATTGGTATTTCTAGGCGAAGAGAGAAACATGCACAAAGTTATTTCGTGACACTGAATTCAAAAATCCTCTGTTACTGAGCGGAAGTCGCATTCAACTAAAATCGATGAACAACAAGAAAATAAATAAGAACACAAAATTAAATTAATTTTAGGCATAATACTTCTCAAACCGCCATACCAGTCTGTAATACATCTTTTGTGAATTTCTACGAAAACTTGACATTCATGATAATTTTATTGAAAAAGGGGGATTTTCAGAACCCGCATTCATCCATATTTGAAGTACTGAGCAGAAAATTAATTGTGTTGAAATACTAAATACTCTATGTGTAATATGATCCGTATGTCTACCCGATTGGTAACCGAATCTATTGTAGTAAGCCAATGAGACGAACATGTTAGGACTAGTTTAACCAAACGTATATTAATTTTTATCACTAATCGTTGATATTAAATTTACTCTCCTTAGTGGAATTTCCTAAGAAATGGTACAATTGCTAAATTGTATCCTAACTTAATTGGTTCAAATATCCAATAGTATTTGACGTTAATGACGAATCGTTTTTTCTTTAATTAATATAACGACGTTTTCAGCATCCTATTCATTTTCTTTTGTGATTGATTATGTATCTATCTATTCACTCAAGTAGGTCAATACAATTAATTCTCGCAGAGGTATTGTACAAACACGTCATGACCGGGGTCAACCATATTCTCCTGCTTGAGCAAATGTCACTGATAAACACTTTGGTTTCTTTGCAGTAATTACCACGCCTCGCAAACTGTTTATTTTTAAATACCAAAACATGTATGGACGGGTCACGCCGATCATTGTGCTTTGTAGAAGGCAGTTGCGTACAGCAAATAGACACAATACGAAGGTTGTACTCCACAAATATCCTGGCGTTTGAGAAAAATGTTTTCAACATTGAATACTTAAAATCATTTGAAGGTAGTTTCATATCAGGTTCTCTGAGTTTTATCCGCACGCACTTCAGTGTGTGTAAACTTGACATCGTGTCCACTGTCCAGGTATATTCTTTGAAGCTTTTTCTTGGTGTGAAACGACACCTAGCGTTCGCGCTACACGGTTTCATACGAAGAAACGAGCTCGCTGTCATAATTCTTTTTTTATTTTTCGAGAGAAATAGGGGCGTTATTTCATTTCAACAATAAAAAAAATGCCTCTTCTGGAAATGTTTAGCAACATGAAATAAATACCGCAACATCTCGAATGTTCGTGCGAATGTTAAAACTGTTTTCTACCAAAATACAGTAGATGAATATTCAAATATATTGCTACGAATATCAAATGACTACGTCAAAGAGCCTAATTGCATTGTGTTAAACGATACCATGATTATTTATTGTCCACGCGATACTTACTTTCTCAGTGAGCCATTTTTATTTTGTACTTGTTGCAGGAATTGAAATAAGCAAACCACATCTTTGTCAGCAAACACCGACTTGAAATCCCTTCCAAAGTTCAATAATCACCGAACGTTGTTCGATATGAAGCGAAATTGCTCATATATATGTTCATGTATTTCTTTTTTTTAATTCGTATTCTGACTATGCATTTGTTTGCTTAGATTCTATAATCGTTGACAAATGAGGCTGACATTAATGCATGACTCGTCCGTCACCTCGTTAATACATGGAGACTTGGATTAAAGCATGCCGGAGTGTTTTCTTTTAATTTTATTGAACGAGTAAAATTTTGGATGAAATACCGGATCTCATAGTTCTCCAAGAGGAATTTGAAAAACCTAAATAGAGGTGATAGCTTTCCAGCAACTTTAACTGTTTTCTGAAAATTGAACAACAATCACCCAACAACAACAACAAGAATTTATCAAAACTATCCATAAGTATACATCGTGTCGAATAAAGTGAGAATCACGAGCCACAAACTGGTCGCGAACCTATCTGTTATAACTGAGGTGCAATGGATAGGTTTATGAGGGATATTTGAGAGATGAATAGGCTTATGTGGCGGAAGGGATATTTCGAATAAGTAGCTTACAATGCAGATGATAACAAGCTGAATCACAGAAAAATGTTCGTTGTGATTGGATAAAATGAATCCGGTATGAAATTAGCGTTGACTTGGTATTATTTATCAATGCCTTACACTTCGTACAAGCGTATCTTATGATTGTTTCTCCAGAAAGGAGGAATAAATATTGCCAAAAAGAAGTTTCTAAAAATATTAACTTCTTCATAAGCTTACTCAGATGTAGTTACTCGTATATAATGGCATATATATCCTATTTCACATATACTTTTGCCATTGTCCTAAGATTCAAGCGTTAAATGAATACGTTAAGTAGTTCGGGAAATAAGTACATCCAGAGTAAGGCCACGACCTTCTCTACAATAGTACCAGGCCAAAAGTGTACCGTTTTGTACTAGAACAGATACCATTTGTAGCTCAGTACAAAAGTATAGATTTATTATAGATCAGTGGCCGGAAACCATAGAGCTGAAGAGTCATTTACCGAGCAGCATACTCTTCCTGGTAAAAAATTTTTACATGCGATACAACAACAATACAACTTTATTTCGATCTTTTGTCTACAGCACAGAATACAAATATAAAAAATGAAAAAACACGGACAATGACGACGGAAAGATTGGGAAATTGGGCAAAACCCAGAGAAAAATTTATAGCAGATGCTTTAACCAGCGTTAATGCCCATTCATTCAGTTAGATATGACTAAATAAATTGTCATACATATATTTGGGACGATTTTACAAAACTGAACCCGAGTAAAATATTTTCCTGCAGTCAGTTTATGCTGCAACACGCAATACCTAATTCTAATAAAGAAGAAATATTGAAAATGAAGGGTGGGTTTTCAAGGTAGATGAACCACTAAATACATATTTGTCATCTCATATGCGAAAATACTGTACCTCGTTTTTACTCAAGAAAATAAGATTCTTCAAATTTTCAAGCTCCCCACTAATGAAAGTGTTTCATTAAATTTTACTGTTTCACAATATTATTTTGATTTGTAGTTCATCTTGTGAAATATGTATGTGGCAAAGTTTGCGGCCCGCTGGGCTTTCAGAATTATGCTTGCGGCCCTCGTGGTAATTTTGAGTTGTGCAGGCCTGTTGTAGACCCATTATTACCCTTTTTCCCTTTGTTTGTAGCGTAAATTAGTATTATTATCTGTTGTCTGGTTTAGCGTTTTCCTTTCGGTCATTTTTGCATCACGTATTCGTCGTGTAAGAGTCGCAGATATTTGTCTGTTTTGTGGACTATTTATCTGTTATATATATATATTGTAATTTTATTAGCCTCCCGGATCGGAAAACGTTTGGTGAGAAATTTGCCTTTTGTTGTTGTTATATGATTTGACTTATGTTAATCAATTGTGTTTTATTCATTTAAGAAAACCGCTGTTCTTTGCCAAGTGTATAAAGAAGCTGATTTATGCATGTGGCTTGTTTGTGGACAAAGGGGCTGAGAGTGGCGCGTTCGATACGAAACAGAACATGCGTGCGGGAACAATGTTGTTGTCACTGAGTTTCGTAATATCAATGTGAGTGCGTCTAGCTGCGGCGAAACATGCTAAAGGATCTCTTTGCTGAATAAATATGAGTTGTAATAAATTTTCATTGCTGAATATTTGTTTTGACAGCTTTCTGCGGAAATATTTCAGATTGAATACGGTCCGCTGTGCAAAAATGTCTCCGTCATAGATTGGACTGTTACAGATCGCAAATCCTATGATATATATATTGTGTAGTTCCATTACGGTTTTTCATTTAATTACAAGTATACATATCTATCTAGAGTAGTTGTTTTATAAAACGTAATTTTTCTGATTTGTGCAAGTGCTGGCGATTTGCTTAATAAGCGGTATGCTATTATGATATGTATTGCATGTGTAGCCCAGAGGTGATGTTGAAATTGGCGTTAAAATTGTTTCTCTTTCGCGTGCTATCGTTAGATGGAGACAAGCAGCGTATAATATGACATTCTGATAGGATGTGGACGTAAATAACAATTAAACATTATAGTTCGCGAATTATACGTTTGTATATACAAAGGGTGAAACAAAAACAGAACCCATAAATTATTTACTACGAATATGAAGAAAATATTTTAACACTTGAACTTCTTTATTATTATGTTTACTCAAACGTTTTTAGTAATCTAGGACGCCTAGCAGTAGCACATAAGTTATGTTCTTTCTAGAATATCTTTCAAATGACCTGGGTTCAGGTTGTGCGCCATCTTGGTGCGCATACTTCAGGAGGTCCCAATTTTCCTTACTTTAGTTCTATTACGAGTTCGGGGACTAGCCAAGTGACTCCCGAAGTGCCAGTATTTGTACCTGAAATCATGGCCTAAGCCTAACCTGGTACACATACTACGTTCCGGTGTCCGCCATATTGGTTCACATACTACGGGAGTACCCAATTTATTACATGGGATAGTATTTCTGACTGGAAAAGAGTCAGAATGAAAAATGAAGTCACGGGTTCTCGTCGCTAACATAATATCTGTGATCCATCGGCAGATGGCGCAACGGAGGTTAAATTTTGCATCTTCTGACCTTAGGAAAGCAGAACACGAGTACAAATGAAATGTGAAAATGCAATGCCAATAAAATTACGTCGGAATTGGATTTGATAGGCATTTTACAAAAGAAAACTCGCTGTGATTCTCAATATAGGCCAATGATTGAAAATTTCATCTCGTCAATTTATTCATTTATATGAATTTGAATAGGCTGCAATGACTTGCATTTGCAGAAAAAACAAGTTCAATATTAGATTATTTCATACTAGTGGAAACAGGAAAGCTTTTTGAACAATAAGTACGGAGTTTTCATTTTTTATTGGGTTGTGTATTTGAAATTTTCCACAAACAGGCTAAGTTTATTTTGCGGTCACACGCCAGACTGTTATAATAAGATCCGAGCTTTCTGAAAAAACAACGGATCGCACGTAGCTTTGCGAAATGCTGCATTTCGCAACAGCACACATTGTCATTGGTCTAGAGCGGTGGGCGTCGCGTGAGCCACAATCAGATGATTTCCTGCTACGTCACGACCTAAAATACGAAGCGACGCCTTTGTTATTTAAACGTTCGGTGGTTGGCATCGTCTCAAATTTATTATTCGACGTAATGAATTCGGACGTAACTGAATGCGTTTACTCAAATAGCAAGTATAACTGCTACCGTCCCAATAATCTATGCATTTTTCATACGATGTAACTATTTCGTGCAGCTAGCTCGATTTACAAGGCTGTTAATTTATTGAAAATTCAGTTAGGCCTACTGCGATACTTGTATGTGGCTCAACTGATTTCAAGCAAGAACTCCTTACTCATTTTAACATATGGTATATCAAGGTAATTTCACGCGTGACTGAATCAGCGGTCTTCGACATGTTGCTTCGAAATTGCAAAATCAAGTTTAATGACAGAAATTCGCCTAAAACTGTAACTATATTGTATGATCCTCACTTGAAAGCGAAGAACTCGGGCAAATGTTTCAGAAGGGAATTTTTTATTCAATATCCGAATCGGATTTGGCAGTTGCTCCTCCTCTGCCATGCTTGTAATCTAAGTTTAGCATGGATTGGGAATATAATAATACTACAACCTACTACATAATAATTATGGAAGACTTAATGAATCGTTGAGACGTCCGAAACTATTTGTAACCCGTCACTAACTGGCATACGATATTCAAATCGAATTTTAGTTCTATTTTCACTAATATGCATTGATGGGATTCAAAATTTAAAAATATATACGTTTTTTTTCCTCACCTCAGAAAACCATGACGAATCACTGCGTTTAAAAAAACATGATCGGGTTTGCTCATTGAAACGATATTCCAAGAACGGGTTCTGCGAACCCCCTGCATCCCAATCCCACAACTGCCCATGCGATACAAGTCTAAGAAATGAACATATACGGTGTTGTGTTCAGAATTTTTCTTCGTCATAATAACACGGTATAACTTGAAATAAAAGTAAACGGCAGAAAGCGACATTCGCCCAAATAATTAACATGCAAAATATATATATAGCACAGTGTGTATCATCTTTATAAGCAAACAAAAAACTGACATTTCAATATTCAATTAACATTAAAGAGATGATGGAAATACAATATTGCTGGAAAAATTTAGACAGGGTGAAATAGTAAATGTTGGTTTAAACATTTACCTTGTCTAGCGTTTATGAGAAATTATATCGTAGTAGAAAAATGTTATCAAAACATTTAATTCAATCACCGGATTGTCAGCTAGTTAAAAACATAACTATTGCAAGATTACCACAATCTAAGGGGAAAAAAGCAATTATACACATTCATGGAAGTATATAACTATTTCTAGATAATTTTTAATAAAAAGTAAACGCTAAAACGCGCTGATAAAATCAATGTTGATTAGTTATAGAGAATTTTGAAATAAAATGGCAAAAAGTTAAAACAAATCTCTAAAATTGCTAATGAATTTTTTACTACGTAAATTGTGAAATTGACTGAAGACAAAACTACATTATGAAAACACTTAATTTTCGAATTTCTTTGTAAGTTTCGAATGTAGTTAATTTTAACATTTAGTTACTGTAACCAGACCTTTAAAACTGGTTCTACTCAGTCAAACGTCGGTGGCCGATATACTTATACCAACAGACGAGGTAAAACTTTCAGTAAACCTAAATCTACGTGAAACGTCAAGTCATTACGAAAAAGCGTATAAACTTAAGCCATGATTAAAAAACGACACAAAACTAACAATAATTATAAGCCAAAAATTGAAATCTGCCTAATGCACAATTGCAATGTCTAGTGTTACGAAATTGGACCACTCTCATGTTGGGCGTGAAACATAGCTTCGACGTAACTTGGGTACACCGGTTCCTCGACCGCTTCTGTGGGAGTCAGTAAAGGTGCGGAAGTGCCAAGGTGAGGAGCCGGGAATTCGGGGGTAGAGTCAGCGACGTCCTTGAAAATTCTTTTGTATTGCTCGTACGATACAAACATGACTATATTCCATGATCCGAGACGAAGATAGGACGGTACAAACCTGTTTTAGACAAGGAAAGATATGTTTATAGAACTTGTGCGCTGTAACTGCGGCCGATCACCACCACAGCCCATATTAGAACGCGAGTTTCGCATTTTAGCTGAAAAAAAATCGACTGAATTTGCACTGTCGATCCCCACAGTATGAATGAATATGCAAGGCTGTGTTGTATCATCATAATCCACAGAAGAGTACTCGTGAATTACCTATATGCGTTGTTATGTCGATTATGGACAGACGCAAACTCTGTAAAACATGGACTGCTGCAACTTTTCCTGACCTATTTATATTGCTACTAAATTTTCTTGCTCTTATTCGAAAATAGAAAACTTCAAAGGAAAACAATTGTAAAATAAATTTATGGTGCCATTGAAAAAAATGTACCTACCCTTTATAAAACGCCCTTAATCCTTCGGATTTAAACATTTTAGCCGCACATTGGATAGGATTCTTGTACGTTCCTTTGTCCGAATTCATATACCTTGTTTTTACGACATCGACGGGTGAGGCCACCACAGTTGTGATAAAACCTGAAATCAGAATTTGATTATTTAAACAGACAGCTCAGTGAGACATAACAAAATATATATCATTGACATTGAGTTTATGCCATTTGCATAGCGTGACATTGGGACATTCCATCACAACACTAAAATATATTATGACGTCATATGAAGTAAAACTCTTACCAGATGTGAGAGCGGAAGTAAAATGGCAAGGCAAGCTGTCGGTCATCAAATTCCGCTTTAAAATGGTTTCTTTAATGAGATCGTATGTGACCAATTCGCATACATTGACTACTGCAGTTCGAGTACAATTGGCGCCAATTCCTTTCCATGCTTCAGCAATTCCACCAGTTTTATACAGGGATCTAAATGATCAAATGAATGATGTTTATATAAAAAAATTATAGTAAGACATAGCGTGCAGTAAAAATACATGGTTACAGACATATATGCGGTAGCAATATTAACCTGTACGCTTGCAAAGAACTGGTGTATCTTCCCTTTTCAGCTTGCATTCTTATCTTCACCACTTCAGTAGGTTGGAACATACACACCGCCATGAAGCCTGTCGTTGCTCCAGCGAGGATGCGTTGGCCGATCAATTTACTATCTGGGCCACCTGAAAAGTACAAAACGGGTCATAGACAACGACGCCCTCTTTGTATAATCTTGCCTAATGCCTATAATATAGGTATAGCTAGATATTGAACTCACCTGGCAGCAGATTGACGTAGAAGGTTTTAACGTTATCATAAAAGCCGATTCGAACGGAACAAAATCCGATTTGTCGTTGCAAGCCGGCACTCAATCCACTGTAGAGAGATCTCGCCCCACTCTTTTTCACGTTGGAAATAATGGTTTGCATTGCACCTTTAGCGCTTTTCGACGGATTTACAGCTGCAAAAGCTCTCTTCTTAGCCATGTAAATCTCCGATAAGGTAAGTTCATTGAAGGTTTGTGTAGCATTTGCTTTGACTTTTATGGCGGAGCAAACGGCATTGTCCAACAGAGTAGTCGCTGCTGAACCATTGCCACCTTGTTTTGACATAGATAACTTTTTGAGCATGTAAAGTTCGGATGACGTTAGTTCTGTGAATGTATAGGTAGCGGATGCTGATCCAGGGGTGGTTAAATGTAGCCCTTTTGGCAGTGTAGATGCTTGAAATGTTGATTTTGCACCGGGAAATGGGCGAGCCGTATTGGGATAATTAGAAGCCAGTGTGTGCGAGAAGTGTGATGTTTGAACAGGAAGACCAATCTTGCCCTTTGGTACTGTGGAATGTTTTGCGGCTAATGGTTTAGATGAGCTAGTCTTGTCGCCACCTTCACCCTTGACCTGAAATAAACAACCATGACATAATGCAAGATAACAATTGCAAACAGGAATGTGTCCCGAACGGTGTTACGTCGATTAAGACAAGAGAGAAGGCATGCAGGAACTGATAAGAATGAAGTCCTGTTGATTTTCAACCGTGCTGTTTCTGCTCTCAGGTCATCATCACTCGATAAAGTAAGAGGACCATTGGAATTGGAACGATGATTTTCATACAACCTGTTTTACATTAACAAAAACACCGAAAAAAAATGATTAGATAGAGTACATGCATTGGATAGAGAAATTAAAGTTACACCAGTAATTTCAGAAGATATTCAACGTTCCGCATACATTTTATTGAAAAAGTATCAAGATTTTAACATTGAGTAAAACGCTCACCTGTAACCACACTTTAATTGTGTCCAGTGGAAAGGTAGCCAGATCTGCTGTACACCCGGCAAGTCCGGCGGCGGCGATTTTCAAGGGAAGGGGAAGCCCAACTTCGTCCGGAGAAGTCTTCATTTTCGATGACTTAAATTACGATCGATTTTGATATAATTCTTGAGGTTGGTGAATTAACTAGTTTTGGCACAAATAATCTGACGAAAAAAAAGTTTCAGTTCCAGCTATCAGAGTTGAATCAAAATGGGTGGGGCTGTGGATTGACTTTTACGAGTAGTAAAAGGCCCACATATCAAGGGTTTTCGACTGGTTTTTGTTGTTTTCGGATTCAGTTTTATCATAATCTGAGCAACCAAGATTGACAGATTTAGAGCAGTCCAAAATATGTTCTCTTTTCTTTCCACCAAAATCGAAAGTTCTCAAAAATGACGTAAAAACCCCGAATTTCTGCTTCCCTACAATAGGGAATTCTTGAACTGACGGCAACGACTTTTCTTTCTGTATTCCTGTGCTGGCTACAACGTCTGTGTCGACTTTTGTCGGCGACTTCGGCTCGTCTGACATGCTATGTAAAGATACTGAAGATGAATTTGAAGCCCTGAAAAATAGAGAGGGCATTCGCGTTACGATTGTCGTATCATCAAAAATCTCTACCACTATAATATTATACAAACATAACTACGTTGCGCAAGTCTTCCATGTTTACTGAAACCAAACATCAGGTAACATGGATCCACACGGTAAGCAAACAAAAGCCTGGAGAAAATGCTAATTATGACCGTTTTGTGCCAGACGGCTTCAAGAAATCTAAGAAGGGCTCTATATTGCGTAATAGCTAGTCGCTAAATTACGAAAGACAGGAACCGAGCGCGTACGTGATCGTATTTGGCCGGTAATGAGTCAGGCGCAAAGTAGTACCGAATTATTATGAATTTCGAAACACCGGTATCTATTGAACTGAAACCAATCGTTTTTATAATGAGACAACCACTGACAACGTATAAAATGAAACACGTCGATCGGGCAAAGTCCACACACACAAATAAAATAAGAACAATCGTTTCGTAAACACTGCCTTTCAATAAGACACTGTAGCAAGCTGACCCGTGTATGCAAGCTAGACTACCTCAATTTTATTAACAAAAGCTTAAACACTAACGACTTGAAATATAATATTCAGTACATCAAAATTACAACTTTTTTACTCCAGACTTGTGTAAATTCCTATTTATACGATGTAACACAAGTAACTCATAATCAACTTGCATGGAGGGCACTCTCACCTGCAATTGATTCCATGATTGACTAGTTACTCACACTAAGTGACTTGAACAATCCCTACGCTTGCATGCTTTAAATAATGTCGGAGTAATAAATCGATTTTCTTAAATAGAGGCAAATACTCAATTTATCATTATTTTGTCATAATACTGAGCATACTAATAGTGATACAAAATCAAACATCAAATCGGAAGCATGACTGTGACATAGCACATGTCCAAAATTATATAGATCATCAATAGTACAAAGTTCTCGAATGGATCAATTCAACAGCTAGCAAGCAGTTACTTTCGTGGACGTAAGTCACAGGATTTGCATGGTTACAACACAATTTATTTATTCACAAGATAATCCCCGAAACGGTCACATAGATTTGAAACAAAAAATAATCCTCGATCAAATATTAATTAGTATGACCAACGTGGATTATCCGATGGTCATTTACATCCCGCAGTTGAACAAGAAAAACAATAGATGAGATTTGTAACGCTTATAATTATAATCAACACGATGTGAACTTATTCGTTTAATACGAACGACCTTGGTGACCCATTTTTTTTCCACTTCTAATCTAGCTCAAATGTTGTACGCATCTAACGCCAAAAAAAATTTTCGAATTTATTTTATGCCCAAGTAGTCTACTTCTGCAAAATTCATTTGATACAACTAACAATGTGAACATTACATTAAAAATTCATATTCATCATAATAAATTAAAGCACCCCGAAACCTTTCTGAATTAGTGATATAGACATCACTTTGAGTGACAAAGCTTAGAAGTAGTTCCTTATTCAGGCGAACTTTTCAGTCAATAAAATCGACCCAGGCTCGCCTCATTATTTATGGACGATAATTTCACACGATTAGTCAAGTTTGGCAACTTTGTATATAGGTGTTGCGAAACACACCGTTTGACCCCACCCGAACTAAAAACCGATCCATAACTCACACAATAAAGCGCTTTCTGATTGGTCGGTAACTATCCCGATGAGCGAGGTGTGTCGATGACGTCTGAGCCCGCACTCAGCTGATGTGGTTTCTCGACCAATCAGGTTTGAAAAGGTATCGCCTTTGTTAAATGTCGAGGTCTCTGTGCTCATCTGCACGTTGAGGTTTCGCAATATTGTTTTCGTGAGGAATTTTGATTCTTTGTTAAACTCATATCTGCCATCTAATCCCTAAATCTCTATAAATTTAAAAAAAAAGGGCAATATATTCAGACGAAATATAACGTGCAACGTGTTATTCATCATGTGCATTTCATATCCCGAGGCAAAAATGCAAATTATGAAATTGTTGCTTGTAATTTGTGCTGCTTCAGCAATATGTCAATCAGAAATTCTAAAATTTCCACCAGAAAGGAGTACTGAATTTAAAATCATAGCGTTAAAGCTTGAAAATCATCGAACTTTAGACAACGCTGGCATTGATTAACATTGTATTTAATAAGACGTTGCTTTACCCAATGAAATATGGACAAATCATGCATTTCCATTCAAAGATACATTTTTACAATGGGGTTGTGTAATACCCAGGAACTCATATACCCTCTTACAGATGTTTTCGATATTACACCACACGAAAAAATTGAAACTAAAACATTAATACAAACACTTGTCCGCCTTTATCGCGTCATACAAATAATAGGGGACTATGTACAAACTCGTTTGTTAGTTCTATAATAATATTCAAACATACTTTGCTAACACGTTCAATTCTTGGAACCAATTAAAAACGAATTCGCGTTGAATGCAGCACACACCTCTTCAGTAAACAAGTTGTCAGTATTGGCGCGGAGACTGTTTATTCACAGAACGTGCGACTCTGTGATGGCGACTGCGATATCCATTCGGACAGTACATTTTGTATACGTGCATAAAATTTACGAGAGCGAATCTCACCCTGAGATGGATTTGAAATCATTTTTCGGATTTTGCGTTCGTGGTTCAAATTGCCGTTCACAGAGGGCAATTCATTTGGGTAACCTTTGACATTGTGGTCGTAGTGCGTGCATATGGCCTTGGTTTTCAGGCTTTCTGATGTACTAACTTTCGAAGTCATAAAATAAAACTTTGCCAAATTATTTTATGTTTTTATGTAACTTCTAAAAAAAACTAATTCAAAGCTAATTTGCCTACATTTTGTTGTCTTGTCTAGTTAAATTATCAACTCCTTCATATATCTTTCTTGTATTCTATACTCGACTTTACAAACATACAAAATGTTGTCCGATCGCCATTTTAGGTCTAATCTGTAATAACGAAGTAGCCCAAAAAAGATTTTCACCAAATTTTCAGCTTTAAAAGGCGCGAGTGTTTACGTCACGAGCAAAAATATCCGAAAACGCCTACTTTTTATCTTCAAACTCGTGTTGTGACTCGTTCGGACCTTTTATTATCGGTCACACCCGCACCGACGTCAAATCACCACTGATTTATAGAATGACGTGGAATAACCGGTAATACAATGAAAAAAAATTAAGTTTTTCAGAATGATAATGTCGTAAATTATCCTTGACTTACAAATTGGCAAGTAGGATTTGATATGTCAAAAAACAACCAATAGGGTTGGACTATTTTTGGCGCACCTACAAGTGCTGTCCAATTGCGACGCGTAGTTTACCACTCCACAGGTGCGTACATTATGGGCAACTATTAAAGATAGTTTTTCATTAGTCAGGGTATACTCAACAGCGTTAGACAATATTAAAAGTCAGGTCAAGAAATAACATTTTCGAATTTCCTGTATAATATACACTCTGATCAGTATGGTTATGACATTACTGAGAAATGTTGCATATTCGTTGTGTTTAATAACAATGCACTCAATATTAGCGTACTCACACAGAGAATAGTTCCAGAAGAGAACGACTCCTCTACAAAGTGATGCTGAATCGCAAAAATATATTCAGTCAGATATGAATAAAAGAATGAGGCGTGTCAAAGAGTACCCCTGTAGCCAATCATAATTGTTGTTGACGGCGATTTCCTAATTTCGCCCAACGTGTTTGGACTTCTATAATTTCACTATGGATACGCCAAAAATATTTCAATTGCACAATTGACAACGGCCTAATTAAAATCCCGACAAAATTGACTTTCATAAATAAAAGGAAGTCAAAGAAATTAACTCAATACATGTCATATAATTATTGCACGTTTAAGTTAGATTAATGTGATTCAGACTCCTACTATGACTTTGACATACTCGAATATATAAAATCGACGAAATAATTAAACAATTTCAAATATCTTTTAATATTTTTCATCGAAACTAAACGTTCCGAAAATATCCACAGTATATATACATTGATCTATCTTTTGAATATAATGAAAAATCACTGCTAAAATATCGTTATTCGAAGTAAACTAACGGCGGTAAATAACTCATGGAATTGCAAACATATTCAATAAATTCAAAAGTGACTCATCTTAACTGACGTTGATCGAAATGTGAAAGTTGTTACGCTGTTTGCTGAACAAAATTTAAAAATTTTCGTGGCGATATTCGACAGTATTGCATCATATTTTGATAAAAAGTTACATCATCGCGTCGCCTGAGACACGACTCTTCTTTTAACGTTGTTTGTAACCGAGTGATGCTTCCTATCGACTTAGTAATATTGCGTAAGATTGGTGTTCAAATAATTCGCCAAAATGCTTTCATAAACAAAACTCTCAGGTAAAACACTAAACTGAAGATTTCGAAATCGTCATATTTCACGACAAGTGTTGCGAAAACAGACCAGCGTGCATGAAAGTATCGTTGGCAATTTTATGTCCTTGAATAAATATATATTAGATTGCCTGACGATTACATTTGCTAGGCAGATATCCACAATTTATCGACTATTACCAAGCGAGCACGTCCGGCTCTCAAAAATTGCGGAAAAGCAGCGCACAGGGTACAAAGTTCACATCGAGTGACGTAAACAATAAATCATCAGATGAGCGTCGAGCTTGGCAGGGGTAAATGAAAAAGAAGTGAACTCACGACGTCCCCGAAAACAATTTCACTCGAACAAAGAAATTGGTTGGATCAATAGATTCCACCCACGTAACAGCGCTGGGATTACGAACTCAGTCTGTAGTGTATATTTGAAAGGCTTATTATGGTCGCATCAACTGGGCTCAATTTAATAACAAACAATTACGTTTTGTTCTATTTTACATTTAGATTAAATATATCATTTAGCACCACAGTTCAACTATTGCTTAAACCAAAATCGTATTGATGAAATTACAATAACCCAACCTAACCTGAAACTAGTCACTAATTTTTATGCTACCGTTCATGCTGTGAGCAACTAACCAAAAAATCGCTTCGTTTCGTTGCATAGTAATCCACAGCTGACGCAGCATGACCACGCAGTATATAAATATACTGCCCTGTCACGCATCCGTCAATGGTCATTTTTGTTACGCATAATTGCACCATTCATAAACCTGTAAACTGCGTCACGTCTCTACATGATTTGCGACCTTCGTTTGAGTGAAAAATAATAAAAGCGCCAAACACATTTGAAGTATTGAAGGTTGTATCAATCTGAAGTGCGCAACGTAACCATCTAACATGGTTTAACAGCTTCATTGACCATTATAACAATAATAATTAGTGCCATTTACGACTTTTATTTATATATTGGAACCTCAATTGCCATTTAACAACTTTAGAATGGAAAACTTATTTTTGGTCTCAACCTTTACACCTACCCGCTATCGCATAATTTTTAATGTAGGTGTTCGTTTTAACCTTCGTCAACGCGACCAAAAAGGTGGAACCATTATTACAACGAATAATACCAACTGAATGATAAGAGGTTTATATAACTTTGCTTGTATTGGAAAAAAAAGTTAGGTACAAGACAAGGTGAAATGAAGATCTCGAATGGACGTAACTTGCGTATATAAAACTGCAAAGATTTCGATTAGATTGAAGGTAAACGTTGAATCATGGTAAGGGTTTCCGACCACTTATGACATAAAGAATTAGCGCTAACGAGCTTTTACGCTGGCCTGGCCATATTATCTTCGGCTCACGATTAAGCGTCAACCACATTTTTTTCTAAAAGCCTGGAGTGCTATTGATTGGGCCGTAATTGCATAGGACGCCACTTAAAATTTTCTTTCACTTCCGAGTTATCCTTGCAGTGTCCTTGCTTCAAGCAAATATACTAATCAGGCAGAACCTTAAATTAAACACTTCTTATCGCTGTATTGCTTTGCCCCATTGATATAATATAATAACACAAGCAGGGAAAACGAGCCCTGTTCTTTGTCTTCATATTACCATAACCGACATACCTTTGTTCAGTCTTCATTCCGAATCATTAGTGTTGTTCAAACCACCAATGGTAGTGATGATGTCATCAACTGAACGATTCCACTCAGTTTACAAAACAGGAGTCATTAATATCATAACCTGTGTGATATACAAACACAATACGCGGTGGTAAAAACAATCCGGCAATCAAAGGCATTTTCAACGGAATTCATCAAACAGGCTTTTGGCAATACAAACCCTAAGGCTGTTTGGAAAGACTCTATTGTACTAATTAACCACTAAACCTTATGGAAAGCTATAAGAAACCTAACACAAGAGGAATAGTCCATCAATATCATTCTAAAAGACGTACGATTGTTAACCCTTTGATCGCTAATAAACTGTTCGTCAATCATCCTGGCCTTGGCTAAAGGATCGTTACTTCTTTATTATATATTAGCGTAACTTACATGGGGGTATATAAATTTTGTGTATGCCGATGCAGGTCACTTGAACCCGATCAGTGTTGGAAATTGATTTTCACATCGAATGCAATTCGTAACTGTATTCTAATGTCGGTACACAGATCAATATTCTCGCTGGTTTTCACTCTGTTCCTATTGTAATAGCCACGATTAATTGATGTTGCACGTCTTTTAGCTAGATCCATTCAAATTAATGTTCTATCTCACATACGACCCATTCCCCACACGAATCTCTTTCGATTTTGTTCTAGTGTAACTTGCCGGGGCAGATGGTTCATGGTTTATTTATGAAATTAGAATAACGCACGTGTACATTAGTAAAACCGCAGGGAATTAGAATTTTCGCAGTGTGTAATTACAGCACGCATGAGCATACATAAAAATAATTGGGCTGACCTTGTAAGTGACCGGGTATTTGCCACCTGCACACCTGGTACGATTCACCTACCTAGTACCTATGGTGCTTTCCCAATATATCTGACCTGGCACAGAAATCCACCTCCAGTCTCCTAGGTACGAAAATCTCTTTCGTTCAAACTCAACAACCCCGCCTGATTATCACACCGTTCTAATTCGGTATATTGAATGTGACAAAGTCGACCAAATGGTGCCATCTCACTTCAAGAGGTGCCTATTGAGCGACGAACTGCTTGACCTCATTTGCCGTTACGCAGTCGACGGGAGATGGATCGCAAGCCATCATGCGGATCGATCGATATGTTTCCATGGAGAAGTACTGCTTCAGATATAGAAATCATGGTTAACTGAATATTCAGTTAACCATGGAGAAATATCGAAATAAAAGTCAGCATTGCAATGGGGGAACGTATAGCTATGAAACTATGACTTTTATATTACACGTGAACTGGTGTTACATTCGTATGATTTCTCACACGAAATGCAGTACACATTCTATTTTGCATGGAACTCACTAACAACTGGTTTCATAATTTCAGAACATATATGATGTCACTATATAAGCTACATGAACATGACACGCTTTATCACATTAATCTTGCAACTACCGAAGCGCCAATTGTATCGCTAGTCGCCAGCTGCGGTGCACGTTATCCATTTTCAGTAATTTATTTCTTCGCCATGCTCAAAATACGAACTATACATACACAAATTAAAAGAAACATAAAAAAGTCGAGTTCCAGTGTGAAAGGAGACGCCTAAAACCAATACTGGTTATCAAGCGGCGGAACCCTTGGGAAATATAATGGCTCTGGCCTATCAGAAACCTGATAAATAGGATAAAATCGAACTGAATATCTTATTTACTAAATAAAAAAGATACGTCAAGGCGACGGTCGTTCAGATTCTAGAACGAAAATAATAAAAAAAAAAAACGGGTCGCTGATTATCACGGCATCCCGGAAACGGATTCGCGCGAACCCGCTAAGTCCCACCACCGGTCTCAAAATATACCACCAGGACGGTTTCATATTAACAAATGTGATATTGGGTCGTCTGAGCTTGTTCAGTTCGCGATTACGCTACAGCACGGTCCAAGGAGATTGCGCGACTTATAGAAACTCAATCAAATTGTCACGTACCACGTTTTAAACCTTACTCAAGGCTTTGTTTGCTCTCTCGATTCTATAGTCCGGTTTCAGTATTTTGTTGTTGACAATTATGCAGAAATTGGAGTCGAAATAAACTTATTAGGCGATATTTTCTTACTTGCGCCGTAAAACTGAGCAGAGATAAATGTTTCCGACCCGCTCTTACGTCCAGACCTATACCACCAGACATTTTTCTAAACTAAGCGCATTTGATGATAGGCAAAGCAAATGGCCCTGCAAATCCGCACAATCACATTCATTTTCTGTAAAGGTGACATGTTGTTATGTGCGCGCAGGCGAAAGCTCTATTCATTTTCTTCATTTTATCTCACCCGACTTCAATATCTGCCTCATTACTCCCCCGCTATAGCAAAAATGTAGCCTATAACACCGTGGGCGTACAAAAATAGGGGGAAGGCGTGTATTTATTAGTCACTAAAAGAAATCAGCAGCACTTTTTCTTTTTTGATTCCTTCCTTTTTTCAACAGTCCAAAATCTGGAGTTTTTCTGGGATCAAAAGCAACATTACCAGGTGATGCGCTAACAGCAGTAGACTTGTCAAACTTTCTAAATGGTTGAATCTGAAAGAAATTAAATGTAAGAATGAATATGCAATCACAGAACTCGCAACTAACAAAAACTTATGAATAGTCAATCGAGTGATTTACTTTTACGACAGGGTTGCACTTCATTGCAACAAAAAGTCCTATTATGGGTGTCTCAAAAATGTCGCGTCCCACTTGTCCAGGGCAGGGCAAAGTGGGAGGCGTGTGACACGACATTTTCGAGATCAATCTAAATATCAAAATATAAAACAAAGTGAGCGCTTAGAACACGACGTACTCACACACATGAAAACATATTTTCTGTATGAATAGCATACCTGTGTTTTAGACATTTCGAAAACTACTCTTTTTGGTGAATGCGCTGCAACTGGTTCTTGTATTTTCCTCTTTACTGCAACATTGTGTTTGTTTTTCTTTGCCCTATCGACTTTTGACGCTGCAACTTTAAAGAAGGTTGACATCGCAGGCACAGAGTTGGTATTCAATATTTGTGCAAATTTTTCTCCTTCTGTAATAGCATCATTGGACTTATTTTTCTTTTTCGGCACTTTTGTTTCAGATGTATTTATGTCACTTTTAGGTGCTTCTTCCAGAGCTTCACTTTTCTGCTTTTTCTTTTTTGAATTTGTTACTGATGGACTTTTCGCAATGATATCATTTTCATTACTAATTTCATTGCTGTTAGTTGATAGATTGAGATCAGTTTCATTCACGACTTCTGGCTTGGATAAGCTTTTCCTCTTTTTTTTGCGCTTCTTTAACGCTGGTTTTTCATGATTGTCAGATTTGGCAGTACTTGGTTTTTGAACAATGTTACTTAACGGTTCAATATTATCATTAGTGGCATGACCATCCACATCTGTTGAGCATACGATAGTCGGATTATCCTGTTTTCCGCTATCATTTCTGGATTCTTGATCTTGTGAATTGTGAGTTGCAGAATCCAACCACACCTTTAACTGTTTTTTGGATTTCAATTTGTCTTTGCGCTTCAACTTTTTCACTAAAGCTTGTTTACATTCTTGAATATCTTGTAATATATCTGGGATGTTTTCGGAAGGTTGGGGCTCAGTTTTGGCAATTTCTTCTACTTCAGTTAGCATCTTTGCCTTTTTCTTGTCCTTTTTCTTTTTTGGAAGAAGTTCTGATACTGTACTATTGATGTCTTGCTCAGAAGTGCTGCTGCTACTTTCTTTTCCAAGATTGGAACCAATGATAATAGTTTTTTGTTCAATCTTTTTTTTCTTCTTCTTTTTCTTGGTAGTATTGACTGAAAAAAGGAGGATTGAAATAAAGTAGGTGAGTCAGTAGGGAATTACGGTAGCTCTACAAAAAACGCGGAGCAGAGTATATGTGGATAGAATTTACATATTTATTCTCGGAGAGAGGAAAGTCGATAAGACGACTTAACCATATGGCGAACCACGGCCTCTCGTCTGGTTACCATTCCATGTCGGTATGGGATTAGTTAGCCATTTGTTTTCGAAGCATGGACCTGATGGTGGAGGAGGCCATAACCGACCAGCGGTTACATGAACCACCGTTCGGCGGAAAGGAGTCCAGCAATCCTCTCGCACATAACCATCCCCGCATGGGATCACTATGAAAATGGAACTGATACACAAGACGGCACTTACTCATGCATTAAACACGATAATAATTATCAGTAAATATTAGATAAAGTAAATATCTTACAGATGTTAATGTAAAACACAGAACTCGCAGTTCAAACCACAGGAAAAATCACTTTCCCATTTGTATTTTTAAACCAGTCAGACTGCAATTGAAAATGTCTATAAATTTGGCTCAAATCATATTTAAAGAATAGCAGGAAAAATTTGATTACTGTCATATATCATGGTTTGCACAAAAGTCAACAGAAGAGATAAAAAAAGCTTTTCTTTGGGTGGCAGATATCTAGATAACTTAATATTAATTGCAAATAGTGCCTCAATGTAAGTTTCCCTGACGTTCGACCCCACTAAAATTCATCCTATACTTTACCCACACAAAATATTTATATTTAAATATTATCATTTTTAGCAGCAAAAAAAGAATAAATAATGTTTATAAATATCCTTGGAAATTGTAATTATTACGTACGATAAGTGTTAAGTTACTATGATTAGACATTCTCCTGATGCTCAGTGTAAACATCCATTTCAAGAAGTACAGTATTGATTTTTGTAAAATATATTGATAAATTTTAAGTTATTCCCAGTTACCGTACCATTCATAGATGATTGATTATTATTGGTATCAACATTTTCAGATGAATCCTCAAAATCTTCAAGACTTTCACTGGTGTTGGCATCAATATCTTCCTTTACATCTATAGCCTGTGAAACCGAAAAATTTCAATTATTATTTGAAAAAAGTTTCATTATAAAGCTATAATAACAAAATATTTTCAAACATGTTTCCTCTACTTGAAAAGACTTTTTCAAAATAAATTTTGCTGTCGGAAGTCAAATACCTCTACCAGACATGTCATGCATACTGGGTACTCCCGTAGTGTGTGTACCAGGTTAGGGTTAGGCCATAATTTTATTCCGATTTTCCTCATTTTAGTTTCAGTCCCTTTACACAACTTGATGTAAAGTAGGCGAACAAAATTAGTTACCTCCATATTGATTATTGGTACACACTACACACACTTCTGGAGCGCCGCATTTTGTACCATTGGCATAACTGCATACATAATACAAATAAAGACTCCTGTATGTGCATCCATAGCCTAAATGCACACAGCTTACCGTTGGGACCATTAAATCATCATCACTATTTACACCATCCTCGATTTGTCTTTTTCGTTTTCGCCTTTTTGTTTTCCGATAATCTCGCTTGTCTTCCATTTCTTTCCTGCTCTCAGATATGATTTTATTAGCTAAGTCTTCTTCCAACATTTTAACTTCATCTTCAGATGAATATTCTGCATCTGGGACATCGCTAAGCGGAACGCGGCCTTGAGCAAGCTCTCGAAACTTCTCTACCATTCGAAAGACCTAAATAAACCAACATACCATATTGAAAAATCAAGTACATGTCAACTAAGAACACTCTTCAGCTATGTGGACATAAATCATTGATTAATCGACTGCGATTTGAATGAAAGTTCAAATATGATGGTGCTGCATGTTACAGTTTGAATGCCTGTTATAATAAACACCATTTCCCCACCAATTCAACATACTGTAAAAGATTGTGCACTGCTCAGTTAGGTGTGCACTGCTCAGTTAGGTGTGCACTGCTCAGTTAGGAAAACTTTCACAAATATTGAGCTGAAATCGTACTTTTAAACTTTCATAACAGATATTGAAAAAGCCTTCCCACCAGACAATAAAAAAGGGCCTATGGCCAAAGTATGGTTTTCTCGAAGTTGGAAGCCGGGGATGGTTTAAATTTTTAAGATTTGAGATGAGGGATGTTGCACTAGTCCCGATTCTTTCACGTTGCGAACAAACCTGAAATCAGAGCAACAGTGCCCCCACTCTAGATCAGGGGTTTGCAACTTTTCTAGTCGACGGGCCAGATGTCAAAATTTACCACAATTTGAACTTTTTTCAAACTGGAGTCTTTCTTAAAACTTAGAGTTTGGAGTCACAGCTAGATGTGAATTCAGCCCGAATGGGCCATCTTGCTTACTGTATTACCAAACCCACCAGATATGTACAGGTATGCAGCTTTCTCACATGCGCTTTCTCACGAAAAGTAGTTTTTATTGTATATTCTGTTTTTTTACCATGTTACGTTAACCAAAGTGTTGAATCTTTCCTTCGCACGTCACTGCAAATAGTAGCAAGAATAGCAATCTCCACATCCTACACCAAAAAGCATTACCTTTTTTCTATTCCTTGCTAACACACCATCTTGACTTGCCAGTTCAAATAAACGATCAGCAAGACCGGAATAATCAACATTCAGTGCTGTAATTGGTGACGAATCATAACTTTCTGTTTGAGTATGACCTTTGACATTTATAGTAACTTCTTCCTCTGCGAGCAACTCAAGGGCGGGCTTAGAATTATCAACGAGTTCCTAGAAGGATATTAAAATAAAATGGTCAATAATATAAAGAAGAATTAGTCAGATAGAACAGGGTTTCCCAAACTTTTCGGGCCGCAAACCCCTATTTGTGAATCTTAGTTTTAACGGACCTCCATCCAATGTCGTATCAGTTTCTTTGTCTAATCAACGAGGAAGAATAATGTTTCATTATTTTGCCATCATATATGTAAGAGCTGAAAATGCTGCCTCAAACATGTAGGTCATTGCAAAAGACAATAAAATTGTAATTGCCTTTTTTGACAGCAATGGATATTCGTTCACAATGCTCAACCAAAAAGATGCAATGGCTTTTTGATTGAAATCAATCATTGAAGATCGAATAGATGTTGCGGACCCCCTGTGCAATCATCACAGACCGCCAGGGTTCCGTGGACCCAGTTTGATTCATTAAAAATTTGTCTAGCTCAGAAAAGAGCACCACATCCAATATTTCTCAGAGCGAGATATTACGCAGAGGCAGTTCACAATCTGATCAAGCTTTTCTATGCATGTCCCTCCCATATGATAAATATGTTACACCAAATCCTATTATATAACATAAAATCAACAACATCACAAACCTGGAAGACGTTGGTTGCAACTGCATTGACAATGTCATAATTCTTTGCACTTGCCACAATGATACAGTATGGATCTAAAAACTTCAACACCTAAATTTGAAAAAGCAATGTAGGTTTATTCCATTTGTTGCATCAACAGGTACTTCCATAGTGTGTGTTAACCAGGTTAAGGTTAGGTCATAATTTATTTCGATTTTCCTTAGTTTAGTTTAATTACAAGCTCAGGGACTGTCTGTGTTAGCCAAGTGAATTTACTACCTGCCCATAGGTTTCAGTCCCTTTACACAACTTGATGTAAAATAGGCGAACAAAATTAGTTACCTCCATATCGGTACACACACTTCTGGAGCGCCCATCGACATGCCAAATTTATCATAAGACGTTGCGTTATGTAATGATCCATGTCGGGTATGGCATTAGTTAGCCAGTTATTTGTTTCAGATGCATGAACCTGATGGCGGAGGAGGTCGTAGACGCCCAATGGTTCTGTGAATCACCATATGGCAACGAGAAGCTTAGCAATTCTCTCACACATTATTATCCCCCACCAAATTGTACATGTGATGTGAACCCACGCAGAATAATCAGCGATGCGACGGCAAACGTACTTCCTGACTGAACAAAGAACAAATACTGAATTTCTATAAAATACTAAATCTTACCATTTGAGAATCTAGTTCGTCTTTGCATATTTTTGATAATTCTTCCAGATATATGTCACTGAAGTGGTACTGCATACCAGATACAGGTTTTGTTGGACAAATCGGTCCATTTTTCAGGATAGCTAGAAGCCAATCTACGTTTCCAGCATCCCAACTTCGAGTTTTTAAAAACTCAAAAGCTTTTCGCAAGACGCATCGAACTAACAGATAGAATTTATCCATCCGAAGTCTATCTATTCCCTTCCATTCACGTTGCATGGTTTCAAGAAATGTATCAAAAAATAACATCGCTGTTTTTATATTGGAAAGCCTGAAACCAGAATAAAATATGTTACAAAATTTAAAACCAATTCATTTACCGTAAAACAGGATATAGGTAATTCTTACTAACATGCCATGAAATTTTACAAATTACAAAATAAAATTTCTGTAAAATGGTGTAAGAATAATTAGAATAAATCATTAGGAAAACTTAGGGAATATCACAGACTAACAGTATTTGAATATGGACATACCCTGGCAAAAGATCTGATATTTTATTTGCAAGATCTTCTTGTACAAGAGGTTTATCAGACATCCACATGCAGTAAAATAATCCTTTCCAGATACTCAGCATCTCAATTCTATGAAATAAAATCGCATATCCATAGTTTAATATAATATTTTTTTACACCACTCAACATAAAGTGAGTATGACTTTTTAGATAAGGGTTCGTAATGACTGCACACGGGGTCCACAAGGATATGAAGAGTCTGATCAACCTTTCAGCATTTTCAGCTCTTACCAATATGATGTCAAAATACAGGCAGAGTACTGTACAGTCGGACCTACAAGTTTGTTTGTCACCACAAATGCTCCTAGAATTAATAAATTATGAAATGAAAAGCAACCTCATCCATCACATTAATGTCATTTGTGTTGTAAATGAAACATTATCTTTCCTCGTTGATTAGGCAGAGAAATTGATACAGCTTAGGATGGGGGTCCGTAAACCTAAGATTCACAAACAGGGGTCCGCGGCCCAAAAATTTTGGGAAACTCTGTTTTAAACGATCACTCCCTGTTCACTCAATACAAGGCTCTGGACAATTAGAAATTTCAAAATTGCCAAAACGACTTCAAACCTCCCAGTTGAATATAGCCATGTCCATGAAGCGGTCTTTTAGAACAATCAGGAGTGGAGTCGAAATATTCAATGCCAAAATAATAAGGCTGAAAGGGATACATTTTATTTACAATCCTGATTTTAACAATACATAGCATATTTGTGCAAAACTTGCGACACCACAGAATATTTCACTGTAGGTAATATTGAGACACAGATTGTAATCTATCATTATCAGCAATAGTGAGCCCCGAAAAAAAAAATCAAACCTTTTTATTTACAGTAAATTATAAAGTTGTTCATTATCAAATCAATTTTTATTATTCCCTGCCTGGGATAAAAACAATTTAACGACAACAAACATACACACCTCGTGAATCCACCATCTGTTTTTGCCGATCTGAGATTGAGAAACTGTCTTAATTTCTTCAGAGCTTTATCCCTACATCTTTTATCGTTTCCAGCTAACCGTCTGGCAAATTCAGCCTCGATTGAAGCAGGAGCCACAGCCATTTTGGGCTTTTTAAACAGGTAAATTTAAAATTACGACTAAAAGTCAAATATGAAAAAAACGTAAATATATTTTAGAATATTATAACATTAACAAATATTTGACTAATTCGTAATAAATAACTTGGAACATGTGAACAATAGCAAAAAATTGGCATTTAAAAATATCAAAAAAAGATGCTAAATTTCATGCTCAATTATCAAGAGTTCACAATCAGTTGTTTATGAAAAACACGCTTTACGACTATAAAAGCCATGTTTAGCAATCGGAAAGAGACACTGAGAAACAATATTTTTTCAATATGATGGTCAATGTCGATACATTTATCACATTTAATTTAAATACTACAATTGTATTGAGCCCAGTGACATCTCTCAATAGAACTGCCATCATTTTCACATCATGAAACAAAAAAAAGAGCATTTTTATACCAAATATAGATTTATAGCCAATCAATAAAAGGTATAATCCAAATATGTAGCCTACTAGATAATTTAACAAACTCAAGTTGCAATCAGCAACTCACGAGGTAATGTAATAACCTGTAGGTAATAGTTTCTGCCACTGATGCATTTGCAGCCAAGTCAAGTTCACTAAAAAAAATATTTGATTGTACCTGTATAATAATATAAGTTAACAACAACTTTTTTTAGAACTTGCAATTTTTTTAATTATCGTTTCCGGTATCAACCATAATTAGATCATAGTTACTTTGAAACAGCTGATTTGACTTTCTTGTCATTAAAAAACAATTGTCCTTCATCAAGCAAAATTTTACTTGTAATATTTAATTCTTCCAATTGAGTTTTATTGTTTAATTTTTCCATCAAATTAAGCAAAGTTGTTTCACCATTAAGAAACTTTGCAATTCCATGAGTAGTGAAGCCAATTCTATGATCAGTCACACGATCTTGATGATAATTATAAGTCCTAATTTTATCGGAACGCTCCCGATTTTTGACCTGCTGTTGACGAGCTTTAGTGAGAGCACTTTGTTGCATACTATGTTTTTCTGATGCTAATATAGCTTCTAGCATTTGCATAGCACGATCCTTATTATCATGTTGAGATCTCGTAGCATTACATTCAACAATCTTTCCAGTTTTATATGTTTTAATCGAATTGCGGATTCAGTTTTATTTGCGTGTTGACCACCTGAAGAATTAGAGCGTTTAAAACGTTGAACCTCCACATCTTTTTCATCAAGTGTTTCAGTTCGATTGCTAAAAACTGGAAGTAAAGCGACGGATGCTGTACTGGTGTGTATTCGTCCAGCTTTTTCTGTCTCAGGCACACGTTGTACCCTATGGGTACCAATCTCATTCTTAAACAATTGATACATATTCCTATCTATAAAATTTATATTTGCTGAAGACTTCTTCAATCCTCCAATATCAGTATACTCGACATTTAAAATTTCAAAATCATGTCCAAATCTTATACAAAAAAATTGATACATTTCGAGTAATTCTGATGCAAAAAGCATGGCTTCTTGACCCCCAACGCCCGCTGACACTTCGAGAACTGCGTTGGAAACTTGATTATCACCATGCATTATTTCAAAAAGCTTTGAAACAATTATTTCATTACATGACTCTATTTCTTTCAAAAGTTCTTCTTTTTCATCTTCTGCAATTTTAATTAAATCATCTTTTTCATCAGATTTAGCTTCAGTTAATGCTTCAGATACAAAAGTTTCAACTTCTTTTAAATTATCATGAACACCGTATAGATTATCAATATCATTGTTCAAATTTTCCAATTTATGAATCGCAACCTTAGGATTGTTCCCAAAAAACTCTAATAATGAAGGTGGCCATTTTGTCTTTGAGCTAGATTCTATATTTAAACGTCCATAAGCAAACTTGAAATATTCAAAAAGATCTTTATGGTGAATCTTCTCTCCTTTCATAATCGAAGACGTAGACAATTGAACAGCATGTCTGATAATGCCACAACATGTAACTGATTTGTGTAATAATTGAGATTTGTTGCAACAAGTCCGAGTGAGGAATGTTAGAAACATAATACAGGTTAATCCTGTAATTATAGTCTAAATAACAAACCTAGAACTGATGAACAACAGAATAGCAAATTTTGTAAAAATTGAAAATTTTGGTAAGATAATTGAATTTTTCCTGATGGGGCCGCGGCCCATAGCTTGATGGGCCACGGCCCATGTGGCCAAATTAGTTGGGCCGTGGCCCCGGCCCATGGGCCGTAGAAGAGTCACCACTCCTGTAGCTGAGTGGGGTGCCTTTTTGCATATATAGCATTATGGAATTTGAAATGAATAAATTATGATGAATTATTTGACTGATAATTGTTGATTCTATAGTGAATTTTAACTATAAGTTATTTAGAACACCATATCATTGATATTCAGATATTACTGTATTACAGTATTATCAAGGCATTTCAGTAAGTACTGAAGTGTGGCCCTCAGCTAGCTTACGTGAGAGTGACAAGTGTCCATCCTCATTTTTTGTCCAACTTACGCCAGTTGTCACTTCTACACTTCAGCATTCAGTTCGACTGTCAGACTGTTCGATAACAACTCAGATTCAATAAGATCAGAACTTTATCATTATTCCTGTACTCACAATTCTGTAATTGAATATTTCATGTTGCCGTGTTTCGTCCGCTTGAAACACGTAATAGCCGGGTCCAGTATAGTTCTGTAGTTTAGTACCACAAGTACTTCCGGTGGGCGTAGCATAACGAATTTTGCATATGCTATTCCTAACCCCCACCTGACTATGCCATCCAAAAATTACGTCACTACGACGTCACCATCACGTCATAGGGATTGCCAAAGTATAATTACTATCGCCCGAAATGTCATCTGCGCCGTCGATAACGAACTTGCTAAAGCCGGCGATCTCTCTCCTATCGTGATCGTTGTGACGAGAAAACGAGAGAAATTGCTTGCTCGATCTCGGGTGATCGTCTGCGCGTTTTGGACGACCATCCGCATACTTCGGTGGGCCCTTATGACGCCACTGTGACGTCGAAATGACGTAATTCTTCGGTGACGTAGTCAGGAGGGGGTTAGGATTGACATATGCAAAAATTGTTGAGCCAGAACAGTGGTCACCAAAGTGTGGGTCGCGACCCCACGTGGGGTCGCCTTAAATATTTCTGGGGTCGCCGAGTGCCCATCGTTGTCTTTTCTTTTATTATGTGTGTGACTTCTCGGCTTAATGCTAGATATTTCAAACAAAAGAATGAATAACAAGCACGCAGACAGGTAATACCAAGAGCAATTACGATCAATCAATTATGACATCATAATCACAAATTTAGTCCGTGTGAAAAACAGCGTTCTATGACACAAATACACAACAGTGTGCAATCTGCACTGTTAAGTTGAATAACGCTCAATAGGCTAGCAAGTTTCGATATTTCTAATTGGAGTGACTTCTTTTGTAATAAGGCTATTGCGTAACGACAGTAATTTATATTTTAAAGTAAATCATTATTGTGTCGTTAAATGTACTGTACAGTGGCCGTTGCTTTTAGCGCAAAACCTCATTTTCCAGGCTACCGTCATATTGATAATTACAATTTATTAAATGGCTGATAATCATAAAAGAAAAATATCGTATGATCAATCTTTTTGAAAGTTTTACTTTTAGTGCTATGAGTCTGCTAAAATCAAAGCACCGAAATCGATTAAACGTAGAACACAATTTGCGTTTGAGCTTAAGCAACATAAGCCACGAATGCAAGATCTCGTTGGAAGGAAGCAGTCGCATTCTTCACACTGATTAAATATGGTTGTTGTTGGGTTCTTTTAATAAATTTCCGAATTTGATAAATATTTTTTTCGTGTCTGTAGGTGAACATATATATATAACTTGGGGTCGCGAGTGCTTATCATACGTAATAATATTGTAGATGGGGTCGTGTCTCAAAAAGTTTGAAGACCACTGAACTAGAAGTACATGTGGTACTAAACTATACCAGACCCTAATAGCCTACCTAATTCACTCAATTACGCGAGTTACCGTATGTTATATCCATATTCTACATGCGTCAGTCAGCAGACATATACAGACATAAGCATATGAAGGACCAACTTACGCAACTAACTGCAGCTATGAGCCATGCTGCAACAATGGTTATTTCCCGACCCTTGACCTCATTATTAGATAAAGCGCCAATGCAAAATATTACAATAAATTTTTTTTTTTTGAAGGTTTTTCAACGATCTGGTCATTATATAATGACTGAGGTTAAAAAAAAATATTCCTATCTATATTTACACTTTCCCTAACTAATATTTTCATTATGACGAGTATTAGGATAAGTTAACACGTTAGTCGTTTGTTAACATTTGCATATTTGCCCCGGGGAGAAGAAAACCGATAAGACTGCCCTAATATGAGTTTATCCGACGCCATAATCAGCATTACAGCAACAATGGTTAATCAAAATCATATAAATGAATATTGATCATGAAATCAGAAGAGCAAACAAAACCTTAGATAGGGTTTAAAACATACAGATAGGGGAAAGGTTGGAACACTTTTTTTCTTTTGCATATTTTGAGCCTTTATTCTGCACATTCATATAACTTTGCGGGATTAATGCAGAGAGGGGTAAATGTAGTTTTTATTCAGCGACTAAGAAATTCCCTTGCGACACACATCCCACCACCAAAATGCTTTGAAAAACGTTTGTCAAGTGTCCCACTGTACTCCACTTGTGGGGCACATTCGGACAGACCCTGGGGCACAATGGGTCATTCTGTCGAAATTCAACGAAGTATGCCCTTAAAAAAAAAGCAATTAATCAGCATAATCGTCTAAAGAACAAGGAGACCTCAAATTTGAAGATTTAAGATTTTTAAAATCAATGTTCAACCGAAATATTTCAGATATTTCACCAAAAAATTCTCATACAAATTAAATTATTTCCTAATCCGAATCTAAATCTGGAAATATTTTTGATTCTCGAATATATTTCATATTGGACCATGAGTCGAAAGATACCATAATGTTACATAAAAATATAACGCATCTCTAGGTCTCTAAGCACGAATCTAAATCTGGAAATATTTTTGATTCTCGAATATATTTCATATTGGACCATGAGTCGAAAGATACCATAATGTTACATAAAAATATAACGCATCTCTAGGTCTCTAAGCACGGCGCGGCGGTGTGGCTCAACGGGCTAAGCGTTAGGAATCCGCTCGCCACCGCACCTCTAATTACTCTGCGTGGGTTCGCAGGTTCGAATCCCATGCAGGGATGGTTATGTGCGAGAGGATTGCTGGACTCCTCGCCGTCGTTGGGTGGTTCACGTAACCGCTGGTCGGTTACGGCTTCCTCCACCACCAAGTCCATGCTTCCGAAAACAAACAATGCAGTAAAACTAATCCCATACCCGACTTGGAATGGTAACCGGACGAGAGGCCGTGGTTCGCCATATGGATAAGCCGTCTTATCGGCTTTCCTCTCCCCCGGGATAAATATGTAAATCCTATCCTATCCACTTGTTGTATCAAACACTGTCGAATTGTGCCATGTAGGGCATGTCCCACAGAACCCGGATCCATTGTTCTCCATAATAAACAAATATCTTCAGATCATCCCACGGCAAAATTCGGAAGGCACATCCACTCGCCAACGTTATAAATATTTCACAGTGGACTATAGCTGAAAGATATCAGACGGTGGTTTGTCACGTTGCAAACGCTAAGTTAGGAAAAAAAAATTGGAACGGTGAAATTTTAGTTTCAACCCCCCAAAACCAATTTCACCTCATAGCTTGCGTCGCTCTACCCGTCCGCTGTCCGTTTGCGGGGACGTTGGAACTCACCGAAGGGCGGATTGAAACATCAAACCGCGGACCGGATTCCGAGTATAGTATTAGTGTGAGAGCTGATTTCCCACTGTGCCCCATGTCCCAACGTGCCCCACCTTCCCCTATAAGATGGAAAGTTTTGCCAAGAAGAAAAGGTATGTGTTCACTAACCTGAAATTAATAAATGAATTCACACACACTCACATGTACCACTCACAACCACAGAGATATTATAAAGTAAGAAAAACGCTATAAACTAAAAAGATAGAAAACGAAAAAAAATAAAATCATATGTCTGAAATTCCGCCTCCGATTAATTTAGAATTTCGACTCCGAGTCCCGATTCTTTGAAGTTTGGAAACATGATTTCGACCAATGTGACTATAAAATCATGGTTAATCCAAAATCCGACGTTTTGACATTGATGAACGGCGGCGAAACCTTCTGGATAAATACAGAAATGCGAGGTTGGTCAAATGGTTTTTATTGGTGATTTCCGTGTACAAATGATATTTAATGAATTTCTGCTGTTTATGAGAAATCATATACGGTAACGAATAATCGTTACCGTATACTGGTATACGGCAGGGATGGCGAACCTTTTTCAATGAATGGGTCAAAAATTTTATTTTCATCGCGGAACTGAAGTGAGTGGGTCACAGATATTTAATCAATGTTTGTATCTATGAAAAACTTATGAAATCCTATAAGCTTCTGTAGGTGGTGGTGTGTAGTTTTGGGCTTTACTTATGTCAGTATGTAGCACTTCTATCAGGGACTTTTTATGGCACTGGATTTTATAAAATTAGAGTACTAAAACACGCATATGAATAAACAAAAACGTTTATGATGATGCGGCAAATTATTTTACAGTTCCAAAGAGTTTAGAGCTAATTCAACTCTTTATATTTTTCAATCAGCTTTCAAGCACATTAAGGCACTTTTGCACTGCGCCATTGTTATTTCAGATTTCTAGGTTTTTATTTCAAGTCTGGAAGATTCTTTTATAACCCCTAAAACAGTCTGCAGATGTACTTCCGAAAGAGACAACACGTTGCGAGAAATAAACAATTGCATTGTTGTGTCATAAACGATGTCAGAGCCAATAGCTGAATAACGATACACAGCGATGCAAACATGCGTCCAACATTAGGCGTTTTGTAAACTACCATACCGGCACAGAAATTAACAATTTAAATAGGAGCGATCGCAGCCCTGACTGCCCAACTGACGGTACATTATAATAGTTTAGTTATTGTTAGATTAATTTAAGACCGGTTTTATCAATTTTTATCACTGATATATTAGCAGTTTATTTTTAAATTTTATTCGTGCTTTGGCGGGTCACGAATAAAACGACATGGGTCACTTTGTGACCCGTGGGTCAGTGGTTCGCCATCCCTGGTATACGGTATCGAAAAGTAGTTAGAAAGATAGGTAACCATATGACAGTATGATTATGATTCAGCCGTCTTACAGTCTTATCTTCTCCGGGATAACTTCCTTCTCCCCTGCGAGAATAATGTAAATCCTAGCTTGTACCGCACTGCTGATTTACAAGCTGACGGTTGCGTATTACAGAAAATAAATAGCCTATATTGTAAAATTTAGTACTACAGAAAATATTCGAAAAATAAGAACAACTGACAGTTAAAGCGATATCTGGATGCGCGTGCGTGATATTTTTTCACAAATTTCGAATCTCTGTTTTGGTCATGACACGTCTCAGTTCAAATCTTCAAAATTTGATTGATATTTCATTTAAGTTCTTGTCGAAAAAAATTTTACTGCGAACCCCGCCTCATTAAGACTCCCAGTTTGAATAACCCCTGGTAGGCTAATTATTATATTTGATGGTGACAATGTAATGTGATAAATATTGTTTTCTTGTTTTAATTTATTGTTGTTATTATTTATCTGTAGTGCATTACATTTTCAATTTTTGATTGTATATCAGCGTAGTTTAATTTCATCAGTATCAATGTTTAAATTATTCACTGCAATGTAACATTGTCTGTTCTTTCTTAACATTGTTTGGTGGAAATAAAAATCTCTCTCTCTCTCATTAACTCTTAAAAAATATATAGCCTATTCGGGTTTTGTGTAGTTTCGTACCTAACGTACTTCTAGTGGGCGTAGCATAACAATTTTTTGGTATGTCAATCCTAACCCCCATCTGATTACGCCATCCAAAATTTAATCGATACGACATCACAATCATGTCATAGAGCTTGTATTGCCAAATATACGCACGATCGACCGAAGGCAAAATGGCATTGGCGCCGGCGATAAAGAACTGACTGACGTTATCATTCTCTCTCCTATTGGAATGATAAAACGAGAGAAATAACTGTTCGATTTTAGATGCTCAATTGCGCGTCTTGGATGGCAGTTCGTATAGTTTGTGAAGGGCTCTATTACGTCACTGTGACGTCGTAATGACGTAATTTTTAGATGGTGTAGTCAGGTGGGGGTTAGGATTGATACGTGAAAAAATTGTCATGCTACGCCCACCAGAAGTATGTTAGGTAAGAAACTACATGAGACCCGCCTATTTTACAGCAAAGAAAAAAATAACTTTGAAACTATTTTAGAAGTACAGACAATTTTGAGTCTTGAAATTGGATAGTAGGCCTAATGCAAAATAAATGTCTGTCTATGCATGGATAAATAAAGCAAAATAGAATTCTAGTTTCACATATAGTGTATAGTATGGAATTTGTCATTAATTTAATTCCACTGTTGCTGATAATTTATGTTTTCTTATTTGGTTAGAATGAATATAATGGAAATGATAGACTAATATGGTGCCATGCTAATATAGCTTTCACCCAAATAGGATAAACCTATTCAATCATGTGATTATTTTAGGACTGATTTGACAATATCTATCATTAATCTGAATCATTCATTATTTTGAAAATATGTATAAAAGCTCAATTAGGCCTACTGTAATATAAACATGGCTCTTCAAGTTTGGGTCGAAGATAAACTTCATGAAATCCTTGGTATGAGTGAGAAACATGTTGCCCAATACCTTATTGGACTATGTCAGAAAAGTACATCAATGGACGGGTTTGCTGACACTCTACAAAAGACTGGTGCGTTTGATGTCACTGATAAATTTTTAAGTTTTGCAAAAGATTTATATGCAAAAGTTCCACACAAACAAGTTGCCACCAGCAATACTAATCGTTTACGAGAACAAAAAATTGTTTCAATGCATCAGAAAAATTTAAGTTATAAATTAGTGTCATCTGATGATGATGAAACTATTCCGCCAAAATCAAGTCGTAAGACAACATCAGTTTCCTTCTCGGATAAGAAAGAAAGAAAAGGATCTATGGGTAAAAAAGTTCGAGCAATACGTAAGCGTAATCAGTCATCTTCTGAAAGCGAGGATGAACAACCAACAGGAAATGACAAAGATGATAAATCTGGATCGTCATCATCAGATGAATGGGACAAGGAAGAACAACAAAGAAAACAAGACTTGGAAGAGCGAGATAAATTTGCTGAACGAATGAAAAAAAAGGATAAAGAGAAAACCAGAAAAGTCATGGATCGAAGTGATGGAAAAGCATACAAAGAAGCAAAAAAACGTCTTGAAATTGCAGATGCCAATGACTCAAAAATCCTACAAGATCTTCGTAAAAAATCAAGGCGAGAATATTTGAAGAAAAGAGAAGAAGATAAATTACAAGAATTAGAAGGTGATATTTATGATGAGGAACATTTTTTCGCTGGTGAAGAATTAACAGAAAAGGAACGCCAAGAATTAGAATTCAAGAAGCAAGTTCGCGATATCGCGTTAAACTACAAAGGTATTGGTGAATCACAAAAACGAGGTCGTTATTACATACCAGAGGAAAAAAAGAGAGGTGATATACATGATGAATATGATGAAACTATTGGACCATCAGGAGAATCTGGTAAATTGATTTCAGAGAATGAACGTTGGGAAGAAGCTCGTATTCATGCCGCAATAGCTCATTATGGCGCTAAAGATGCAAGAGAAAAGAAAGAAGAGAAGAAGTACGAGCTTCTCACAGAAGATGATGTGATTGAATTTGTTCAAGCTGCTACACACAAAGGCACATTGAATGAAGATCAATCACCAGATATGAGTGCATCTGAAAAAAAGAAAATGTCTATAAAAGAAACTAGGGAAAATCTTCCAATCTATGGATTTCGTGAAGACTTATTGGATGCTATTGATGAACACCAAGTTTTGATTATTGAGGGTGAAACTGGTAGTGGCAAAACTACTCAGATTCCTCAATATTTGTGTGAGAGTGGATATTGCAAAGGGGGAGTGAAAGTCGGTTGTACTCAACCTCGTCGAGTTGCTGCAATGTCTGTAGCAGCTAGAGTTGCATCGGAAATGAATGTAAAACTTGGGGCAGAAGTTGGTTACTCAATTCGATTTGAAGATTGTACCAGTGAGCGTACCAAGTTAAAATATATGACTGATGGTATGCTCTTGCGTGAATTTCTCACTGAACCAGACTTGAAGGGATATAGTGTTATTATGATTGATGAAGCTCATGAACGTACTTTACATACGGATATATTATTTGGGCTTGTAAAGGATATTGCTAGGTTTCGACCTGAATTAAAATTGCTAATTAGCAGTGCTACATTGGATGCCGAAAAATTTTCTGCATTTTTTGATGACGCACCAATCTTCAGAATACCAGGTCGACGTTACCCAGTGGATATTTATTACACAAAATCACCAGAAGCTGATTATCTTGATGCCTGTGTGGTATCTGTGTTTCAAATTCATCTGACACAGCCTCTTGGTGATATTCTTATTTTTTTAACTGGACAAGAGGAAATTGAGACTTGTGCTGAAGTTATTCAAGAGCGTGCGAGGCAACTAGGGTCAAGGATCAAAGAACTTGTTATTTTACCTATTTATGCAAACTTACCATCTGATATGCAAGCAAAAATATTTGAGCCAACTCCCCCAGGTGCTAGGAAAGTTGTTATTGCCACTAATATCGCAGAGACTTCTCTTACTATTGATGGAATTGTTTATGTAATTGATCCTGGATTTTGTAAGCAAAAAAGTTTTAATGCAAGAACAGGTATGGAGTCTCTTATAGTAGTTCCATGTTCAAAACAAAATGCAAATCAAAGAGCGGGCCGAGCTGGAAGAGTTGGACCAGGAAAATGCTTCAGATTATATACTGCATGGGCTTACAAACATGAACTTGAAGATGCAAGTGTCCCTGAGATTCAGCGAACGAACCTCGGAAATGTTGTATTGATGCTTAAAAGCTTGGGTATCAATGATTTAATTCATTTTGATTTTATGGATCCACCCCCTCATGAAACTCTTGTTATGGCTTTAGAGCAGCTTTATGCACTTGGTGCTTTGAATCACCTCGGTGAACTAACAAAACTGGGGCGTAGAATGGCAGAATTTCCAGTTGATCCTATGTTATCAAAAACTTTGTTAGCATCTGAGAAATATAAATGTTCTGAAGAAGTGGTAACCATAGTTGCCATGTTATCAGTTAATAACTCCATATTTTATAGACCCAAAGATAAGATAGTGCATGCTGATAACGCTCGACAAAACTTTTATATGCCTGGGGGTGACCACCTTGTTTTACTAAATGTATATAACCAATGGGTGGGAACTGGTCATTCTACTCAATGGTGCTTTGAAAATTTCATTCAACATAGGTCAATGAAAAGAGCTCGTGATGTACGAGATCAACTCGAAGGTCTGATGGAACGTGTGGAAATTGAACCAACTTCAAATCCAAATGATATTGTTGGAATACGTAAAGCGTTTACAGCAGGATTTTTCTATCATGTTGCTCGCCTGACGAAAGGTGGTTACAAAACAGCTAAACATCAGCAAAGTGTTCACATTCATCCAAATAGTAGTATGTTCGAAGAGCAACCCAGATGGCTTTTATATTTTGAGCTTGTGTTTACAAGTAAAGAATTCATGCGACAAGTCATTGAGATAGACAGTCAATGGTTACTTGAAGTTGCCCCACATTACTATCAAGCGAAGGAAATTGAAGATTCTAGTAAAAAGAAAATGCCGAAAAATGTTGGTAAATCCAGAGAAGAGCTAGGATGAACTAACTTGTGATTGTGAGCGGTAAAATGGTATTTCCAACTGCAACTTGGAAGATTACAACACTTGAGGCATGGATAAAAAAGAGAATAAAACGAATTATTTTCAGTAACATGCTGAAGAGAGGGCTGATGAAAAAGATAGAACCATGGGCAGAACAAATCTTCTTGGATATATATTTATATACATATACTTTGTGTTGAGCATGCATACTTTGCGACTTATGTCCAGTAAAATTGAAATGAATTACAAATTTGATTCCAGATTTTTGCGATTTGGTCATATCAGTACCTGGAATCAGCAATTTGTGGGCCAAATTTTCTTTCAGTAATTTTAAAGATGTTATTCAACATTTCAATAATCATTTTATTGATTTTTTTCTTCCGCAAATTATACAAATCTCCTATTTTTCAAAGTATCTGGACACAGTTTCACCTTTGTCTTCAAATTGACTTACATATGGATACAAAATTTGATCAGATGAAGCCGAACTAGAACAATTTCCACTTTTCATCTGAGTAAAAATACTTTGCTCTTGTAAAGTGATGGCTGCTTGTCTAACGCACTATAACAACAAATAAGTGAATATCCAGAATAAAAAGATCTATTTTTAAGTAATCAATTACAAATTTTGATTTGGTTGAGTTTTGATAGTGTATGTGAAAGATGAAGAAAGAATTTTTGATAAAATATGATTCTTTAAGTCGCTATTTAATAAGTAAAATCGTATTCTGTTTTTCCTGTAGTTATTCCAGCTTGTCTTGAGACAGCTGGGATGAAATCGTTTGATATTCATGTGATCTACTTAGGGTCTTCTTTGTTTTCTTCCGAGACCCTTGAGTTCTATGATCTGCTTCGGATCGTGATTAAAGGTTCGAAATGTGCTTAATTCAAAATCGACTCTGGTAAACAGTTAGTTGAGGTTTGGATACTGGTCTTCGCGTAGTTATAAAGCTCCGTGGCGACGCTTCGGTACTGTGCTCCGAATGATAGTTCTGTGGGATTTTACCGTCGCCCTGATCGGACCTGGATCGACGCACTTTGGCCGTTGTTATTCTTGTATTTATACCCAAAAGTTTCAGTAATCTAAGACGTTGCGCATAAAAGTTATGCTCTTTTCAAGTCTGGAATGTGTTCCAAATGGCCGTATGGGCATTGCAGACAGACGGACAACACTAAAAGGCTGAAGGAAGAAACGGATGAAGTGGAGGGAAAACGGAAGTTGAAGTGTTCCCAAAGGTGAAAAATTAAAAAACACTAAAAGGCTGAACACTAAAAGGAAGAAGTGGATGAAATTTCTTCCGACGGGTAGTTAGGTGGCTGAAGTCACTAAAAAGCTGAACACTAAAAGGAAGAGGTGGATGAAATATTTTCCGACGAATAATGAGGTGGTTGAAGTCACTAAAAAGCTGAACACTAAAAGGAAGAAGTGGATGAAATTTCTTCCGACGAATAATGAGGTGGTTGAAGTCACTAAAAAGCTGAACACTAAAAAGAAGAAGTGGATGAAATTTCTTCCGACGAATAATGAGGTGGTTGAAGTCACTAAAAAGCTGAACACTAAAAGGAAGAAGTGGATGAAATTTTTTCCGACGAATAATAAGGTGATTGACGTCACTAAAAAGCTGAACACTAAAAGGAAGAAGTGGATGAAATTTTTTCCGACGAATAATGAGGTGGTCGAAGTCACTGGTTGAAGTCACTAAAAAGCTGAACACTAAAAGGAAGAAGTTGATGAAATTTCTTCCGACGAATAATGAGGTGGTTGAAGTCACTAAAAAGCTGAACACTAAAAGGAAGAAGTTGATGAAATTACTTCCGACGAATAATGAGGTGATTGAAGTCACTAAAAAGCTGAACACTAAAAGGGAGAAGTTGATGAAATTTCTTCCGACGAATAATGAGGTGGTTGAAGTCACTAAAAAGCTGAACACTAAAAGGAAGAAGTTGATGAAATTTCTTCCGACGAATAATGAAGTGGTTGAAGTCACTAAAAAGCTGAACACTAAAAGGAAGAAGTTGATGAAATTTCTTCCGACGAATAATGAGGTGGTTGAAGTCACTAAAAAGCTGAACACTAAAAAGAAGAAGTGGATGAAATTTCTTCCGACGAATAATGAGGTGGTTGAAGTCACTAAAAAGCTGAACACTAAAAGGAAGAAGTTGATGAAATTTCTTCCGACGAATAATGAGGTGGTTGAAGTCACTAAAAAGCTGAACAGTAAGAGGAAGAAGTTGATGAAATTTCTTCCGACGAATAATGAGGTGGTTGAAGTCACTAAAAAGCTGAACAGTAAAAGGAAGAAGTTGATGAAATTTCTTCCGGCGAATAATGAGGTGGTTGAAGTCACTAAAAAGCTGAACACTAATAGGAAGAAGTTGATGAAATTTCTTCCGGCGAATAATGAGGTGGTTGAAGTCACTAATAAGCTGAACACTAAAAGGAAGAAATGGATGAAATTTCTTCCGACGGATAATGAGGTGGCGGAGGTCACTGAAAAGCTGAACACTAACAGAAAGAAGTGGATGGAATTTCTTCCGACGGGTGGTGAGGTGGCTGAGGTCACTAAAAATCTAATCACTATAAGGAAGAAGTACGTTAGGGTTAGATGATATTTTGTCCTATCAATTTTGAGGCGGTTGAAGTCACTAAAATACCGAACATTGGGAGAGTTAAATAGCCAAAACACATCCCGACGGAAGTGAGATTGGATGAAGACCCTGAAAGCGGACTGATGAGTAGGCATGCCCCTTTTAGATTTATGAATTGAATCGATTCAAATCGCAATTTTTTTCGAATCTGATTTACGCGATTCGAAAGAAAGAGAGCCGTTTAGCGAAGAAAAACAAACACTCCAAATAACACCAATTGCCAGACGGGAATGTAAATGAATTTTTCGTTATTTACTTTAATTGATCTGCCTTCATTCATTTTCATGTTCAGCGCAACACACCCTGATCATCACTCGAGATGCTGACGTGCTGTGTGGGTAATTAATTTCCTTCAATCTGTCAGTTGAGTGACTGACCTAAGTTTCTATCACACGCAAATTTAAATGGATCGTATACCCGAAAGTTCGTTGCAATTTTGTTAAAAATATGCAACAGCACACCTTCTCTGCGACTAAGTTATGGTACGCCTTGACATGATTTGATAAACGATCAGATACCGACTCCTAGAAAACATTCAATTTTGATTGAAATTTAATTTAAACTTCGTTGAAATTGAAATATTGGTACTACTGAAGTATGCGCACCAAGATGTCGCACAACCTGATCCCTAACCTCGTACACCAGTGATTTTCAACCTTTTTTGTATCGCGGAACACTTTTTTTATTCTAAAATTGTGACGAACACCAAATGAGATTTTTGGAAATAAACTATATTATGCAATTAACTGACATCGATCATTTCGGAAAAAAATAAATTAACGAGATTTAATATTAGCTTGTCAACTTCAGCTGGAAAAGACGTTACACATATTCCGATTCAGAGCTACCGATGAGCTAGGAACAGAAATGGTATTTTAATGTAATATCTGGGCCTGTTTCGATGAGTTTCAATTTTTTATTCTGGCTGGAATTTAATTGAGAGAGACAAACACGCAGCTCTTTCTCGACGACTCTCAATTTTTCGTGTTTTTATACTCTTATGGCGGCCAAGAAAAGGGTGGGCAAAATCGAATATTTTTTTCCAATCAAATAATTCGAATATTCTTAACAATTACCGAATAGTCCAATACCGAATATTTTTTATACGCAGCAGGGTCCAGAACGTCGGAGGTAGATTTGGAAATTAATAGAAACATTGAAAATCGGCAACAAAGTGATTTTTACTGGTTAATTTCGTCATATGCGCTGATATTTTGTCCCCCTGAACGTTTTTAAATTCCCGCCATTTGTTCTTTTGCGCAACTATTAATTCCCGTGGGTCGGCGGAGATCGAAGTTTCATATTATTGATATAACTATGAGTTCACATCAGCGACAGATTTTAATGACATTAAGGAGTGATTTCAAAGCCAAATTAATTGTATTCTGATATTTATCTTTTGCGCCGACTCTGATCTAACTTATCGCCGTTTGCAAATTAAATGTCCCAGTTTTAAGCAAATAATATTATCGTCAACGGGATGCACACATTTATTATTAAGACGACAATTGACTTTCTTAGGCTCAGTGTTATTTTCGAAATAAATCAATTTGATACTGTGATTAGATAAATCTGTGAAGCTGTGATTGCGTGAATAAAGAATGTTGATTTAAAATCTGAAATAAAGGCATTTCTACGTTGTCGTTTGGCAGCACTCTTGAACGATATTTTACATACGCGACCTGATACCAAAAAAATTGTAAACAATTTTGTGCCCAAGTGCTTTTCGTACCTAGTAGAAGGGAAGACGCTAATTATAATTAATCACCTCAAGTCACCATTTATTTTACAACAAATCAATACCCCGACCAATATCATAGCTAATATCGTTACCGGGAAATTCATAATTTTATTTACGGAATTTGCAAATTCAACACTCCAAAAAAAACGTCTTTGTAACTCTTAATTTCCGAAAATGATTTTCTATTCGGGTCATGCATGCGGAGGCTAATAACATCTTTAAAATCTGGTAACTTTATTTTAGATATCTTATTTGGGTTGACGTTTCTACATTTACGGACTAGTGTCGGCACGCTTTTTGCATAATAACAGTGGAAGCCGAGGGTTAATTCTCGCGTAATCCAAGCGATCGATTTACCGGCGTGAATTCCGTGCCCAAGCAAAGCGGTACAGATTATGTGGTATTGTACATACGAATAGTAAAATGGCATTCGAATATTTTAATATTGTATTCGCTATTCGAATATTTTGCACAGCCCTAGACCGGCCATGCTTAAAAACTCATTTCGCAAAGATAGGTAGTGGAAAATGATAGCAAGATTGGAAGCGGTTGTGAACCGCGCTTTGTGAAATTTATATAAATCCATCGGACGGTTAAATATCAGTTATGACGTCATAATACTGCAAAAAAGCAATTTTCTGCGGAACACCCGGAGGTCTCTCGCGGAACACCGGTGTTCCGCGGAACACCGGTTGAAAATCAATGATCTATAGCAGTGGCCGGCAACCTTTTTTCAGTAACGGACCGGTAAAGCCTGACCGAAATTTTGGCGGACCACCTTTATACAAACGAACTAATCTAATGTAATAAATAATATGCGTTAGAAAATGTATGTTGACAATACATTCAAAAACGAAGGTGATACTATTCACGTAACGTATTTCTTACGTTAAACCCACTTCGATCTTTCGTTTTTGTAATTGCCATTTTAAAAACCCAACCTCACATGAAGATAACAATGGCATTGTACGTTTTCATGTCACCTTTCTGCGGACCGGTAGTGACCTTTCCGCAGACCGGCGATGGGCCGCGGCCCGGTGGTTGCCGACTACTGATCTATAGTATATGAAGGAATTTGCATACAATAAACAATGGAATAACTGTTATCTACAACATGACTATATTACCATGCATTTCATGTTTGCAGATTACTGCGATATATTTTTATATACCATGAGTTACGTTATCAGAATTAAATTAATACGGCAAGCATTTAAAATAGTGCTATCGGTCATAGATTTGAACATTTTGCGCAACACAAAATCATCCTAGTAAAAGTCCATACTTTTAAATACCAACCATTATCCAAATTATTTGCCAAAAAGCGGGATAAAGTATAAATTATATTTCTGACTTGCGACAATTTTTTCGTGAGTACGTAAATACGAATGGATTTTTTTTATATTCGGGCACTTCAATGTCCGCATATATATCTTTTATTATTTTATAAATACGAAAATATGTATCAAGAATTAATTATAATCGGGCAGTTTACCACACATTTTAAGTCCATGGATCGCCGTTGTATTTTGTAAATACGAAAATAGGAATCAAAAATTAATAATAATTGCCGTGATATTGTGCCCGAATATAATTTATTTTTGATTCCGTATTTCATTCCTTGAACTTAATATCTGTTTTTATAAATTTTGCAAGCAGTTCACGCACAAAGACTTTGTTGAATAATTATGTATTAGTCCTGTTAGACCACTGGTTCTCAACCAATGGGCCATGGGCCACTGGTAAGCCTCAGAGGCATTTTGAGGTGGGCCACAAACATATTATAAATTACAAGGTTTGTTGATCTAGAACAGCTAGATATGAAAATATATATATATTAATTTGTTTGCACATTACATCAAAATTAAAAAGAATATAACGAGAATGTCATGGCCTTCAATTCGCCAGGCTCGAACTGAGCATAACATATAAAAAATTAACAAAAAACGAATCCACGAGGACATTGTCTCATAAATACGAACAGAACAAACATTAAATTACCCAATTCCTAATATATTAAATTTTCAAGTATTCCTCACTATCCATCGGAAGAAATTTCATCCACTTCTTCCTTTTAGTGTTCATCTTTTTAGTGACTTCAACCACCTCATTATTCGCCGGAAGAAATTTCATTCACTTCTTCCTTTTACTGTTCATCTTTTTAGTGACTTCAACCACCTCATTATTCGTCGGAAATTTTTTTATCCACTTCTCCCTTTTAGTGTTCAGCTTTTTAGTGACTTCAACCACCTCATCAATCGTCGGAATAAATTTTATCCACTTCTTCTTCTTAGTGTTCAGCTTTTTAGTGACTTCGACCACCTCATTATTCGTCGAAAAAAATTTCATCCACTCCTTCCTTTTAGTGTTCAGCTTTATAGTGACTTCAACCACCTCATTATTCGTCGGAAGAAATTTCATCCACTTTTTCCTTTTAGTGTTCAGCTTTTTAGTGACTTCAACCACCTCATTATTCGTCGGAAAAAATTTCATTCACCTCTTCCTTTTAGTGTTCAGCTTTTTAGTGACTTCAGCCACCTAACTACCTGTCGGAAGAAATTTCATCCACTTCTTCCTTTTAGTGTTTTTAGTGACTTCAACCACCTCATTATTCGTCGGAAATTTTTTTATCCACTTCTCCCTTTTAGTCTTCAGCTTTCTAGTGACTTCAACCACCTCACCACCCGTCGGAAGAAATTCCATCCACTTCTTCCTTTTAGTGTTCATTTTTTTGTGACTTCATCCACCTCACCAGCCGTCGGAAGAAATTTCATCCACTTCTTCCTTTTAGTGTTCATCTTTTCAGTGACTTCAACCACCTCATTATTCGTCGGAATAAATTTCCTCCACTTCTTCCTTTTAGTGTTCAACTTTTTAGTGACTTCAACCACCTCATTATTCGTCGGAAGAAATTTCATCCACTTCTTCCTTTTAGTGTTCAGCTTTTTAGTGACTTCAACCACCTCATTATTCGTCGGAAGAAATTTCATCCACTTCTTCCTTTTAGTGTTCAGCTTTTTAGTGACTTCAACCACCTCATTATTCGTCGGAAGAAATTTCATCCACTTCTTCTTTTTAGTGTTCAGCTTTTTAGTGACTTCAACCACCTCATTATTCGTCGGAAGAAATTTCATCCACTTCTTCCTTTTAGTGTTCAGCTTTTTAGTGACTTCAACCACCTCATTATTCGTCGGAAGAAATTTCATCCACTTCTTCCTTTTAGTGTTCAGCTTTTTAGTGACTTCAGCCACCTAACTACCCGTCGGAAGAAATTTCATCCACTTCTTCCTTTTAGTGTTCAGCCTTTTAGTGTTTTTTAATTTTTCACCTTTGGGAACACTTCAACTTCCGTTTTCCCTCCACTTCATCCGTTTCTTCCTTCAGCCTTTTAGTGTTGTCCCAGACAGACTTGTAGTATCTGCTGTTCGAATATTGCAATCACGCACTCCTCTATGGTGCTTGCCTGATTTTGCTGCAATAGACCTTATTCATTAAAAACCCATCCTACGCGCAAAAAATAAAAGTGATGTAAAAAATTTTTTTTAACATTAGCTCTTATGGGAAATGTGATCACCAGAGCAGAAATTTGCATTTTTTGAAATTTTCTAGATATCTTTCATTGTATACGTGAGCAGTTTTGAGGATAGAATATTTTTTACATCTTTTTTGATCTTTTTATCATGATAAACATGGTCAGATTTTTGATAATCGTTCATTAAAATTTTAATGAGCGCGGTGTTTCCGATGACGTCATTCTCACTAGACCATGAGATTCTGCCAACGCGCCGTGCTCTGTGGGATATGCGCTGGCCGTCCGGTACTGGACGCGTTTAGCATTGGCAATCTATAACCCGTACCATTTCTATCACGTTTGTTTACTGGTTTTACGCATTTATACCTGTACAGCTAGCAATCATTTACTGAAGGCATGCTGACGTGTTATTTAAACTACCGGTACCGTACCAAGGCTGCAAGAGGTGAAAACTAAATTATTTAGTAAATACTGAAATAGGCCTACGAACAAAAATGTTGGCCATCTTGCCGATAGGCAGGATAAGTTGTACGATACCGGTATACAAAAAAGATGAATATTTCCAACCTATAATGGTACAATACCGGTCTCGTAACTAGGTTAAAAAACATGACTAAATACGAGAGGGAGATTTATTTTGTCAACCAGAATACAAGCATTGGATCAATAAAAATCATATACAAAACACACAGTTATTCGGTATAGACTGGGGAGCGATACGACCATCACAGTCAGCTCCCCCCTGAACCCCCCCCCCATGTTTGCTATCAAGATTAACAGTTAATTAAGATGTTTTAAAAAACTCCTCGGAGCAAGGGTTGACTAAGTTACGGAATATTTCTGGATTCGATTAAAAATGTAGTTTATTATTAAACACTGCTTTTTTTGTAGATTTTCACTTAGTGGACACTTAGCAAGTACGACAGTTAATTTATAAAAAAAAATTATAAATTAATAACAAATCAGTAGAAGTCAGCTCGGGTATCCAAACATGTGATGATTGAAGTGAGAAAAAAATTTGAAGTCACGTTCAGGATATTACATCAAACAACAATGGAAAAGGTACATTGGACACAGTCAAGGCACATCAGTCAAGCTTCAAATGCTAATGGTATTAATGAAAAGAATATGCGAAATGAAGACTGAAGTTTCCATCTGAGACATTGGAAGACCCTAAAACCTTATAGACTTGATAGTGTGGAAAGCCTTCTCACAATGCAGTAATAATGGACCTATTTTTATAATATCATTATACAGGCTTTAAGTTGAACTATATGTTTAATTAAAATATCTATCTTTGCTAATAAATGCTAAAAACCATTTATTTCAAGCTGCTGAGTGATTAGGGCCAGAAATTTGCTGTAGAGACCATCACCAGGGCTGGATTTACCAATAGGCTAGGCAGGCTGAAACCTAGAGCCTCGAAATTCGGTTTCGAAGTTTGTGATTCTTTTGAAAACTTGACAAGTTTAAACCCTACGAAACGTATATATATATATATATCAAGATTTTCAGAGTAGAAAATTCTGTACACAACTGGTTTCAACCACAGCATCATAATAAGGGAAATTATTATTATGCGCATTCTGCTGGAAGTTTCTATGTTAAAGTATGGCTGTAGCGGTTGTTTGATCAAAGAAATTGAAAGCAAAACTGCCTCAAGTAAATTTTTATTCCTTCAATTAAAAATTCACACCCATGAATGGGGAGAATGAAAAATTTAATGCACTCATATTTTTAATTTAAGCAATGACATGTGGTGTTGTTTAGAGAGAAATTCTGAGCTCAAAAATATGAAGTGGCCTCTCATGGTCTAAATCCAGCCCTGAACATCACCAATTTTGGGATAGGTACATGGTGTCAACAAGACTCAACATATGGACTGAGTTAGGCCATTGGATTTTGAAAGGTGTACCAGAAATGTACATAGAATTCATGAAATATATAACATCCAATAAAAACCAAAATAAGTCTTTCGTTGAACGCCAGTTGTGGTCCCGGTATTCCAGTATTCTGTTATCACAAGCAGTTTCCACAGAGCACGGCGCGCTGGCAGAATCTCATGGTCTAGTGAGAATGACGTCATCGGAAACACCGTGATCATTAAAATTTTAATGAACGATTATCAAATATCTCGACCATGTTTATCATGATAAAAATATCAAAAATAATGTAAAAAATATTCTATTCTCAAAACTACACACGTATACGATGAAACATATCTAGAAAATCCCAAAAAATGCAAATTTCTGCTCTGGTGATCACATTTCCCATAAAAGCTAATGTTAAAAAAAATTTTTTTACATCACTTTTATTTTTGCGCGTAGGATGGGTTTTAAATGACTAAGGTCTATTGCATCCTTTGGTTGACCAAGGATTGTTCCGAGACGCGTTGTACTTCGAATATCCTAATAGATGAAGTTTGAGGGTTCACATGTTTATACAGTTCATCATAGTCGGCAACATCTAAGCTATAAATGAGCGTCTCAAATCAAGAGTAAATAAATGGCATAGCTCATGATATAATAAACAATGTTGAAGCAAACATATTAGCTGAAAATACATAGTTTGTTTCCCCGAAAATAGTAGATAGCAAGAAATCTCTCCTACACGTTTAAAATGATTAATCTTAAACGTGTTAGAGAGGAAAAGGTTCAATGGTCTGAGATAACGTGAAGATCAGTTTTTTTTTTTATAAAAACGTGTTATTTATAACTGAATCGATATCGGTTTTCATACTTTGTATATATATTTGAAAATCTCGTCATTTTCTACTTGAAAACTAGAAGTAAAACGATGATAAAACTATTTATCTGGTATAACTTCAGTATTTTCGCGCATTTCTACGAGAGCCCGAAAAAGAGAGAATGATTTATCTCCGAATATATCATCAAAGAACACATTGCAGTAAAAAGAATGGAATAAACAATAATCGGAAGGATAAGGCACATGCAAACATTATTTACAATATCAAAACACTTATTTTAGGACAGGAGAAAAAAACAGTCATCATCGGTTGCTTATAGATAGATGGTTGATTGATTACAACAATTAAATTACACATACAGATTCCAAAGCAAATATGAAATGGGCATTATTATTATATAAAGTTAGCCGACACTATTTTTGGAATACTTTATTTGAATTAAGAAAAGAAAGGAAAAAGATACATATTTAGAAAAAATAATATGGTAAACAGCCCCTTTTATGTGTATTCTGAAGAATTTTGAAATATTGATTATTAGTTAAAATTTGATGAAACAGCAAAATATTGCCATCGGCATTTACTTTTTATTGCACTTCGTTCTTTTTATTCAGTCTTCAAGCAATACAAACCTTGGGTCATTGCTTGCAAATTAGTTCTTTTTCAATTCTTCCTGCTCTGTGTCACGTCACAAACAACACATGTCATTTCTTGTGACTTTTTACGGAAGACACACGCACCTTGTCTATATTAGATTTATTTATAGTCACTGATTCATCCACAGCCGTGTATTTATTCACCACGACAACACTGCTTGATCTTCTCAGCGTTGATAGCCATTGAAAGCTACCATTACCTTTTTTTATGATATCACACCTGTTGGTAAAACATTGAACTGAAATTGCCGCATGAACATGAATTTTGTTATTCAAAAATACCGTAAAACAATATTTTACTTGTAACTCTTACTTTACATGTAATAGGAGAGAAGCGTGTATAGTCCAATGTAGAAAAAATATCTGAAATTAATTTAACGCTCCCTTTTCTTTTTCGTGCAAACGCAGGTTGGTTATAGATAGAAATTGTGCTAAATGCTTACGTTGACTAAATGCATGGCCCATTGTGTTAGATTCTAGATTCATGTTAACTGAATTTGTCTTACCGCGGATCGTCTCCTTCGCACCAAACCTCGAAACAGTACTCTATTTGAACTACATCAACTTGACTGTCGTTGATATGACGTAGGCCACATTTTTTGTTTTCAATAACACCGTACGGCCAAATGTCTTTGTTCTTGATTGGAATCACTGGTGGCTCTACAGAAATATTTGGGTTTTCTGAGTTGATACAGATGTTTAGAGACTGGTCGGGCCTGTAAATACATATATATCAAAATTAAAACTGAGAATCATTCTCTCTACACATATCCCATGGAAGCGTCCGTTAAAAATAATCTCGATGAAACTGTGATATTGAGTTAAAATAACAAACTTCAGAAACAATTTGAAAAAATATGGAAGTAATAGATTTATAGACACTCTCATATTTAATTCTGGGAATTTCGAAGATAATGCCGTAGTTGACAGAACAGAAGGGCGACTTTTGTACTACCAATAACAAAAACGAAACACTAAAGTATATTTAATAGGTATTGAGTAGTTTCGAATTCAAGAAAACATATGCTGAAACGGTTATTGCAGAGAAAAAGTTGAAGTCACCTAATCATAAGTGTCCCAGGTTCCACTACCATTTCATAATGTTCTGAGTTCATTCCCCTTGTGACAGATGCAAACGAATGTACGTCGGAAATACACCAAACCAATTCGTAGTTGTTAGGTTTCTTCTCTACTGTAAATCGCTTCACGTAGCCAACAAAATATAACGTTTTTGAAAACAGTTTCTCAATCGCCCGCTGGAAGATGGCTCGGAATCTTAAAAGGAAATAAGAGCTTAGTAATTCTTGTTCTTGTGGGTATGTTCTCCGAACTCTTCCATTCTGTATCTCACATAAAAAGTGTCAAGTGAGAATAGGCATTCGCCGAAAATTAATTTCAAAACATTAAAAGAAACTCACAACGTAAAATGATTGACACTGAACACAATTCTGCCCGGAAAACTATTCTTTACTATCTTAAATTTTTCCCAGTTGCTTTCTTCTTCTTGTCGTGTTTGTATCTAAAACATATCAACAACCACTGAATTTTTAGTAAAATAGGATTTTATGTTATATATATTTATATCAAGTCTATAAGACGAATTTGTCATGCAGCCTCGATGTGTGCATCGCTACCAGCTGAAGGGGTGTGGTGGGTAGGGCTGGGCATTTCGAATCGAATAGTAAATTATTCGAATCGGTTCGAATTTTTTTATCGGAGCCATAGTTTTTCAATACAAATATGACTATTTTCTGTAGTGAGTTATTGATAAAACGTGTTTCTTATTGTATGTGAACTCTCAGCAATCTGTCTGAGTGATGTATTTTACGTTTTCAGTAATTCATATGTTGAAAGTACCAATTACAATGAAAAAGTCGCATACAATTATATATCTTCCAAGTATTCGATTCGAAAAAAATATTCGATTCGATTCTGAAATCATCAGGTATTCGAAAATGCCCAGCCCTACTGGTGGGCGAAATAGATTGTGACCAAATTGACGCTAACGTAAATTGAGGAATTCCTAGGGATTCGAAATAGGAAAGGTAGATAGCCACATGGCAAGAATTATAACGCAGGAGTGCAGCGTCTCGAGTCAGCTTGGAACTCAAACCTTCAGGACTTTGGACTTGACTTGAAATTGGGTTTGGTGTTGACTCGACATGACTCGCTACTTAGTCTATAAAAAGTTGCACTCAACAACGGTAGTTTGACTACTCTCGCACTAAAAGAGCTATGGTAATCATAAACAGTTCACTGTGAACATAGCGTACCGTTATATCAGAGAGTTTGACGTGAGATAGTGGGTCAAAATATGCCGGTATTGATATCAAGACATCTTTTTTGAAGCTCAAGCCTTTTGGAAGAAGCTGGATTGTAGGGGTCATGGTCAACCAATTTTCGTCCTGAAATGGAAGTATGTAAACACACAAATGCCGGATTAAAATTCCATGATTTTGTCAAAATTAGAATTACCAGTATAGCTTAGTTAATAATCAAAGTGAGCCGATCACTGCATGAGGCAGTGCTGAGGCCGGAAATCTTCAACTATGCTATGCCAATAGCGTTTTTGAATGTCTAACCTGAGTTATCGTCGCTGCAACTTTTCACCACTTACTTGAAAAGGTTGTCGATGGAAAAAACACTTCAGCGTAATTTCAGTCAAATGGTCCAAGGCTCCTTTGGGTATTAACACACTGCATCCAGCAATCGCCAACGATCCGCCGTGAGAACCAATAACTTCTGATATATCATAAATATCAACATTGTTAATATCTGAGATCGTGGATACAACTTCTTTCTTTCCACTATTTGAAGATAAGCTGAAATTATTTAGTATATCAAATTATAGTAATATTTTTTTATATTACCTACTATTATTTTGCATCTTATTGTAACGTATATTAATTCGAACTGCTCAATATATATATACGGAGGCCTGCACCCTTGCCTGAATTTTAGATGTGTATGCGTATAGTTTTTGCAAACTGTTGACGAAATATTTCGGTAAAGGGAAACTCTTACTTACTCTGCGTTTGTAAACAATCAATATATATACCATACACGCCTCGCATATCAGAAAACAAGTGACAGCTATTCATTATCCACCTACAAAGAGTCTTCTTACCTTATGCCTGAATCTCCATCGCCGCACGACCGAACTTCAGAAAGTCTAAACCAAAAATACTTATATATATGGGCACGAACTGCATATGAGTATACATCTACACATAAATCTGTTTTCACTATAATAGTCAAAGCGAATCTTTACTGTACGACAAAACGTTGCTGGTAAATATTGAATGAAGCAAATGCAGCAATAAGAAATATAGAATTAGCAAAAGAGATAGCTAGAGCATAGGACTTGCAGACCTTCGAGTCATATGATGTCTATTAAATACGATATGTCATTCTAATTTGTCTGACCCGAGTTTTTCACAAGGAAGAAATTCTTGCAATTTTGCTCCTTTACTAGTATCTAGAATCTTTTTTTTAATTCAGAAATTAAAATTTTTCAAATCTATCATGTTCTCTTCACCATTTTTCTCAATATAAGCCCAATCGCTGATTTGCTTAGGCTCGTATTAATAACTTTGATATAGGCAAATCATACGACCATGTAACTTTAAACGCATTTTATAAATTCAATAAAATTGTTTCATACGTTCTAGTTTCATCCTGTTGTTTGTTTCCGACTGATTTCGATCTTTCCGGAAATAAATCATTCTGGAATAAAAGAGTTTTGGCAAATTATTCCGCTTTATCTTGCTAAACTACTATTTCATTCTGTGATATCAATGATTAGATAGTGAATTCTCACCTCGTTAAACCGCATTTTAACATTGACACGTTTCGGCGAAGTTGTGACATCGATATTTGCTACATTTTCATTGGAATCTGTAAAATGTTATATTTTTCTTTCAAAATATCTCAGAATATTCTATGATAATGATTCATTAATCGTCAGTAATAGGAGTGGTCAGTGACGAACGCATTTACATCATAAAAACATGTCATGTTTTGAACTATACGAATAGGACGTTCATTGCGACGTCATATTTATTTTCGTACAATGCCGTATGACGTCATAATGATTTGTAGGACTGCTCAAAACATACTGAGCACGCACAACTTATGATTACTCGCCTTCAGTCTGTAACCATGTATTATAGTTGGATAAAGTATACGCTAACGCTTTAAATTAATATTGCCCGCCATTCTTTGAAATATACGTTTTGTCAGGTATACCAGGGAACGTTTGAGGTACAGTGTTTACCCGAAAATAAGACTGGGGTTTATTTCAATTTTCTTTCGAAAAATAACACTAGGGCTTATTTTCGGGGAATGTCTTATATTTTCATTTATCAAAAACAAAATTACAAAGTGGAGAATTACAAAATTTTCAAATATACAAAATATGAAAACCGATATTCATTTACTTATAAATAACATGTTTTTATTCAAAATAACTGCAAAACATAGATTATTAATCATTTTAAACGTGTAGAAGAGATTTCCTACTATCGACTAGTTAGAAAAAAAATTTCGCGTTACTGACTATGTCTTATTTTAAGTGGAGGGCTTATATTAAAATGAGTTTTAAAATTCAGGATAGATCTTATTTTCGGGGAAACACGGTAGTAGGACAGTAGGTAGTTCAATTATGGATGACTTTTAAGATTAAACTGCTACGATCGAATTCAGTTGATCGAATATCCACTTAAAGTACCGGTAAATCATTTTCTCCAGTGACACTTAGCTTTGTAAGATAGTTACATCCTGTCAAGACTAATTAATGCAATTTATTTGAATGAACTATTTCAAATTTTCTTATTTTATAAGTACATATAGGCTACATATAAACCCGCTTACAATTTAACAAACTGTAAATAATCACTTCGCTTCTGTAATTGGAGCGAAGTAGAAATTTTTTCCTCCACATCACGATAATAATATGCGCAGTTACACAATACTTACCTTTTACAGAGTGTCCAGATATATCATCTTCTTTATCTTGAGCGGAGTATACCTTCACGGTAACATTGCTTTTTATTTCGTCATTATTTTCGGTAACCTGTATTAAATTAACCAGAGATGGAATTCAAGAACAACTTTATATGAAACTTAAATCTTTTACAAGTTGGCGAAGAAAATAAAAAATAAACCTGCGTTTCATCGGATTTGGGCTGAAGGTGATCTTCGCCTTTTCTTGCTTTATCGTTTTTTTTTCTCCAGATTTTTCGACAAAAATCAATCCTATATAATATATATATATTTATTAAATTATGATAATTTTGGCCTTTTCAACAGTCATTTTAACAATCTTTATTAAAGTAATCTAACGAGTACAAACCAACTTTCATCGTATCATGTTCTCTTCAAATACATACTTTATCTAAATAATGTGCATTTTAGTATATAACCATGATACAAAACATGGATTAATTTTGGCATTTGGAGGAATAAATAATTCAATTTGTTTCGTGGCTACTGTCGGAATCGAAAAAAAGTTCTACTAATGTTCAAACTACCATGCATGCGATGCTACCTACATTCGTTAAAATATCACATATCAGGTCATTACTCTGACTACTACCTAATCAGCCCCCAACATAGTGGATTGGAAAGGTTCTACATTTATCCAGACGGCATATTGTTTCTATATTTATGTCATACAGTCTATATCTTGCTGTATATCTTGTTTATAATGTTCAAAGTTATTGAAGTCTTCATTTAGTTTATACTTACAAGTATATTACAAGAAAGGCGACAAGGATCTTCAATAGAAATAAAAACTCATTTGAATCCATTCGCCGAAGTCTGCCTGTGAAATTTTTGCTTGCTTATTCCTTTCTGTATATTATAGTGGCCACAAAATTGTATATTAAGTCACCAACCGTTCAGACTACTGTTATCTTTTATATGTACATTAATTTGTATTCGTAGGTACCTTTCTGATTCACCGTGCCACGTAAATCAGCTGCACGAGTAACGGTGATTCAAATACAGTATTTCAGACATTTGAACCCACGCATCGATCACATATTGCTTTGGCCACGCATGTACCGCCGACGGTTAAATAACTATATGAGTTATATCGTAAGTAGTATATCCAATGCCTAGAACAATATCATCGATACCGATAACTCATAATTGTGGGTGTCATTCGAGGAAGTAAACTAGTAACCTATTGCTTCAAGAAACTGTATGCAAAACTGTATCTAGTTATTGCTTTATATATACACGTGATGAGTCTGATGGCATGCAAGTTGGTTAACAGCTCCACAGTATCTCTGTTATTATAACTAATAATTTAATATCTCTTAATCGACTTTTGAACCACCCTGTAAATATAATTTGGCGCTCCAGAAGTATGTGCACCAAGATGGCGCACAACCAGATGACCCTAACCTGGTACACATACTATGTTCAGGTTGTGCGTCATCTTGGTGCACATACTTCGGGAGCATCTTTAGTTTTAGTCTGCCACTTAAATTAGACCAAATATTCAAATACTTCTTATTTTCTATATGTCATTACTGCAATGTATGAATCATTATGATCCGAATACATACTTTGTATTTATGCAATTTTATTGGAAATAACGGTTCTACATTTGTATGTAACCCTGGTCTCCAAGGGGGAAAAAGGGTAAACACGGTATTTATGAAAGAGTCACAAATAGGATTTTAACCTAAATAGTGAATTGAAGTTATGATCTCGTCAATATAGAAAAAAAGAACTTCTCATCTACTGGGCCAGTCAACCAAAGAATATATCTGGCGGATATTGCATTTTAGAAAGAAAAAAAAAACATGTGTCAAGACCAGATACGACCGGCCCGCCGAATCATACACAAAATTAACAAGACAAAACTGTCCCGAAGGAATGGCACATTCGTCGTTGAAGTCAGTCAGTGGAGAAGATATAACTGTATTTTGATTACCGCTTTCCTCTTCCTGGGTTAAATTCCGAAATAACGTCAATCAGATTAAAATATAAATTATCAAACTTAAAATCCATGTAAAAGGTGTTGCAATAACTGATACTAACAACTTAAAATTGGGATAAACTTTTCTTGTACAAATCTGTTATTTACATCTTGGTATTTATGCGAATGTTCTGAATCTTCTTTACTGAATGCATGAATAAACGTAATAGATATGTTAGATCAAAGCTAGCTTCTGTTTTATGGGGTATTTTTATACCCCAATTCCGAACATGGCCATGGACAAGCGACTGATATGCAGTGAGCTATTATTTTGAATGGATTGAAATGTTTCCAATTCCAAATCGAAGAGATATCGTTTCACATAGTATGGTTTGCTGGTGGCGAAGTAGCCTCTATCCGTTTGAGCAAAAGACAAAAAATTATAAGTTAGTCAAACGAAACAAGATGTTATGTACCTGTAGGGTGTACAAGCCTATAGTATCAAGCACAAGAAAGGTTTAAAGATGCTATTTACTTTGGAGATATGAAAAGAAATGATTGCTATTGTCATTGCCTTTATATTTTCATGTCGCTCCAATCCTATTGTTCGTAGTTATGTAACCGATACCGGTAAGCAGGCACAATCGGGCGTGGGCACGAGAAGACGGACTTGTTATCATTTTGTTCGAGAACTATGGAGACTTTATCAATAGATAACGTCTGAGGGCTTAGAGGTAATAGGTTGACAAGAAGTTGTGAATTATTATATTGTGTTTTTATACGATAGATTTCAAGATATGGGTAAGTAAATTTTAACTTCGATTTACTTTTTTCGGTATTTGTCAACAATGTCGGCTTACATTCGCCTTGTTGCCAATATACCAAGCGACAGAAAGAGCTTACCGGTTGCGATATACAATAAAACAAAACAAGATAAAAAATCTATAATTACCTTAAAACTGAGTTTACATTCTATAAATTGGTATAAGATGATCTTGTGGTGGATTACCATGGTAAAATATTACGTCTTACTACAGTGTGAGGTCTACCATCCTACAGGGTGAGATTTGCTTAAGGTATTATCATAGCGTGAGGTCTCTGTCAACATCAGTATGAAATCGATGTTCAGATTCAGAGGGCATCTGAGACTACAACTTGGTATTGCGATATACCTCGGTTTATGATAACACAAAATATTTTCAATGTTGAAAATAGTGTTTGACGTATGTATAAAGATGCATCTCTTAGATACGTCAGCAATTATTTACCGAAAAGAACATTAACAGATTATTTACAAAAATTAAAAAAGGGGGGCATAGACAATTGTTTGAGGGGACGTGAAGCTAATTAAAAATAAAAGTATTTGTTATAGATTCGATTTTGACCTCCTTATTTTGCACATTTGCAGTTTTTTGTTGTTTAGAGATTGCGCTATCATCTACGTATTTTCAACGTGTTTTTTGAATGAAACATACCATTGCCGTGCTATCTGATATGTGTAGCTTAGCTATTGTTAGTTTTTTTATTTGAGTACGGGCGCGAGACTTGAAGAGTTCTGAAAAAGTGGTGCGACTTAAAAAGTTTGAGAACCACTGGGCTGGGTGCTCAAAATGCCTCAATGAAAGCAATGAACTTAATATAATAAAGTTATAAAATATGTATCTCTGCAGGTTCATCAGCCTGCAAAATACCAGAAGTTCAGAATGCCATAGAAGCCAAAATCAGAGATAAGGCGTTGAGCATACGAGAAATGAAGAAAACCACAAGTTTGCCCGAAGAAACACTAATTGGAAAACAAAGTACCAAAAGAATTGTGGACATTTTACTGTAAATCAATATCAGCCTTTCATTCTTTTTATCCTACCACTACTGAATATAAACTGCGATTTTGGGGGGGGGGGGAGGGGGGAAATGATCATGTTTTACTGTGTATAGTTTCTCAAAAATATTATGCGTCAATATATAGAATAACGGAAAATTTTATTAGGAAGAGTTTGATGTATTCACTTAAATTTGTATTTCATCAGTATTCTAATTAGATGGAAATACTCAACGACTGTGAGGAGGAGTGCTTTTTTGTAAGACTCTCAAATTCAAAGGTCGATTTTCTAATATTTCAGTCGCTTCCACTTTCCAGTAAAATGTTAAGGAAATCAAGCAATCGCTTCTCATCCTTTATATTTTACTTTTATGTGGGTCTTGTCGATTTGAAGACTCTTTCCTTGCGCTGACTTTCTGCTGTATTGTTCTATGATAAATAACTCTATAATGCGATGTAAAACGCCTCTCTATTAAACACTGTCTGTTAATTTTACAGTGAAACGTCTGATTACAATTTTGATGTTGGTGACAGAAGCGAGAACGATCGCATATTCAATTTGGAGAGTTCCAAAAAAAAATCGTTTGAAAACGGAATCGGAATTTTGATTTGTCCAGATGAAAACCGGAAAGCTGTAATCAAGAGTAAGTTTCCACTATTGGAATATGTCAGAAATGGGCACAATAAAATCTGTTACCGTGTGTCATTACGATTTTATTTTAAGTAAAGAACTCACCCTCGCATGTGCATAAATAGTTTGCTCTTTCACTATTTTAAGATACAAAACTGAATCACTATGGACATACTTAATATTTTTTTTGTGTTCATATACTGTTTCGTCTTTACATGCAGGTACCAGCGAGAAGATTTTTTTGAGTCCATCAGGAGGGATACGTTGGCCAAACATTGAAATGACATATCGTCATTGTTCAGTCTCACAGTGTGTTGTCGAAAATTTCAGACACAAAATAATCGGGCATACCGACTTTTTTTTGTTGTATGCTGTAGTACCGGGTGAGTACTCGTATATCAAGAGAACGATGCACAAATAAATAGACGTGAAAGCTAAAAAGAATCAGAACGGGAATCGGTGTATTTTTTATTAGGCCATCGCATGCAAAACAAATAAAAAAGTAATCCCTTAGAGCCCACAAAATTTGAAAAAAAAAAAGTAATAGCTAAAAATGCAATCTTAAAACACTGAAAATTTTAAAGCATTCGGTCCAGTGGATATAAGAAAAGCGATATTTTCATAACGATAAGAAAAATACCAACAAGAACAACAACAACATAGTTACAATATGTATATGTACACGACATGTCCAATAATAAACTGACGCCACTTGAGAGATTAATTCGGATTAATTATTCTTTATGGTTGATCATATAAGCGACTGTCAATTAGATGTTATGTTCACATACATAACTGTTTTCAACAACTTTGTTTGAAAAACTCACTCGAATTGTGGTGAAAAATAAATCGATACAAAACTGATAGAAAACAAATATATATATATATATATATATATGCATTTTTCGGATAACAGCAACACGTACCAAAAAAATATTTTATGCAATCGATGCAACGACGCTGTCCTCTTTAACCATATCGGGATTCTAAATATTCGATATCCAAAAATATGAAAACCATGTTGATATTTGAACTAGTACGCAAAACGAGTGCCAAATTACTGCATGTAATCGTATATTATATTTGGGCGTCTTGGCTGTCGTGTCCCGAGTCCCGAAACCGAGTTCTATCATTTTACTTTTTCTGTTGTCACAGATTTCAAGGACAACAAGGTGGCGTTTGAAAACGACGTCCAGGAAACCGTCAATTATTTTGAACAACGTCATGCCAGCGTTCTAGATGGCGTTTCAAAGTTGTTCATATTCGAGGTTGGTAAATGTCTGAGTAACGTTTATTCTGTTTCTGTATTTCAACTGACGCGTCCTCCATTACAGCCACATCTATGCATTGTAATGAACTTGCATTTTGCTTTGTATTATCTTGGTTTGTAAGAACGCGCGAGAGAGGTTGTTGTTAGCTGTATAATTCCTACGAGCCAATCTCTTTCCTGAATAAATTTGAAATCGATTACGGCTCAGTTTGACTATATTAGTATTTATTATGGGATTAGATCTTTCTGTTTTGGTATCCTATAATGCCAATACAACTAATTTCTTGTCCTTTTTTCTCAAATTCTTTAAATCAGTGTTCAAGACAAAGGCGAGATGAAATGTCACCATCGACGCTGAATTTCAGTGAAGATCCAGATACCGCCGTCATATTTACTGACGGGGTAAGCCCTGGTGGATACGAATAACATTTTTGGTACATCTTATTATAAATGATAATCTGATATTCTACTGAATCCAAATGTACAGCTAGCTCGTGATATTTTTATGACGCCGTACAATTTCGAAATCGCACTCTTTTAAGAGATAAGACATCCTAATCAAATTAAGTTTGTAACTTTTTGAGTGCGCAAAATTTTATGCATTTTTTATATATTTATATTAATGGCATGATTTTCAAAATAAACTAAAATTGTATACTTTCAACTTATTTTCCGCTTGGAAATATGTACATTATGTTACTAAGTTTGAATAAAAAATGAAGAGTTCACAATTAGATGAAAAACGTCGGAGAGACAATTTCGCCGACTGGAATTAGACAGCAAATAATTTTATGTGATCATTATCAACTAATAGTGCATTCGTTTTGTTTTCAAGAACATGTATAATCAAGTGACTAACTATAGTAAAATAAATGAGCAATACAAACGTTAAACGAACAATTTTGCGATTTTCTAAATTAATTTTACTATTTCTGATTAAAATATGGATGCAATCAGGTTGTGCATATGTATCTGCGGATATTATCATTGCATTAGTTTGTTGTTGCAAATGATTTTACAAAAAGGGATTGATTACTCCCATCGGGGTATAATTCTGTGATTAGTTGACTGGTTTCCTAAGAAGCGGTCTCAAAAATATAGAGGTATGTAAATTATCATACTAATTCGTCAAGTTTTCCAATCAAATTGTGAGCATCTACCCAGTGAAAAATAAAATTAACTTAGTGTCATATAAAAGCGTATAGTCGGCCCCAACACATACAGGAATAAGTATCAACAGTTGAAACATTTTGATATTGCTGTTCACTCTTCGACCATGAAGATAGCTAAAATTAACATTCCAATACTTCAATTATATATATTATGCTACTGAAGGATGCATTTTTTTCAAAAATTTCTTTCCACTGTTCATTCAAATCCATCATAATGGTAACATTTAAAATCATAAAAATTCATTTGAAATTTACTACAACTTTCAAACAGTATTTCATGGTTCATTCGAAAATACATCACAATTGCCTTCTTGTGATTTTTTAAATTTTATTCTCATTAAAAACGATTATCTGAATTGAATTCTTGTAAAACGATTGGAAATTGTTTTCCACAATTAACTAACATTGCCTTATTTTTTCCTGTCAATTTCCTACTGAAGGTTCGTGAACTTTGTTAAATTTACAGTGATTGACAGATGCATTTATTTTCAATTCGAACAAAAACTACTGAGAACAATTTTTGAAACAAAAGTTGAGTTTTTTTAAAACTACCGAAGCAACCGAAAATTAATCTAGACAGAAGCCCGACCTCCGACATTGATATCAATTTATTAGATTGACTTATTCGTTCCCGACTTGCTTAATTTAAATTTTTTTCATGTGGGTGTTGGTAAGATCAAATTATTTTTGTTGTGTCAATTTAATACAGCAGCAATGCCTAAGTTGCAGGCTTCCGGGGAGGCACATTGTATGTTGAGAATAGTGCCGAAGGCCGCATGCATATTTTTATAATTTATACCTTAGTTAAGTGCAGTTTGCGATATATATTGCGACGTAATTTATTAGTCGGACGAGGTTTTTGAACTGAAAAGATTTTACATTGCCAAGCCAACCCAGTTAATGTGGTTAGGTATGACTGAGGCATTTCATTCCGGGAGTTTTTAAATATATAAGACAATGTTTTTTGGCATGTAGAGTAATATAATTTTAGTTTAACTTCTCAATGTCGGAGGATGCTTTTCATGCAAAATAGCGAGTTTTAACTCGGGTGAGTGATTTTTAAGGTGACGTCATAATACCCAAACCTCTCGTGAAGATGTAAACAAAATCTGTGAGTGAGGATAAGTCGATACAATTCCGCACTAACGTTAGTTTATTTAATGACATTAAATAAAATTTAATATTTATCGAGGATAGTGAGAAAGGGTACAGACGGTACGTTACTTTGTTTTATTGTAGACTATTGCTATCAAATAATAATATACTCAAGCAACGAATAATTTCGGTTTTCCACTCTGGCTCTATGGTGCTTACCGGCATCTTGTTGCGTTAGAATTAGATCATGTTGTCTAAACTCTAAACCAAAGCAGTAGATAATGTGATATTTTTGTAGCATATCAATTTTGTTATTCGGAACGATCTTATGATAGCCAGGCATTTGCTAAATCATTAATTATGATATAACTCATCTACATTTGACTTGGCTTATTTTCTCCGCTTCGCTAAGTTTTACCATTTTTTTTAAACAGATTAATGCGACAGCGTATAACATCATTTGCCATTCATAAGATTGGATCATGCCTTTTAGAGGCTACAATTTGGTGCCCTATATAATACTGTATATATAAAATAATAATGATGTTTTTAAACTTGTTGTTTTATTTTGCCTGAGACAAACAAAAAAAAAATTTTTGCATGATTTAATTACCATTGCTGTAAACAGCCCAGCGGCCTCGGTGATTCTTCTTTCACATTCTCATCTTACTTCTTTTATATTGATTGAGACCCCACTGTTTTTTTTTCCCTTGGTCCTCGCTGCCGACTTCACTCACAACTTGCTTTTGTAATAATAACTGTTGTTTGTACGAATACTGCTGGCTTGTTTTCTCTCCAAATGCTCCATTTTTTCACACGTACCGAACTTGCTTCAGGATGGGTCTGTTGTCTGTACGAATACTGCTGGCTTGTTTTCTCTCCAAATGCTCCATTTTTTCACACGTAACTTGCTTTTACTTGTTTCCTCTTAAAATCCTCTATTTTTTCACACACCTTCAGGGTTGTTTGTACACTTTCTCTCCACGTTCACACGTACCGGAGAACTTGCTTCGGATGGGTCGGTCGGTCATCTCATTCATCATGATGTTTTTTTATTGCTAGCGGGAGGCTGTTTGCTGACATGTATTTTTTTCACTTTCTGTATTTTTTTTTTACACGTACGCACGTATTTTTTTTTTACACGTACGCACACACTCCTGAGTTCAACTCAGCCCCCCCATTTATTCTTTCGTTACATTTCGGTGGTGGGACTTGACTTGCCTGGTGGCTTTCTTGCTCTTCCGTCTGGTGTTCCTTTCCTTGAAGTTAATTTATTTCTTAGCACGTTGGCTTGCTGCTCTCGGGCCTTCTTTTTTGTTTGGTGTGTGTATCCGGACCGCCTGTTGGCCCCCTTCCTCCCTGACTGCTTCATTTCTTTCTCACTTGCTGCCCGTCTGCTGTTGCCCTGCCTGTCTTGTCTGCTGATTCTCAGACTGTCCCGTTTTGGTGTTCCTCTCCTGAAGCCTCCTCCCCTGGATCACACCTGCTTTGCCTGCTCATTATGGACTGGCCCGTCTGCTGTTGGTCCCTCCCCTGTCTGCTCTCCCTAAGCTCATTTTTTCCCACGGATCATCTATCCTGTCTGCTGAGACTCGACTGACCCGGCCTCTCCTCTGTCTGGTCGCACCCTGCTCCATTTCTTCCCTGGATAACCTGTCTTTGCTGCCGATTCTGCCCTGCAAGTTAGTCTACCCTACGGGGTTCGAACCCACACTCACAACATAATGACGCACATAACATGATGACGTTTTAATTGTGGTTTTAGTTTAATTTTTACAAAAATGCGTTATTATGTAATCATCGGCAACAAGAATAAGAAAATTCACTCAGTGAATCTGCAAACCAAGTTTCAAACTCTCAGCGGAGACATAGTGAGACTGGACGACGGTTCATCAATTTGATACTTTCTACCTCTTGTGTCAACTGACCGTCTTATCTTTGATTTACTGTTCCTAAATTTATAAAACATGTCAGGAAAGAATGATGAAATTGGCGACGCGGCGCTATGCCCTTCTACAGATTAAAACGATATTATACAATATACATATTGAAAATAAAACGGGAAACACCATTAATCTTGTCGTAGAAGCCCCGCGACAGGTAAAACATGCTTCCGCTGGCACTAGAGAGGTAACGCAGTGTGACGCGCACGCGATGTACCCAGGTTGTAATAAACAAATTATAGATGTTTTTATAAATGAGGCTAAATAAACTAAAGGTACGAGTGAAATTTTTGTATTATTGTTCAACATCAAACCGAGAATATCGGTCGGAGACCGAAGATCTTAAGATCGATAAGTAATAAGCAACAAACTCACACCGATAACACGCTGCCCATATGGCCACGCCCCTGGATGTACCTTTTATCCGTTCTGAAACTACGTCATATTTTCGCGAATTATGATGAAATATAACATAATCAATGTAAAGTAGGCTATGGCCAATCAGTTTCCAATTCTACTAAAATATATGCATTCATTGTATCGAACTAGGAAGTTACATCACATATATAGGTTACATTCACTAACCTGAGTGTTATTGAATTGAAAATTAGTGTAAATTTGGAAATCTGGACTTCACGTTTACGTTTACAATGAACTGGATTGGTGGAACGAGGTGAGAAAATATTCTGTAATATTTTGATCTTTCGAAGTGATGCGATAAAAAGTTTGGTAATTGAACTACGAAGAAAAAAGTTGTTAACTTCCTAAATTCTAACCAATGGAGCGCAGCATAACGATGCTAATATTGGTACATGAACTACTATGATCAAATAATTGGGTGCAAACTTTTACCTAAATGTATTAGACCAATACACTTTCATAACCTCATTTGTTTCATTCCATCTGATAAGTTGTGCTATCTCAGCTATAAGTAATTTACGGAGAATAAATGTGGCAAGTTAAATCGTTTTTTTTGTTTGTTTTTAGGAATCGCTTTCGAGGCCTGAATGACGATCAGAAAAAGCAAAAGGTTCGTTTTATGAAATAACAATCATTTATACCACATATAAAGTAAATCGTTTGATGAAATAGAAGTGAATTAACATCACAATTAATTTTTATTTTTCAAAAGTAGTTTACTGAATATCGATGCGAAATATCTTTCTATGGATGGCTTCGCAAGACGTGTTCAATAAAATATGATAGTTCAACCATTCCAGGAAGGAGATATCAGGAGTTTAGAGTAGCGCGACGCATATTCTTCAACTTAATCACCCTATATCACAGGAATTCTTTGAACGGAGAAGATTGGCAAATAGAGTCAAATCGGCAACATCTTTAACTACTCCAGCAGGAAAGAAGAAGAGTATCAGTCGTGACATTTTACATTTACAATGTGTTAAACAGACTAAACGTTCTCCATTTAAAGGTCAGTGCCCCGACGTTTTCGTAATGCTAACTCTACTGGGACAAGGTATGATTCGTTCAATCGCATGTATTTATTGTCCTGGCAATCGTTCAATGGGAAATATCAGTTATTTCATTGTTCCCAATTCAAATAATCCTGTCCCAAAACTACCCTGCTTTTCATTCAGATGAAGACGCCCCGTCGACGTGTAGTTCTGCTGAAACACGGAACTCTTCTCGACACGAAAGGTATATAAATATTTGAAATATGCATTTAGTTGGATTTTCCAACCTGGTATATAAACAGCGCTTAATAATCCTTTCATTTAAAATGCAAAACCCAATCTATGAAAACTGAGCTGTGAATGAGCAACTTCTACTCAGCAATTTCAATCTATGAAATGATAGGTACCGTGTGTAGCTATATCCCACAATGTCAACATATTGAAGCCCTTGTCTCACGTGACTTTTCACTTAACTTTCGCATATGATGCCTAGTTTGGCGTACTCTAACATTCTAACCCTTTGAAGATAATTCCTCGCGGCCACTCATTTTATTATTGTAAATTCGATAATTCGACTTTAAAATCACATTTAATTTATATATCTTTTAAGATCTCCTATCCATAGAGTAGTGAAACACATTGATCTGTCGCATGGAAGAAATAGATTCGGTAATATTGGTAAGAAGTCGTCATCTAATAGAAGTTTCAAGCACAAACTCCATCTTCCTAATGTTTCTCCGTGCAAACAACCATCTAACATCGAACTCGCAGACGCGACTGACGATGAACATTCCAATACAAGGCAGAGGTAATTACGTTATCGTGAATTTGGGCGCGCGTGTTGTCCGCAAATAGGGATAAGTTTATTTGCATTCGGGGACTCAGGTAACGTGCTGATATATCAATGATCGCAAATATCCTTTATACTAGAGTTATTGCATCATTTGCAGCTTGGGATATAATTTTATTCAGCGAAAAATGCTATAATTGCGAAATGATTATTGTGCTATATAATATGGCGGTAATTAAACAAACTTTGCGAAGCAGCTAAGGGTTCATGATACTTCTAAAAATGTATCCAGAGCATCAGACATATATAGACGTTTGATTATTTATTAATTGAACTAAATATACTACTTCAAAACGATTCCACTTAGTCATAGAACAATAAAGATACATACACCTTCACATATTGCAGGCAATTCAAGCATTTACCTTCGTACCAATCAACGCCAATTGACCAATTTGCATCGCAGGTAAATCTTTTTTATAGTCTTTGCCATCGTCAACCAGAGAGGCGAATTTTCATTATGAATGCACTTATAGTAAAAACGTCATTTGTGTCTATAAAGTTAAATTATAATAATGTTTTATTATATTTAAAGTGAAAATCACATGTGTGTTCGACATACCGATATATATACTTGGTATGATTTTGGTACTCTAACATTGGTTGGAGAACTAGCACAAGCTTTATCGACATATATGAGTTAAATAACGATCTTTTTCCATTTTAGAGATTGAATAGAAACAATATGGGAGGGCGGCACCCCCGTGGTAAGTGGATCAGATTTTTTATATTAAATTATAATAGAATTATTTGCTTCGACTAGCCTGTTCTAATGTTTCCATATACTAATAATATTAGGGATATACTTTGAAATATTTTAAACAAGAGTGTAATTTTTTTAGGTGTTTCCAACTTTCAAGGAAGTGCATTGTCAGTTTCTACTCCAGTACTCTATGATGACATTTATAGGTAAGTGATAATCGAGGTTGTATATTATGTAAGCTGACTTGAATATGCCCAAAACAATGACTTTATGTAGATGTGGATGTTGTACAGCGTACTGTGAGGAAGGTCAATTATATAAATTGCCGACAATTTACAATGACGAAATTTATTTTTTAACTGTAATAATTTTATTTCGCTGTATAGTGATCCGATAAAAATGACATTTAATTAACAGTGACGAAAAAAAAAATCGAAGCTTTATATACAATATTTTGGCATGACCATGTGGGGAATGTTGGGATTTTTCTTCGAACTTTGTGTTATTCAGATCAACGCATTTTTGGCTTTGCCATACCTGCGATTTAAAAATATTTTTGAATTTTGATACTGTTATAAGTCAGTCAATTTCACTAATTTAAAGCAAGGCCCATTTATTTTTTCAATTTTTTCTCACTGGTATGAAGATCACGAGAAAAAGTACTTGAAAGCGCCAACAAACGATTTTATGGAAATATTCCCGATTGTGAAGAATCATTCATATGTGAAAGATCGCGAAGTGAAAAGAAGGTCAATTTCTCGCACATCAATGAATATTACAGGTTTTCTTCTCTTTTTGAACACTTCTAGGATTTCCTAGTTTCTTATACCATTCAAAGCAAAGTGAGTGAGTGGGATGTTCAAGGCAACAAAAATACTGGTATAGTTTCACTTGTCAATATGGACAATTTGTCGAGCGAGTATAATTTTTTTTTCTTTTTTCGATTTTGAGTACAACGTTAATTTCTGTAATTTTGAAGTTTACTTTCAAGGCGGAATTCAGATATAAATATATTTTTATTTCTGAAATAGAATCTGCCCATAAATGTTATCAAAAATAATGATATCTAAAAAGTAAAAGTTTTATATCAAATCAAGAATTACTCATAGGTGAGAAAAAAACTGTTAGGAAATAAATCACAACGTTTGATCAAGCAGTCATTCATGATCAATTAGCATTTTTTGTTATTAATTATTACATCTCTCTGTTCTAGCTTATCAAGTGACAGCGAAACCAGGAGCGATCCTCATTCATGCTTCGACGTGAATTTTTTACTAGGTGCTGGTACTTCTACTGGCATTCAATATCCATCTCCAGCAAGTTTTGACATGATGGAGAGCGCTACGTTTCCCCAAATTCTTGATGAAGTCAAAAACAAACATTTATCCTACCCAACTCCGGTTTATAACAACCACGAGGAGTTATTCAATAGAGCAATCAGTTTTAAAAATACTTTTGGAGAAACGGATAGAATACTTCATGGCAGTCCTAAAATTTTACTTGAAAATTTGAATGTGGACGCTCTTCTCACATCACAGCAAAAGTCATGCTCTGACTTAATATTTGAACGTTTGGCCAACAATGACATATGTGGAGGAAAACGGGAAAAGGACAAATTCACGAATCCAGTGTTTGTTGGAATTGACGATACGCCTATCTTAGGCAAGGTGTGTCATTTTAAATTCGGTTGAAATATATAGAAATATGATGTAATATAATACTTTTGCCAATTTTTAATTAAGTAACAGTGAAAGTTGTGAGAAGTTTTAGTTAATTAAACATGTGTCTTAGGCAAAACTTGATACACTTTTGGTTGGTAGGACGCTGTTGAACTGCTATGAGCTACACGGTTATCTGATTGCTAACAAACTACGTCTCTATGATGCTGTTTGAAATTGAAGCAAATTCAAGTTCGGTTGCATTTGTAAATCGCTCATATTTTATTCAGAAAACGAAAATTATGGCATACAGTTCGATTTTATCAAAGCGATTTGTATTGCTTCAAATATTTTTTTTTATTCATTCTTTCCGTCTTAAAATTTGTAAATGATCCCTCGTAATAGGGGCCACGTTTCCAGGAGCGACCATTCACATGGATATCGGACGAAGAAGAGGTCAAATTTCATAATTTCTCCTCAGAAAAGTGTGCAGATGAAAGTCTTCAAAAATGGCTAAAATTTCGACCAAGACAGCTGAATTCTTCTTCTGGTGTTGCAAACAATAACATATCCTTGTCATTCACCCCTAAAACAAAAATTGAACAGTTTGGTATAGTGGCAGAAAATAACATAGCTTCCGAGAATATTCCCAACTCTTGTAGCCCGGAATGTCAAAATCGTACACTGACGGAATCGCCAAAGTTGAAGAATCAACGATCTCATAACAGCATGACAGACGCGGTGCAGGAGTATAACCCAAACGAATCTTTTGTTTCAAAAGAAGGAATAGTCAATCTTTGTGATCTTTATGCAAACAATGAGTCGTTTTCTCCAATAGCGAAGTATTCTAGCAATCAAGATGAAAGTATAAAACATGGGTCGAGCGGAAACGTTATCACTCAAAATGCAGATACTATACCTGATTATTTGAAAGAACCTTGTTCAAGTGCAAAATATAACACTGGAACGAATATAAAATCTGAGATTTTCGACAATGAAAAATGTACTGAAGTTTATAATATGGAAACCAGTTGTTTTCCTTGGATTATCAACAAAGACGACGGTCTTGCTTCAGAGTTTGATATGAAAGACAACACTAGTAACGAAAATTCGATGAGTTTAGTTAAGATTTTGACAGGAACTAAAACACCTGTAGAATTGGAGGAACAGGAAAGTCAACAAATACAGTCAGAAGTATGTAAAAATCAAAAAGAGACGCCCATTGGTATATTTAACCTGGCAAACATAGTGCAGATAGACGATTTCAAGTCGAGTGAGGTAAGCGAAAAAAATTTAAACAATGAAGTAACTATGATTCTGTCACACGCGGCGGAGAAGCTGAATGAATCTTTGGGCCGAACAAATGATGGAAGCATAATGGCATATAATGAAGATACAACAACAACGGAAGTCGCAATCCAGAATGTCACAACTGGGGAAGAAGATAAATACATAGATGCAAATCCCGAAATTTCATCAAATTGTCGAGTTCAAACAGCTACAAAATATCTGGACAAAGCGTCTTCGCCGATTATATGCTATACAAAATCCATCAGCAGTACTAAAGCAACTCAAACTGGAGAAACCCACAAAGGTTTGGATTCGTCAGTTGAATTCAGCAATGCTTGGGTTCAAACTGAACGCTATAGCCCACCACGTTCGGACGTTTGCAAGTTCCACCCTAGAGTGGAACTTGGTGTGGACGTGAGAGACTGTGTTACTCTGAATCATGGAAGCGCCGTTATCAAACGGCGGAATGAATCTTCTGCTTCTCAAAGCTCTGACGATTCGGTATTATACGGAAAATCGTCATCGTACAAGAAAAGACGAAGTAACCGAAAAAGAAAAATTTAACGTTTTAGGAAGTGAACGAGTTAACGCCGTCTTTAAATGGTGTATGATACACGGTGATTTGCGTGACGAGTGCAACAACGATCGTCATCGTTCTTTATTTCCAGGTTACATAGATATCCAATATAGTAACTATTTTTTCATCGCAGAAAATTGTTTTAAGCCGTCACCAAGAAGAACAGATCGCATTTCCATTACAAAATAGTAAAACACAAACGACAACAGTATTGTAAGCTAGAAAATTTCCTCCAATGAATCGATATTTCAATTGCCAATATATAACATATTAGCATGTATACAAATACATACATTTCTTTATACCGTTTTTTTTAAAACTTGTTTTTCATAAAATGGAATTTATTTCGTCGTTCAATTGTTCCCTTGTTTTTTATTCTGTTTTCAAGAGATGAAATGTTTACATTTTTTAGAAAGTTTTTATTAGATTCCGTTTTGAAATATACCTTACAGTAAATAAAACGGCTCACTACTGCTTGTAGTAATTCATATGCTGTCATGAATATTAGTATGAATAAAAGTCTTCTTGGCACCTATTTATCGCTGGAACGCATACCCAATGTGCACAAATGAATACCACATCAGTATGGGCCCTTAACCAAATTCAAAAGACAACTATAAATATGAATGATCAAAAACTAGGCTTGCAAATTTTATGAATGTAAATCAGGACTTTCTGCCCCATTTATCTGGAACTGCTCTTGCTGATTAATAAACTAGTTATTGTCACTATATGTAGAGGTTCCCACTTGTCCAACAAATTTCTCTAATAAAAGCTTCTCCCACCCCACATAATCATTTTGTTGAATTCCACCTATTCAGCAACTCTGATTGACTTGCTCTAGGTTGGGCATCAATCAATATTTGATATTTCTAAACATAAACACAGTTCTTAATGCATCTGTGAGCTTTTACGATTCTCATATCAGTATTCAGTCACTGTGTACTTTCAGCTTTGGTGGCCAGAAACTTTGGGGATTAAATTACTGGGCAGAATTATTAAATGTTAAACCGAGATGATATTCTTAGTTATGGAATATCAAATATATTCTTAAATATTTTGAATATATTAGATTCATTTCCCTATCAATACTTCTACCTGCTCAGTAGGATCATGTATCAGTTTAGCAAGTCACTTCCTGATAAATCAATAAAATTTTATTAGATTAGAATTGCTGTTGACACCAAGAAATAATAATATGCCAACTTGTACAATAATAGCTTCTAAGAAGAATGAGGTCCAAACTTAAGAAATAAAAGTGTAATTAGGCAACTAAAATTGAACCAATATAGATTGCACAATATCATTAAGAATATCATTACGGTTATGCTTTGTAACCTCAAATATTTTTACACGCTTGTCTTCCCTAATGCTTTCCACAAAAGGAATTCCTTTCCCTCTTTTGACTGGAATTGTTCCCAAAACAATAAACTCATTATCAGAGTCTTGTAGTATTTTACGGGTTTTACGCTTGAATCTTTCACTGAATAGTTCCATTTTACCAACTTCATCAATGATATATAGATGTTTTGAATCACTAGTCTCTTCCAACAATGGTAAAACACAATCCTCAAAAGAAGCAACATCAACTGTATACTTCCCAACCATCGGTCCTTTTCTTGAAACTGAACATCTTGCAAGAGGAGCTTGCTTTCCACATAAAGTCACAATGTCAAATCCAATTCTAAAAAACAATACATTGGTTAGCACGGAGATGCTAAAAACATAGATCGCATGTAGTTTCATTGAAATATGTCTGTTTATCTATGTTTCAAGATTATTCTGTAAATATTTTGCTCGGCCCAGCTTGAGGTTAGTTGATTGAAAGCACACTTTGATGGTTTGTTATAACCTATTATCATATACTGTTTACTTGAACTAATACCTATTAAACATGCAGAATTTGGAAGGCATTGTATAGCTCAGTACAAAAGGTAGATCCAATTTTTAAATAATAAAAGTCTTTTATATTTGAGTATGAAACTGCATTTATGAATACAATCAATTTCGACTTGATTTATAGACTGGCAAAATGAAATTAAATGAGTAAAATAGGCCTATATCAGTATATACAAATTAAGTCCAATCTACTGATCTAGGCTATACCGGTATGGCATGTCATCTGTAAACAAATAAAATATGAAGATGGTTATCTTGAAAATAATATAAATGGATAACACATAGTTTCGCACACCTTTCATTTCCATTTCTCCTCTCTTTCGTATAGAAACCAGAAATTGAAATCCCGCTTTCCTTTATATTGGCAATTGCTTTCTCTATTAATGTTGTCTTCCCCACTCCAGGTAATCCGGTAAGAAATATATGGCATCTACCTGATGACTGCATGCTCCATTCCAGCTTGAAAATTATGGTACTTGTTGGAAGAAAACACAGTTAACCTTTAGAACTAATAATAATTAGGAACATGTTCAATCACCTAAAAGTATTAAAATAATTTACGCAATTCAATATTTTTGATAAGTCTGCTTAATCGGGGAATACCCCATTAGCCTTCGAGCAGGCCGACAATGGAGGGTATTCATTATCGCCGCTGAGCGTCGCCATTTTGTTTTTATGTGGGCATGCGCGGAAAAGAACTGTCTTCTGCTTCCCCGCGACGTTGGACTGGTTTGGGCTTTCCGATTGCAATGGCGGCTCGTGCGTCTGGTGGTTTCAAATTGCATTGCTGCGTACCGTTGTGTAATGGCGATAGCCGTTACTCACCAGATCGTTCCACTCTTTCCCCAAAAATGAAAAAATGAAGAGAGCGTGGATTCACAGTATTCGTCGCGATTCTGGTAAACATTTTCAAGTAAGTCAGTATATTGTGGCAAATATTTTTTTCTTCTGGTTTTAATTTTAGTTTTGACCCTGATTTTCTCTTCTCGCTTCTACTTTAGTTAATAGGCTATATCTATGCGGTTGTAGGCTATATGTGGGTGTATTTAAGGTAAGCACAGTCCACGATTTTCTTTTACAGTTTCAGCAACAATTAATTTAACTAATGATTTGGTTTCTACGAGACTAACTACTTATCCTTCTTCTATGCTTTTGTGCAGGCGGATCGGTATGCATATAATGCAAGGATGCTGTAGCAAGAGTAAAGATAACTATCCTAAGTGATTCAAGAGTCTTGCTGTGAGTCTTAGTGTGCAGCAAGACTCTTGAATCACCTAATTAAATTAATTTAACTTCTGCTCTTTTCAAATCTTAGTTAGGGCTCTTCTGATTCTGTAGAGTGTAGACTAATAAGTGTTTATTTTGTCAATATCTTCCTGGTGTACTGATTATGGTAATCAAGCTAAACTTAATAACCTATAGTTATCAAGTTTAGTTAATCTCCTGTAGTTTGTATTGCGCGTTGTTGGATGGTTAGCCAAGCCCGTGTAACTCCGGAATTTGGTCCCGGTGTTGAATTCGCCGACACGCTTGACTTGGTGCTGACAGATTATTATTGCTTCGAAAATCATTGTGCGACTTTCTGCGTTTTTCTGTGTTCTGACGGCGCTTTCTCGCGTCAAGATTAAGTGAGTGACTTATAAATATTCAAGTTAGTTGTGCACATGGAATATCACACGATATACTTGACTATAAAACTGATAGAATGCAGATTACAAAACAAAATAGAAGAACAATCAATTGAGTGGGAAGGCCCTAGGACCGGTCCAGCACTCGAAAGCACATTGACAGTACGGTAAGATTTTAAATTCACTTTAAAGCTCCCATGAGTAGAGAGCCGCTATGTGCTACGATTGTTCAGCATAAAAAAGAATAAGTTGTAAATGTTTTTATAGGTACCCAATACAATAATGATTTGTCAAGGATATCAATTTTGAGAAGAGATATGTATATTTTCGGATCATAAAAAAGTTGCAGTGTGAGGATTTATGCTGTGTGATCAAAGCAGTAAACAAGAATATAAATTGACTGATGGTTGATGCTTTACCTCAAAAATCAAAATTAGCTTACACCATATCAATGAAAATATTTTTGGTGGAGCAACTAAAACTGTCAGCAAAAAAAAGAAATGTGGTGAGCGATACCACCCTGAAATTGTGACGTCTGTATGAAAAACATAAATTAAACACACATATTTTAACTTCAATAAATTAGTGTTTTATGATGGAGTTCTATTGATCTTGATAATTTTTTCCCATACTCATTCTGTCATTGTGTACGAAGTCACCAGCTGCATATTACAACATAAGAGGCGTTTTACGTTTGCCATGATAATTCATTTTGCTTGATTTCAGGCTGGTACTAATAACTTTTTTCACATAAATTGGATACCTATTATTGCAATTATATAAACATGGCTTCAACTTCAACATATATATATATATATATCTATAATTTTAGATGTGCCAAAAAGTTTTGAATTATTTTGTCGAGTGTTTTTAGATTATTGATTTGTGATCAATGACAATAACTTTTTTGCTACTGCAAAATCCACCACATTTATTGAATACATCAATATTTCTCCTGGAACCGTTACATTTTATTAATTCCAATTTGTTTTGTGGGGTATTCACATTTTTGTTTTGAATAATACTTTGTCAAAGTGGCTGTTATACTTATATATACACACATACATGCTTAGATGGTAGACAAGGTTCAATTGTTGTGGGCAATTTATTTCAAAATACCCTAACTAAAATATAAATTTTTGCAGACGTCTCGAAACTCACTTTTGAAGAATGATTTGCTGTCACCAGATGGGGTTTTGGCATAGAAACGCACCTAGAGGGAATTTATGAAGATATTTGTATTTTATCATTAGATCTATCTCCTATTGAGCATTTAAATACTTGGATCATGATTATTATTTCTAAAATTACCAACAGTAGGCCTATTCGGGTCATTAATAACAGATGAACCAGGGAAATTTTTCTTTGTAGGTTCTTCCTGCATCTGTTGCTAGAATTTCGGAAATGTCTGAATTTGAAGCAACTGCCAAGTTTTGCGAACTGCAAAATACCTTTTTTTGACATATGCAACAGCACTACTGACGTGGATTCTCTCAAAAACGGAAATCTACTACTACTCTCTGAAACATCTGGACACAAAAGACTGCAGTAGATCAGCTAAAATTTCATAAATTATTTTACACACTGAAAGTCTACAACAGGTGATTAGCTCAAGGATTTTTTTAAAAAATAAATGCTATACAGCTCATTGCAACACACTTTGTAGTCATATTTAAAAAACAACAAAGTCTACAACAGGTGATTAGCTCAAGGATTTTTTAACAAAATAAATGCTATACAGCTACATGCAACACACTTTGTAGTCATATTTAAAAAACAACAACATTTCATTGCTTCTCCAGCGTATGAAGGGCTCCAATTACTGGTACCTTCAACATGTGATATACCATATTAGACCAAACATCTGTCAGACCCCCCTTTAAGTGTAAAATAAAAGTCTTCTAAATTGTTTTACTATATCATACATATAAATATTCGTGGCTTGAAACACTTTTTAGAGTTGACTATCGGGACTATTATAAACTAACATTTGCCGGCTTCCGATCAGATCTGCTAGGTGTTTTGGTCTAACTTGTCAATTAAAAATTTCAGACCCCTCCCCTTCAAAATCTTCAGTTATGCCCGTAGGGCCTCACCCTAAATATTGAATGAATCGCCAAAAAATGTTCAGTTTAAAAAATGCATATTTTGCAGGTCGCGGGGCTGGGAATCCATCAGTGCTCCGATATATATTTACGGGTTAACTGCCAAAGCCTGGTTCTCAATAAAAACTGTGTCCTGACAATCAAACTTTTAGAACTCCACAAAGTACAACACAAAATGCATGCTTACAGAATGCATGCCTAAAAATGAAAAACCGCATCAAATTAAAATCCCCAACAGTAAATTAAAGCAATTCACGACAAAAATTCTGTGTCGCTCACAGCGAAACGCTGTTGAATGAATACCAGAGTTGCATGTAGACAGGCTTTCTTTAAGAAAAATACAAACAATGACATGATCCAACTAACTACAATAAAATATAATTTGAATGTTTTTATTCTGGCATTGTCATATGTTGTGTATGAAATTTTTTTTTCTAGAAACTTACCTCATCCAATACTGAAATCTACTATAATACATCATATTTAAAACTACTATGGACCTTTCCCCGAGCATTGACTTCCTTGTTTACTTCGTGACATTGGCCAATCAGCAAATTGCAAAAAGTGACGTAACAATGCCCCCTTTTCGCATCCGCTCAGACACTTTTCTCACTCAGACAGATTTTCAATCGTGGTCGTAAACATTACCTCGTTTTCGCATTTTTGAACTCTATTCGTTAGTTTTCAGTTGTGTTTTGGAAACTTAAATGTAAATCAGATAATTCAATGGTCATCCTGTCTTCCTAGGAGTTTTAATTTAATTGCAGTAATAAAAATTAGTGTAGAAATAGCTGTGATAGACTAGGCTAAAATTCTTTAACGGTACTTTTTAAAAAACAGATTGTTGTATGCTATGAATCATAATGATGGTTTGAAACACATAACCCATTTCACAGGCGCCAACTCGCAAAAGCACTCTTGAAATAGCCCCGAAAATTTTACAATGGTGAAGTATAGGAAGAATTTTCCAGGGGTCAAAGGTCGGGGAAAGGTCCATAATACGTGATACTGAAATTAAATTACTGGGTAAACCTCGGATGAAAGCACCCTTGGGGTGAATCATATATACTGCAGCAGTACCAGGGGATTTCCGACTAAATATGGAAATCTCAACCGTTTCAAGTATGTCTGTGAAGTCACGACCTAGAATCTAGATCGACAGCGACCATCGAAGCAAAGATAAAACGACAATGCTACGGTCAAGTGCACGGAGAATTTCATAATGAGACTGCCGAGTACTTACAAGCAACCCTTTCTAGAATTTTTATATTTATCCTAGGCCAGGGATGGGCAACCTTTTTCGGCTCGCGTGCTAAAATCGGCTAAATTTACCCACAAAATTCTTCCGCGTGCCGACCAAAATTAAAAACAATGCTTTGCTATTTTCAATACAAAAATACACAATAATAAACCTTTTAAACATGTACAGACAGATTCTCAGACAGACAAATATATTTGATTACTTTTCTTATTCTATATCAGTGAGACTTCTTCTGCTGCATTGCCGCTGATAGAGATTTTACATTGGATTTATATTTTGTAACTTTCAAAGATATACACAAACTACTGGTTTCATCTTCCAGGCTACTCCTGTTACGAAACTTAATAAAGTTCATATCTGAGAACAGAGAAGACAAGAAAATTTTCGGGAATGGCATCCCAATCACGCAATAGTTCGTTTTCTGCACTTCTCTCCTGCATTCCGGTGCGGCGCGGCTCATCGTGATAAGCGTTAGGAATACGCTCGCCACCGCATCACTAATTACTCTGCGTGGGTTGGCAGGTTCGAATCCCATGCGGAATGGTTGTGTGCGAGAGGATTGCTGGACTCCTCGCCGCCGTAGGGTGGTTCACGTAACCGCTGGTTGGTTACGGCTTCCTCCACCGTCAAGTCCATGCTTCCGAAAAACAAGTAGCTAACTAATCCCAAACCCGACATGGAATGGTAACCGGACGAGAGGCCGTGGTTCGCCATATTAATAAGCCGTCTTGTCGGCTTTCCTTTCCCCCGGGATAAATATGTAAATTCTATTATAAAAGAAATTGATAAAACAGTGAACGTCTAGCTAAATTTCAACCTAAAAATGGCCAAATTATACCTCTTGGGGTAGTTACCCCTAGTTGGGAAGCACTTCCATAGGTAATGATACGCACCACTGCTTTGTTGTGGTTCGGCACTGGCAAAAAAAGCAATAAAAATTTCTCATTGTTCACGCTCGGTTGATTTTCTATTGTGACGTGCTACACACAAGGATCAAATTACTGTACGAATCCTGCATTTGCAACGTTATTTTATGTTTGTGACACGTGTAAATCAGTACCGGTATCCTTTATTAAGTTAGAAAAAGCTGAAACAGGTATATATTTACTCATACGTTTAGGGATAACTCGCATTATAACACATTCTCGATGACTGACTCAGCGGCATCCACTTACAGACTTAACTTACCTGTATATAGATGTAAGTTACCTTGCAATGCAATTTATTTCACTCATTTTTTACATCCAATGGAACTGTCACTTGTCTATCTATATGCATTTCAGCATCGACAGTCAGATAGGAAAAAAATTCATTATTTGGATCCAGGAATTACAGTGAAATACAGAGATATGTCTGAATTCTGTCTGTAGTTAGACATGCTGACATGGTTTGCTTTGACCCGTGCAGCTGTGTGTCTGCTAATAGGGTACTGCGCAATAAAATAAAATGTAAGCACAATCTGAAAATGTCACCATTAGATTCCTTAGAAAAAAATTAATCCTTATTTACCAAAGAAAAAAAAAATTACTGTAGCATTCAAGGGTTTTTAAGAAAAAGAACGCAATCTTGATAATCTGCAGGTCAACGCAGTCACCAATGATTTAAATTATTACTGAAACACGCTTGATATGATCTGGCGCATTTGATGGCGTGCCAGAGGCCCTCATTTCAGAGAAAAATACGGTGTTTGTTTTATTGAACCAAACGTCACTACATCTTGCAATTGGAGAACTGTTTTTCTATTGATTTAAGGTTTCATCAACTGCTTTTGAGATCTTATATCTCATCCAAGCTGATTGAATATGTTGGTATATTTTATTACTGTAATCTTTCCAATTGCTTTGTGCAAAAATACATTTCAGTTTTGAGCATCTTTGATATTTTGGAGGTCAGCAAATGAGGAGAATTCCAAGTCTTGAATATTGCGGCCACTGATGAATATTCAATTAAAGTAGTTCTTTCCTTATGCATAATTTACAAGAGTTTATTACTACCAAAGCACAGTTGCGCCACAATGACAGAATGAGATTTCATTAGTTCAACTACATTCTCATTCCAGATAAATCTAAATGGAGTAAAGAAAAGGTTATTTTTTTTCGACTGAAAATTTCAAAATATACCTTTGAAAATATACTTTTGAAAATATACTTACGTGTTACTTAAAAAGATATAAAAATGACTGCTGAGTGAAATTAAACCAAATGCCAGAATGCTGTTGTTGCTAGAGTTGTGCAAAAAGAAATAGGTATTCTCTCAACAGTATGTTGATTTGAAATAAAATATTTGTTTTAAATATTTGTTCATGCTGACAGAGTTCAAATAAAAATAAAATATGCTTGCCCTTGTTACCAAGCTGGGTTGATGTTGTGATGAATAATGTTGTTCTGAATAATACTATTCTATTGAACACAAATGGCTAAATATTATACTATTAGGTAATCAGATTTATTCTGAAGAATTATTCGCCCAGTGACTCTACAGAAAATTCACTGTAACTTTTTGCTAACAGTGCCCATTTGTGATTGCAATCTGAACAGGATCGTACAGTTCAAACTTTCTTCAAGCTGGAAAATTGGCTATTTTCATTTACCTTTTTACTGTGACTGCAAGATCTAACTAACAATATTTATGCAGAGAATGTATTAGGAAGTGTGCTATATTATCCTAATGTAATAGTGTGTAAATTAGGTTTTGGTAGATTCTGGTAACTTGGTGGTGTCTGTATGCTGTAACCAACATGGCAAGAAAAACTTGGATTATACCATGTCTATGCATTTTTATTATGTTACACAATCTATGCTTGACCAAAGATTCTGAAGATTGGTCAAAATATCTTGATTCCATCAAGAATGCAATGGAAAATTATAAACCATGTGAAGGCAACTGCACCTGCCATTCAAATGTTATAGATAATGATTTGAAAATATGGCAAAACAGGGGTGGAATTAAAGAAGAGGATTTTGAAAGAGCTAAGAAGTATGGAGTTCATTATCAAATCATTGATAATATTCTTTATCGAGAAGAAAAATGCATGTTTCCATCAAGATGTTCTGGAATTGAACATTTTATAACACAACTTCTTGACGATCTTCCTGATATGGAGATGATTATTAATGTAAGAGATTGGCCTCAAACAAACAAACGAGACCTTGATCCTCGACCTGTGTTTTCATTTAGTAAAGTTGTTTCACAGCATATTGACATCATGTATCCAGCATGGACCTTTTGGGAGGGCGGTCCAGCTGTTTGGCCAATATATCCGACAGGGCTAGGTCGCTGGGATGAAATGATGAAGTCTTTAAAAGCAAAGTCAAATGAATGGTCTTGGAATCGCAAAGAAAATAAGGGATATTTTCGTGGGTCTAGAACCTCAGCGATGAGGGATCCATTGATTTTACTGTCTCGATCAAAGCCAGATTTAGTTGATGCTCAATATACAAAAAATCAAGCTTGGAAATCTGATAAAGATACATTGGGAGCAGAACCTGCGGAGCCAGTCCATCTACTCGAACATTGTAAATATAAATATCTGTTCAATTTTCGAGGCGTTGCTGCGAGTTTCCGATTAAAGCATTTATTCTTGTGTGATTCCCTTGTATACCATGTGGGAAGTGATTGGATTGAATTTTTTTATCCAGCTTTGAAACCATGGGTTCATTATATTCCTGTCCAAGACAATTTGAATGCTGTAGAACAATTACTAAAATTTGCCAAAGAAAATGATCAAGTTGTTAAAAGTATTGCTACAAGAGGACGTGAATTTATTGAACAATACTTAACAATGTCGGAAGTGAAGTGTTACTGGAAGCAGCTTCTGAAAAAATATGGCAAACTTCTACAATATCGCGTGAAACGTGATAAAGGATGCATGAGATTATCTCATCCAAAAAATCAGCATTCAGAATTTTGATATTCTCCACTGTTGTCTGTTGATATTCAAATTTTGTATTTTGGAATACCCACTGATAAATTATGGAAAGAGTGTTTATGCAGGTACAAAATTGCATAGCTATGCAAAAACTGAGGTTAATTAAGACTTTATAATGGTGCTGATGTTCAATTTCATACTCTTGTTTGCTTAGTACAATCATAGATGTTTTCCCTGAAAAAGTTAAATGTTCTCTAACAGGTAATGCAAAATATAAATTCATAGAATCATTTGGTTTGAAAATGAAAAAAAATCAGAGCGTTGTGTAAGCATGACCAAAATTTTTTATTTTTAAGTGTTCAATATGATTTTTGGATATCCCAATTTCGATTATTTGGAATTGAAATTTAACAAAAAGGGAAATTCTTGAATTCCAAGTCATTTTGATGACGGTGTCTCATGAGTTTTTGTTGTTGATTGCCTATTTACTTTTTATGTAATAACAAAAATAGGTGGTCTTTTTATGAATTGGATTATTCATATATTTTTATACTGTAATCTTGATTGTTTTTAAGTACTCTTGTCCTTTGTCCTTTAAGTACAATAGGTAACAACTGGGCCACTATAGATATAAACGGCTTTCTGATGTCTGGGGTAACCTCCAGATATTGACTGGCAAGCTGAAGTTTGGGAATACCCCATCAAGACCAAAAATCTCAGAAAAAAAAAAAAAATTCCTCCCCACTTGAGAAACGTTAGAATAGCCAAATCACTTTGGAAATTGTTGTTCTCCCGATACATTTAAGATTTATTGTTGTGTTTTGTTGATGTGTGAATTAGTGTTAGTTTCCTATGTGTGTGTTCTTTGCTGTAGCTCAAACTGAAAATATGAAATTCCTTTTGCTTTGATGCCAAAAATAACAAATCACTACCTTTAATATTTTGCTAGTCATTGTATATGAAATAAATAAATACCATAATATATAATGAGGCTCAGGGCCAAAAATCTTGTTCGAATTTTACTTCTGATGGTAGCTGTGTCAGTCGTTTATTATTACGTACAACTTCGATCACTGAAAGATGATAAAGAAAAAACTTTAGTACGGAGTCCGCATAACGGTGCTGGTGATGACAGCGATCTAGATCAAATTGATATTGGACATGAAGTATGTTGGAAACTTGCTTAATTTTGCTTTTGATTCACAATCATGGCGAACTAAGAAAAAGAGAGCCATTGGCTTGGGTATTATTTGCTAAAAATTAACAGTAATATCTTGTTCAATAACTTATATATAATATAATTAAAATGTTATATTACTGGAGATTAGTCAATGTTTCAAGAAAATTTTTTTAGTTTCAAGCATCCAAGAATTTACAATTTATAACAAAAACTACTACCATTTCAAATTTTATGTTCTAAAACAATTGTTGAATTATATGTCTGATATCGGTTGTATTGATAAACTGACATTTCATTGATCGAATGTTGAGGATTCATTCCTACAAATACATGATTTTGAACTTGCAAACTAATCAATATGTCTTCCCAGGCTAAAGACTATCCAGCAAGACATGACAGAAATGAAGAATATGCACAATATGATGCTCATGGGGAGAAGTCTTCCATAAACACGCAACCTTTTGAATGGGAAAAGAGGGTAAGTTATGGTTTATCTTATAAAAAAACTAGGAGGATGTACATTAACAATGGCAGAGAAATTTTTAGTCTTTGATTCAAGTGTACTAGCCAGCTTTGGATTTATAGCAGCGGTTCACAACCTGGGGCCCATGCAGGGCAGTCAGAGAGAGGCCACAATGCCCACGATGCAAGACTAATTTTTCTTTTTATTGCTTGATAAAGGGTAGCTGGTGTTTTAATTTTGTTGAGCATGAATTGCTTGAACACAATGGTATTTGGAATCTACCAATAACACTATAAATACCACTAGAATGGTAAACAGCGAGGCCATGGGTGCTAAAAGCCTCGGGAATAAAAGGTTGGGAACCACTGACATATAGTATGATTTTGTACAACAAGTTATTTTGCAGTAAGTGACATTGTAATTGAAAGAGGCATATGTCTAGTGGAATATTTTAGTCAATAAATACTGATGTAATTTTTTTGTATGTGGTTCCTTGTGACTCATATTATGCGCTTCAATACTGGTAAAGAAGAATCAAAAAAGGGAGTTTCCATCATTTTTATTAAGCTTGAGATCATTCCTCTTACCATTATTGAAACCAATTACACTTATAAATCAAGTTATAGTGTGATCTTAAAATGTTAGTTTAGGAGTTCATTTTTAAAATTTTAGAATGTGATGTCAGAAGTTGCTACTTGTAGCTCTAAACAAAAAACAGTTATACATGGCTCCCAATAGAAACTATTACGATGCCAAAGCATATGCTGTGGTAATATTTCAAGTTGTTATGCGATATTCTTCAAATCGGTTATCAATTTATCGACTTAGTTTTACAAGCAATGTTTGTTGAACATTTTTAGATCCACTACACTCTTCTAGATCATAGGTTCTCAAAGTGCTCCGTACGGAGCCCCAGGGCTCCGTGAGAGAAACCCAGGGGCTCCGCGAGCTATTCGATTACTTTTTAAAATACTGAATTGGCCAATTTTACTATTAGGATTACTGGAATGAAAGACTACTATTCTGAAATAACATAGAATACGCGAAAAACTGCCAACTATACATAAATTGCAGTCGTATTTTTGCGATCTTGGGATTTGTCAAGCTTGATTTTGTTCTTTCGCACTCACGAGCAAGATGTCGCCGTTTAAAAAACAAGAGGTCGGGGCAAAATACGAAAGATTGAAATTTATTTCATTGCATGCGGCTCCGTCGGTAGTTTCAGAATTGAAAAATAGGTACATCGCGCGCACAATTGACTGTGTTTCGGTTTCGCAGTTACTACGACGAATAACCAAAGAAAACCCAACATAACACCAAATTTTTGATTCACAATGTCTATGAACGTGTTTTTAATCTGACGTGAGTCTGCTGAAACCAAACTTATAGTGTTATCTCCCATTTTAAGTTTTAGTTTTAATATTTCAGTATGCCGCTTTTCAATCAAAAAATTTGAGTTGCGGATTTACCTTTTATTATTTATTATTTTTAGCATTTCGTCTCCGGTGACTATAATATGGTAACATGTTTTTCACATTGAACTCATAATTCCCCACGAGAACAAAAAAGTAATACTCGTCGTCATTGTGGAACAATACATCATACATGTATATGTCGAGGAAAATTTTTGATTTAGGGAGAATAAACACCGCCATGCTGACGAAAACAATCGGCGATCGTAACAAAATGCAATCGAGTACGTTATTAGCGGCCTTTTAAGTCTTTCAAAAATATCTAAAGGTAAAAGATCCGACCCCTAATTTATTATTATGTTTGTCAAGTATCAAGTTTACAGCTTTAGTATATATAATTCATCTTTTACATTTAGATTCATTTATGACTTGTATTAACCCTATTAAAAGAGGTTAAGCATTTAAAATAAGTACAGTACTTTTGACTTACTCCGGAATATTATTCGGAAAGTAACAATTTTAACATTTATTTTGGGGCTCCGTGAATAATAGTCAACTTTTTCAAGGGCTCCGCAACACAAAAAGTTTGAGAACCCCTGTTCTAGATCATATACTTTCCTAATCATAAACTGGAAAAAAGTTGTATAGTATTTTCATCACACCTTATGTCAGATATGTTATATTATGATTTGAGAGTTTGCAGAGGAAAGCTGGAAAGAAAGTTTTATTTTTGAAAAATTATAAATACCGGTAACAACCATCAACCCCTCAGTGAAATTTACAAATTTTTTTTATTTTCATAACAGTTGATAAACATTATTTTTGGGTGACCGTACATTTGAACCCACGTACATTTGAACCCGTGTGTATATTCGCAAGGTCAATCTATATGCGGGTGCTAAACCCATGGGTTAGGGTTAGTATGGGTTCAAATATCCGTAAAACAACAAAAATTTTCATAGGTGCAATAGTGTGCAGGTGCAATCGTCGTGAGTACAAATGTACGTGGGTTCAAATGTAATGGAACCTTATTTTTGAAATAAGGAGATAACGTCAATTTCAGATGTGCATTTTCATAGTAAATTGAATTGAATTATATGCACTTATTCAAGTATGCTCAAGGATTATTCAATGTGCATGGTATTGAATAATTATGGTAATTTTATTCAAATTATGAATATGAAAAAGTTGATTGAATAATTGAATGGTAAACATCCTAATTTCGCGACAAAATATCCGCATATTTTTCATTATTTAAAACCCATGAACATCGCTGGATGTTCAACTGCTTCTGCAAGGTGAAGTTGTACATTGATTCCCTTTTCCATGAGTTTGTTCCACATCAGGGTGAGTTGCTTGATTGTTGGATTCATAGTTGGAAAAACCACCCACACAACCCATTCATCTGGAATATATATTTAGAATATGTTTTATTAAATAATGCCTAGGTGAAATTCTGAAACTAAAATACCCACCTATATCATCAGTGTTTGCTAGGCTAGCAATACTACTGTGAGAAATTGATGCCCACTTGCGCAGTCATGCTTAGGTAACAGCTTGATGTTGGGACCTATATATATGTTTAGGTGGCACCAGAGCATTGTCCGGATAAAGAGCCGTCCAGGGTAGGACGTAGCCTTGCTTGGTCATGTGTAGTTGAAGTTATTCGTGATTGCAGAATGTGTTTTTTCAGCATATTTATCACACATATGAAAATCTTTCTCAAACTGTCAAGTATAGTCAGGTTCGTCACTCACAGGCGCGTTCTAACCTATTTCCTCTCATGCTAGTATAATCTTGTTGAAGCACTCAAATTACTCAATTTGATTATTGATTGGTGAAACTGAGAATGCGCATTAAACGATAATAAATAATATACTGCATTGTGATAATGCACATTTAATGAGTTATGGAAATGTATGTATGTTCTTACCTGAAGGACCGCAGAATGCATTTATTACGTAATTCTCTTCATCGCTTACGATCAAATTATCACCAATGAAATGTGCATGTTCTAAATGTTAAAGGATAAGGTTTTTGAATGGAGGTATAGACAATGACAACATTTGGAATTCGGCAGTTTTAGTAATTCTACCTAATTTTTCTGCATCTTCACTCGTTCCTCCTTCTGGCATCAAAGCATGTGATGCTTGAACAACTGATTCTGTTTTAAAATTCAAATAGGTAATTTTCATTTTTTTTCAAGGTGTCATGCACATTTCTTCAAAATTTCATTGTAATTAATGTTAAATATATTATACCATCACTCTTGTCCAATCTGTAGACACCTGCTCTCTGCTTCGTCCAGTGGACTAACATAGTTTGTGGAGGAGAACTAAATATTAAGTTATCAGTAAATCTGGATTAGTTGTCATTCTGCACAGTCTTTTTGTAATATATTAACGCATTTCATTTTCAAATTAACCAATACCTAAATATTTTATTTAACACTAATGGGAATTTGGTACTCCTGAAGTATGCGTACCAAGATGGTTGACACCGGAACGTAATATGTGTACCAGGTTAGGGTTCGGCCAAAATTTTATTCCAATTCTCTGCATTTTAGTTCTATTACGAGTTCGGAGACTAGCCAAGTGACTCCCGTAGTATTTGTACCCAAAATTATGGCCTAACCCTAACCCGGATCACTTACTGCGTTCCGGTGTCCGTCATCTTGGTATGCATACTTCAGGAGCCGGGTATTTTGTATCACTCAAAAAATTTCACTTACTTTTTGTGTATTTCTGTGGCCACCATATTCAATCCTGTACTTGTTTTGGTAAAATTATGTAGCCTTGAACCTGAAACATCTCTTCCCATCACTGGGTCATTTGTGTGCAGTACCATGTACCAGGTATTGGGACTCTGCCATTGTACAAACAAAATAAATAAAGATGGTGAAATAACTGGCAATAGATTAGTTTCATATCAGATTTTATACACTGTAGTGAAATACCAGACACAAATACTGATTGACACTTTTGTCTTCCATTGGAATAGAAATATTTTATACATAACGTAAACAACAACAAGATGAAATCTTTTTATTCGATCTTGCATGGTGACAAAAACACTTAATTAATGTTTTGGAAAATGATAATAACTTTATTGCTCATGAAAAGAATTAAACTTCGATTCATTTACAAATTCAAATGCTTAAACTTCCTGGTACGCACATACCTTATCGATATCGATTTCTTCGTTTTCTTCCGGAATTCTGCATCGTTCTGTTTTGATCAAGTCAAAACTCAGAACAATCATCAGTAGCGAAATGTACATAATTTTTTCAAGCACAAACATGATATTTTAAACCCACTTAAATACAGGGTGGCCACTAGAAAAAAAAGAAATTTTGTCGAACAATTTATTTTAACTTTAACAAAGTTTTTCAAAGGCATATGTTATATTACACTCATAGATGCTCAAAATGTTGTCTGTGCACTTCAGAGCAGTGTCTTAACCTAGAAGTCAAGCTCATGTAGCATTTTGAAGGTTAACTTGTGGGATATCGTTCCAATTCAACCTACAGTATACTCATTTTATTCATTATCTAATCTGACTTTCGAATTTTCTGTTTTTCTCGCGACCACCCTGTGTATTATCATGCTTGTTACATTCTGAAATGCAAAAAAGCACAAAATTGCCTTTAAAGGAATGGTCCCTCCGTGGATTTACTGCACTCTATTGACTCTGTCTGAAGCCTACCAAAGAACTTCTTCCCATCTGAGATTTTTTTTGCATTTGACAGTACAATCTGATAAGCTAATGAACTATTATATTTGATTGATTAGATATTTTGTTTGGTTAGCAGATGATGTCATGAAAACAGTTAAGATATCTTCATACAATGATCGAATACCATGGAATGCTCAGGAAATTATACAAAACAAATAAGATCATTTTTGTTTATACTGTCAAAATATGTGACAAAATCTCTATGATGTAGTGGCATGAAGATCATAATCAATAACTTTGAGAATCTGTTAGTGAAAGATTCAATTTAGGTGTTGAAGACCTTTAATATAAATCTGATCAATCAATTTTTTTACTGCTATTATTCACTCATGATTATTGTGACTTGGAGAACTCATATGATTTGACTGTATTATCTAGTCTTTCCAATGGATAAATAGTCAGATTATTTGTCTGTGAGGATGAACATGAAATTCTTTGGTGCTATTGGGTTGAAAATTTTGGCAAATTAGATTTTGCCTATCTGCGGGTCAATTCAATTTCATAAGATAACTTTTGATACCGGCATATTTTACTTTGCAACACTATCTATTGGTCTTTGGTTTTTATTAATAAAAAGCACAACATGGTGGTTACTTCATGTATGACAGACACATATGTTATATGTTGAGTTTCTCAAAGTGAGCAGTCAGTTGACACAAAATCTTGGTTTTGAAATGGCACATAAATATAGGCCTACCCAAGCTTTTCTATTCTAATCCCATACCCGACCTGGACTGGTAACCGGACGAGAGACCGTGGTTCGCCATATGATTAAGTCGTCTTATCGATTTTCCTCTCCCCGGGATAAATATGTAAATCCTATCCTATCCTGCTAAAAGCAAATGATCATATAAAAAACAAACTTTTACAATTGTTGCCATTGATCAATTACTTTTGAAAAAGGTATTGAAGTAGATAAATACATGATATTTATAGTTATATATACATAATCAATATAGAATTTTTATCAATTAAAACCAATTATAATATACGCAGTTTATATAGGATTTTCATAAATTGAAATTCTCTGGATGTTCAATCGCTTCTGAAAGATGAAGTTGTACATTGATTTCCTCTTCCATGAGTTTGTTCCACATCAAGATGACTTGATGAATTGTTGGATTCATAGTTGGAAAGTTCGCCCAGACAACCCATTCGTCTGAAATATATTTTGAATGAATCTTAATAAAAGGGTGGAAGCCTGAGGCTAAAATGCCTACATCTTTTTCATGGTTTGTAGCCTTGTAATTGTAATCTTACTCTAAGAAATTCATGGAATCTATATATATTTTGAATCAAATCAAATGTTTATTACAATATTTGAGTTTACAATATATAGGTTTTTACCAGTAGGACAGGAACTTGCTCAATTAGGTATACTGTAGTTTTTTTCTGAATTGTGTTCGTCAAACACCAATGTTTATGATAATTATTTTTTATTCTAGCTCGGGTAATGACTTAAAAGGCTGAAATGCACGCATTAAAACTTGCATTGCTCCCATATTTTATCACTTAATTATGTTCTTATAGTCTAATGTCCATATCTCCTTGAAGCATTCTGTTTTACTGGTTTCACAAAAATTAATAACTTAGTTATTTTTGATGGAACAGAGAAGTATCATGACAACATATTGTAATGCAATTAAGTGTATTTTGCACATGGATATATATTTGTATACCTGAAAAACCGCAGAATGCATGTATTAAATAGTTCTTCCCATCACTCAAAATCAAAACATCACCACTGAACATTGCATCATCTGAATATCAAGGAATAAATATATTTGATGAAAATACAGGCAATGGCATTTTACGTAAATAAGGTCAAATACGCTACCTAATTTTGCTGCATCTGCGCTTCTTCCGTCGTCTGGTGTTAAGGCGTGAGATGCTAGAACAGCTGTTTCTGTTTGAAAATTTAAATTATTTTCGTTTTTATTACTGAAATATTATTTACTACCTTCAATTTTAATTGAAAAATTAATTCAATCAATTTATACCATCATCCTTTGCCAATCTGTAGATACCTTCTCTCTTCTTTGTATAGTGGACTGTAAAAGTTAGTGGAGGGGAACTAAAATATAAAGTAAGCAGTATATCATAATTACGGTAGTTACATTTAGTCAACTTGTTTAATATTATTGTTATAACTGTATATTAAATATCATGAAATCCAATTTGAAATTTTGCTCATTTGAAGAAATGTTTTACTTCTCATGCGGTTCTGTAATCATCACACTCATTCCTGTTCTTGTTTCGGTAAAATTCTGTTGTTTTGCACCACCTACATCCTTTCCCATCACTGCGTCGTTAGTATTTAGAACCTGATACCAGTCACCAGAAAACTGTCATTCGAAAAATACAATTACAACTAAACTACTTATATCACCAATCTGATAATATTCCTGGCTTAAGGTGAGCTTCTAACGATTACTGATTCAACCAAGTTGTGGCTGGAAAACAACAGGATTCTATTTAAAGTTTGAATGTTTTCCCAAATGATATGTTAAATTTATGTACAGTGATAAAGACATTGTCTTGTAAAAAAACAATGTTTTTCACACATGGAAGAAATATAGGCTTTCATTTATTTTTATCCTGCACTCAAATGAGTTCAAAACTTTTGAATAACTGGAATTCAGAAGTTTTAAATGACTAGAATAATGTACCAACTTTATCCCAGTCAATATCTTCATTATCTTCTGGAATCTTGCAGTGTTTAGTCTGAATGAATTCGAAACTTTGAATCAACAACAATAGCAAAGTAAACCTGCCTCTTTTCAGGATGAACATCTTCTTTCTATCCTAGTTGAATGTATTTCAAAGAAGAACACTGGAATAAGAATTAATTGTTGCCAATTATCATCACAGCAGTTTCTAGTATTTCTGAGAATAATTTGAAGATTTCTATTGAATATCATGTGGTTTCATCTACATTCACATGTTTCTGAAACTAATAGAATTGAAATATTATTCTATTCTGTTGACATTGCAGCTAGTACTCAAGTGTGACAAACTTAGTGTATATGAGTGTATATGAATACACAAATGATATTATGCCTGTTAGTGGTTACTTGGTAGCATAAAAACATCAACCTGTATCCCACACAATCTGCTTTAAACTGTTTGTGACAAGTCTCTGCTTCTGACAGTTTTATAGGCTTCGATAATCAATGTCTTAAAACAATCGTAATCCTAAATACATGACATCAGCTTTTTTCTGAGAATACATTGTACAATAAAAACAACTGAGGTAGCTTACAAAGTGTGATAACAGCAGTCTTTCCCAACTTATGGTCCCCCAAAAATTTCTTTGGGTCACTAGTTTTTTTCTAAAATACCTTAAAAGTTAGAGACTTTATTCTCTGGTAAATTTCGTTGTTTGTTTTGCATTGAATTGTTACTCAATTGTATATGTGATAAGTATCACAGAGTTAAAATTTGGTAGCATCAATTTTGCATAAGTAAAGCCACAATTTGATTTGAAAAGTCATGGTGGCAAACAAATATGGCTTTCTCACTTTGAAGTGATTTCTGGTAAATTTGATGTAATGTTAAAATTATAAAAAATATTCTTTAATTTTGCTTGTCTCAATATTTTACAAAGTTAATTTTGTTTTAAATTTGAGTCACTTGATAAAAAGGTTGTGAATTAAACGGGAACTTTTCATATTTTCCTCTACGGGTACTGAAAACCTGACAGTCAAATTCTATCGCAAAATATGATTTCAAAATTCTAGACAGTAGTAAACTCTGATAAAACTTTCAGTAGATAAATATTAGTATAAATCGATTTTTGTTATACGTTAACTCAATTTTATCTATTCTGTCATTAACTGTATTGTTGTAAGCATTAAATTTTGAGAATAGTCTTGAATTGTTATCATAAAACCCATTTTTACTGACCATGAAAATCAATATACATACATACTTTGCACGTTTGTCTGCCTAGCAAATATGATTGCGATTTTTTGTAGCATTGTATTCTGGGTATATGTTATCCTTATGAGCCTTGTTGAATTTTAGTGTTGAAAGCTTGTTGGAGGAAATATGATTCTTTTTGTTCATTATACTGTCAGAATATGTGACAAACTTACTATGACATAGTGGCATGATTATCATGAATCAGAGCTTTGAAGCAATCAATCAATTTGAGAATCCCTTACTTGCAGTGGGTATTATAATAACATTGGAGATCTTGTGTATATGTTTGAACCTGTCTTCTGCTCATGATAACTGCTTTAAATTTTCTATTAGTTTTGAACCATCTGATGTGAATTTTTTCTATACTCACCCTGACATTTTTGTTAGTTTAAAAACTCGAAATTATGGATGACTTTTTTATTTTTCTTTAGGTCGACTACTCGACTTATTGTTTCATATGAATAGAATGTTGTATACCCACATATTTTCTTGTTAATTAAAGGAATTGTCCTCAACACTTGAAATACTGATACTAATTTAGCCTGCTTTTAACTAAAATTGAACTGATTTTTAAGGAAAGTAAAAGTCTGAACTGCTTGCACTTATTTTTTTCTTCCAAAAACAATTCAAAAATTAAATTATAATGTCACTATGTAATTGTCAAATGATGTATTTTTATAGTAGTCTTGCAAGAATCTTGATAAACATTCCACAGCTATTATGGCATTGGAGCAGATTTGTTTATTCCAAGATGAATATGGTAAATTAATTCCATTAGCTTTATGGTGATTCCTTTCTCAATGAACTGGGTTACAGTGGTGGAGCTAAATCAATTGTCTTGAGCCTTTTCAGAAGCTTATAACATAGTTTGTCACACCTTTGATTCTTCTGCTCGATTCATTTTTTTAGTATATCTTGTCAGTTTCTTACCATTAAAGTTGCTCTTAATTTTTACCATCAATGTTGTTGGCCATCACTCCCAGACATACCCACGTTCTTCTGGAGTCCCTCAGGGCTCAATTCTTTGACCTACATTGCTTCATGTTGCTAAACTCGGACAAAACTAATTTTGAAGCAGAGCTTTGAAGTTATCAATAAATTTGAGGAGCATTTAATTTAATTCAATTAGGAATTTGTTTCCCACTATCTTTTCATCACGATAATTGAGTTGAATTATCTTTTGGTTTGAAACGTGTCAGTTTTATGTACCTGATTTATTTTTATTTTGACTTTTTTATATTTCTTTTTATCGACTTCTGTACTTCTGTACTATTGTTTTACATGGATCAGAATGCCGTGTGGTGGCTTGAATAAATCATTTCTCACCATTTAAAAGACAATGTGGGCCCGTTTTTAACCAAAATTGCCAACTCACAATATGAGTCTTTTTTAAAGTAAATACAATCATGGTTCAGAACCATTTCAGAATGCTTCCCTCTTCCCAACAACCATAAAATAATATAGGTCATCTTAACTTTAATTACTTCCAACCCTAGTAGCATAGATATGAACCTGCTCATTGATTGCAGCTCCCTCTACTATCCAAGTCTGGTTACCTATATCCTTTCCATCTTAAGTAATCTAGATCGTAGCTCAAGGAAACCTCTTATTTTAGAAATTATGAAAAAATATGTCCACCATAATTTTTTATGGACACTTTTGCAACATTCGTAATCAAAATTAGTCAACCTTAGGGCTGAACTGTTACAGTTCTCTAGTGAATTTGAAATTAGATTCTAACAATAATAAATTGTTAGTAATAATATCATTTGGTAGCAAATTTATTACCAGTTCTAGTATTTCTCACGGAATAATAATTTCATAAACAAATTCATTATATTTGTGGACTGCGTCGTGAAACAATTTTCATTGATAGAAGATTTATTACTCTTTCATACCTTCTTGCTTCTATATTGTCCATCCTGATCCTTCCCTTTATCATTTCAAATAAAGCATTCCAAATGGAACTTGGATATTACTGTAATACTTTTATTTGCCATTCTACATAGAATATACATCTTTAAATTATTAACATCAGGTAATATAATATTCCAACGCAGATTAGAAGTTTTGGAAATCTTAATTCCTTATACTTTATCTGTAATGTACTCCTTGAAAAGTCGAAATATAACCCTGGGTGTACATTTACCCCAGATTGGGAACCCCCTGACCTAGGGAATCTAAGTTTCCAAACGTAAATATATAAAAATTATTGGGCATGTCTTCTATCTCTATGTTTTCTTGCACTCTTGGATTTGTGTATGCTGATGTGACAAATATACAGGAATCATACAATAAAAAGCAAAAGCACAAAAAATCATATTTCATTCCAAACGAAGGAAAGTTTTAGATTAAGTTAACTTAAACTGTTTCTGTTTAAAAAGTTGGGATCTTTATATGTTTGAAGGAGGTTGATCAAAACATAAAAAAAAAAAAAAAAAAACTCGTGTTTGAGCGTTATAATTTATAAATTTACTTTTGAGTAATCCCTTCATTCAAAATTTTAGTATAACAGTTTCAGTTCAAGTTTTTCACTATGGGTGTCCAACAGTTTCGTAAGGATAAAGTTGAACAATGATTCCTTTCTCAATGAGCTTGTTCCACATCAAACTTATTTGTTGAATTGTAGGATTCAATGTTGGAAATGTTGCCCAGACCACCCATTCATCTGAAATGTATTGAACCAGCGATTAATCTGGAGTTTGCGAGTATGAGGAGATGAATCTTAGGTTTCAAAATCATGCTTGTGATTGCTATGGCTTGGTGGTTACCTTTATCTATGGTTGTTAAGTATGGTTTCAATAACTATGTTTCCAGGGGTGTTCAACATTTTTTGTCGGTGGGCCATATACAGTAACCAAATTGAGATATTTAGCTGGATCACACGAAAATTTATTGTTTCCATGTACACAACGTATTGAAATATTCTCACAATGCAAAACTTTAATTATTTAACATTTTAACAGGACACTGGACTGGTCATACAATACTGTATGTATTTTGCTCACATGAGTTTATTTTCAAATAATCTGTTGTATCAGGATTTATATGCTTGATGGGTGAAAATCCGACTGTTGACAAGGGTCACACTTGGCTTGGCGGGCAGGTTTTGCCCGGCCCTGTTGCACACCCCTAATCTAAACAAAGAACTCATGGATATTTATTTAGAGCAGGCAACCTGCTGTGCAACCTGCAGCCCGTGGCCCACAATGAAAAATTGGATAGGTTAGGGCTAGGGTGACGTTACAACAGCAAAGCGATTTACAAAGCTTTCACTTGCTGAGCAGCAAACATATCATATTCAGAATTGTAGTTTTAAATACCTTCGAGGCTACAAAATGCATGAATCATGTAGTTCTTCTCATCGCTTAGTATCAATATATCACCACCAAATAGTGCTTCGTCTGAATAAAAATTTAGCAACGCTCAAATATATATTGATAGAAGGAATAGCCCTCCAACAGCAAATATGTCTGCCAAATTTTATATATAGTTATGTTTCAAATACCATATGTGTTTCCATGAATTTGGGAATGCAAGATTTGAGTGGATATAAGATTGAACGCAAGATTTGAGTGGATATCAGCCCTTGAATGGACCTGGGAAAATTTTGAAATAAAATAGTAAATGTGATATTATTGTGATTGGCTCAATCTTATGTACTGAACAGCAGCTGAAATTCAGTGAAACAATCTATAGGTCCACCTCATGCCCAAAGAATTAAAATAGACATATTATACCAATTACCCTATTAGCCTTAGCAATTCAAGAGTCCTGCTGCACCAAAAGTTTACGTTGTAAACTGCTTTCCGAGAAGTCTGATTTTGGTCAGACGAATTGTTACAGAAATACATTTGTGTTAGTGTGCAGCAGGACTCTTGAATTGCATAGTATGGTCTGTTTATTCATGCTAAAGCACCCTTGCATAATATGCATACGGATCCACTAGCGCAAAGGCATCGAGGAAGAAATGGGATTTCTCTACTGTCAGATCTTACCTATTTTCATAGCTTTCTCATTTATGCTGCCATCTGGTTTCAATGCTTCTAGAGCCAACACAGCCGCTTCTGTACCAAATAATAAAAATCCTCATATCATGAGTTACGGTAGTTTTACCCAATTTAATTTAGATTTACCGGTAAAATTGAAAATGATATACCTTCACTCTTTTCTGGTCTATAAACACCAGCTCGTTGTTTGGTCATATGGAGTGATGTCGTTCGTGCAGGAGAACTGAGAAATAAATTTGTGGAAAATTAATTAAGTGAATATTATTATATGTGTGAAGTTTGTAATTATCGTTTAATGAGCTCCCTATCTACTGAATCTACTGAAGATTTATCGTCAGCCATTTGGTGTTGGGTATTTTTTATCTCAAAATCTTTTAATTTTTCACTTTGCCTATGTCAAAGACTCAATCATGAAATGAGGATTGATAAATTATCGTCTAATATAAAAATGTGATATAATGTTTACACACTTTTTGTTCAATTCTATGATCACATATTGCACTCCTGTGCTTGTTTTAGTGAAATTCTCCAGCTTTCCCCCCAAGAAATCTGTCGTCATCCCTGCGTCATCTGTAAGTCCATCATACCAGTCATCATGAAGCTATAGAAAATAGTATTATTAAGTAGTTAATTAGTTGTACACTCATGAAAAACATTCGCTTGTCTAATTCGGTTGTTGATAATGTTCGTCAAGAAGAAGGATGTGAAATTACATCATCTAAGTGACACTTTGTGGAATTTGCGTCATTTTATTGTGGAGCTTTGCATGTACTACTATTGTATTAGTATGTGTATTGGAGGTGCTCTAAAATAGTATAGAAAATTTTAAATCAATTGCCAGATAGAAAAAAGTACACATGCTAATGTAATTTATTTGATAATATTACTGCAATATGTTGATTTAAACATATAAATATTGGGTTGATAATTCTCATTTAAACAAATGTTGACTAGACAACAACATGCTTTGACTTGGCATCTAATTATTTTTTATGTATATATATATATATATTCAATCTGGAGTTACAAATCAAATTAATTCAAAAGTTTCAAACTTGAGGATGTGCCAACCTTATCCCAGTCAATATCTTCATTGTCCTCTGGAATGTTACATTGTTTAGTCTGAATGAATTCAAAACTTTGTACCAACATCAATAGCAAAATATACCTGCTATTTTCAAAGATTAACATCGTTTTTTATTCTATTTGAATGTTTCGATGCTGGATGAATGGTGGAATATAGAAAGCATTAACAGTTATCATCCCAACAGTTTTCAGTATTTATTGTTAAACTTATAATGATTTGAAAGATTTTATGGAATATCATCTAGTTTGAAAATCTAATAGATTTGAAAAATTCCTGCTGTTAGCATTTCAGCTAAGTTTCAGTGTGACTAAAACCTTTTATTAATGTAAATAATACACGAACGTAATTATGTCAGTTACTTGGTCTATAGCAGAAAAAAAATCAGCGTGAATGAATCCCACCCAGTCTTGACTGAAACTGTTTTGGGAAGTTTTGCTTCTGACTTTATAATTTCATAGGCTACGACAAGAAATGTCTCTAAACAACTTTAATCCAAAATACATTGGCGTCAGCTTTTCATGAAAACTCATTATGTAATAGATACAACTAAGGTTGCTTGCGAATTGCATTGATATTTAAAACCCCTAAAATAGTGGAATACCATTGTGGACGGTGGTTTCACTAGATAAATATATATGAATTTTTCATCTACATCTATTTAATTCTCACCTATTCTGTCAATTAATGGAACTAATACTGGAATCCTGGAATTGTAAAAATATAACCCATATTCTTACCATAAAACACACATTCACTTGCTTATCATGCAATAAACTTTCCGCATTTGCAATTATTGTAGCATTGCAGTTTAGGCATATGTTGTCATCTTTATATAATTTTAGCAACAAATGTTTATAGTAGGAAATAAGGCAAAACATTTTGGTGTGAAGATCAGGAAGCACGGCTTCCAATAATCAATAACTTTGATCAATCCTTCAGTTGCAGATATATTTTGGGTTTTGAAATCACTTCAATTCAGATTTTGTGAATTTTTTTTTTTTTTATTATTTTCTGATTTTGATTATAGTGTTTGGTTTTTCTTTGTTTTGGAACAAACCAGTATACGTTTTTTCCTATTCTCAACCTGAAATTATTTATGAGTTCAATTTCAAATTATGAATATTCTTTGACTTGTTAATTTTTCTTCAGATTAACTCACTTTAACGTTTTCTATGAATCAAAATGCTGTGTGGCGGTGGCCCAAATAAGTGTTCATCAAACTTTTTCATTACTTCATACCTTTAATGATACCTTGCATATTCTCACACATGAGCATATTTTTGCACAGCTCAGTGATAGTCCCAGAACTGCTTCGAAATCTTTCGATTTTGGTCAATATTTCATTATAACTTGAATTAGTGCCAAATTTTTTTTACTACAATCCACATTGAGCCATTTCGTGACCTACCAGGGGGTCGGAACCCTCAGTTTGAAGTGCCCTGGCCTGAATAATTATATTCCTCACCATTCAAAGACAAGGTGGCCTACTTTTTTACCGAAATTGCCGGCTCGCCACATTAAAGCTTCCTTAAAATAAATCTAATCTTGAATCCAAACCATTTCAGATTGTTTTTCATTTAATTATTTCCCAAATATTTGTAATTCATTTTAAATTCAACTACCCCCAATTTCAGTAGTGTAGATATAAACTATATGACCTCACTCGTTGGTTGCCTCTTTCCCTATCATGCAAGACCATGAGCATGTAGCTATTGATTGGTTAACTACGTTCACATCCATTTTGGACTGGTTTGATTGGGATAAATATTATTGTCCCTCAGCTTCTCTCCTATAGCCTTTTTTGGACCTTGATAGACCAAGCCTCATATTGAAATTTTTAAAAAATTATGTCCATATTTTTTTTTATACTTTTGGAAGATTCATAATCTGAATAAATTAGGCTTGAGGCTACACTGATCAAAATTACAGTTTTTTATTTAAAAATATTCGGTAACTTCAATAATAAATTGTATATCAAGTATATCAAATTTCTTATCAGTTCCAGTTACTCTGACAATAGAAGGATTCCAGAAACGAGGAATTATATTTTATGACAGCATAAGGAAACAATTTTTTCGATGTAACATAGTCATCTTGCTGCTCCATTGTCAATTCTAAAACTTTAAAAATTCCATTCAATAATTTATTTGTTTAAAATAAATCATTCCGAATAATATTTGGTGATCTATTTCTGATACATTCAGTTGTTCCGCATGGCATACAATAGGTACAATCGATTCATTAAATTTGTGTAATATAATGAGTTTCAGTAATACATGTAGGCTTTTATTCAAAAAAAGTGTATGAACAAGTAAAGCCTGAACAATTATATTAAACAGTTCAGAAATTGTTCATGGTTTTTTAGCGGAAAGAGGTTTAAAATTACATTTTTTTGTATTGTCTGTTAGTGATGATGTGTTTAAAATTTTAATAACCACTGATTTAGGCCGCAATACTGGCATCATCAGATTAGCCTACTGCAGTGGTTCCCAAACTTTTTGGAGTTGCGACCCACTATTCATTACCACAGCTTATGGCGACCCATTACAATTTTTTATGACATAACACTGAACACAGCATGGCTAATCATCGTAAAACTACCGTGCTTCCTCGAAAATAAGTTCTGGCCTGAAAATAAGACCGAATTTGAATTTTACAATGTACAATGTAATTTTATTTTTGATAAATGAACTCAAAAGATCTCTTCCGAAAAAAAGGCCATAGTGTTATTCTTCAAAAGAAAATAAATCTACCGTAAATCCTGTCTAAATTTCGAGGAATCCCGGTAAGAAGTGTTGAACAGTGTACAAAACTGCTATGCGTAAATAAGCCACATGGTCATGCTTTGTGTAGCAAATTTTTTGTTCCTTTGAGAAGATCGTAAAGAGGAAACTTTGACAGATTAGAATTTAAATTAAATTTAATTTATTTCGTTTTTTGAAGATTTACGTATTCGAGTCGACACCGATCCTAATACCCAGTATAATTAACCAAAGCTTTCTACATCTTTTCACGACCCACTAAGTTTCCTTTTGCGACCCACCAGTGGGTCGCGACCCATAGTTTGGGAACCGCTGGCCTACCGCATTTTCAAAATTTCATGTCATTTAATTAAAATGGAGCATTAAAGAACTAAATACTATCATCTCGAAGAAAACTTAACATTTCTAACAACTTAGTAGAACAAACAATGAATTAATGATATTTGTTTAAACATTCAAAGTTTTGTGTTTTGTTAATTCTGTATGTTTTCTGTAGAGCTTTCATCACAGCAACATGTAACACAACCTCACTTTCATGAGCGCTTCGGAAGTATTTGTACCAAGATGATGCTCAACCTGAACAATCCTAACCTGGTACACATACTATGTTCAGGTTGTGTGCCATCTTGGTATGAATACTTCGGGAGCACCCTTGCATGTGAGTCTCTTATTTATTTCAATTGGAAAACAATTTTCTCATATTTACACCAAAGAATCTAAATTAAGTTAAGTTAAGTTTTTAGCCCCAATTTGTATTTTTCAGTGGGCATCTCACTCATTCGACATATGCAAATTAAACTTCAAATTGCTTATGTTTTCAGTAAAAATCATCTTGAGTTGTATACAAGTAAACAAGGATTATTGAATGGTTACAATTATTTTGATATGTTAATACGAAGAATTTGTAAATAATTGAATGGATCGATAGATACATGGTTAACATCTGAAGTCGAAATATCTGCAAATTTTTATGATTTAGTAAAACCCATGAAAATCTCTGGATGTTTAACTACTTCTGCAAGGTGAAGTTGTACATTGATTCCCTTTGCCATGAGTTTGTTCCACATCAATGTGACTTGATGAATCGTTGGTTTCATAGTTGGAAAAAGCACCCAGACAACCCATTCATCTGAAATATATTCGTAATCTGATTTATGATGCAGACTGAATGCGAAGATTAAAATGAGAAATATCATCGTTAATAAATTACTAAGATAGAAGTGTTACTATAAGATTTATGCCCAATTAAACTTGGTTAAAGATTAAGTATGGACAACAGAGACATGCCCATATAGATTGCCGATTAGCACTAGAGCAGTGGTTTCCAAACTTTTCAGATTTGGGACCCACTATTTATTACCACAACTCATGGCGACCAATTTAACTTTAATAAATTAATAAAATGACATAACACAGAACACAGAGATGGGTAATCATCACAAAACTACCGTGTTTCCTCTGAAATAAGACCTGACCTGAAAATAAGACCTAATTTGAATTTCAAAAATGATTTTAATTTAACCTTACCCTTAAAATGAATTTAAAATGTGTGGGAGAGGAAATGTTCAATGACCTGAGGTAAGGTGAAGATCACACCACTATTCAAGATTGTGTGATGTCACAATTACAATTATGATATTGTTTATTAAAAAAATCTCCTGATTTTCACAATGTAATTTTATTTTTGATAAATGAAAACAAAAGACCATAGTGTTATTCTTCAAAAGAAAATAAATCTAAATCCTGTCTAAATTTCAGGGAAACACGGCAAGGAGTGCTGTACAGTTTACAAAACTGCTATGCGTAATAAAGCCACATGGTCTTTCTTTGTGTAGCAAATTTTTGTTCCTTTGAGAAGATTGTAAAAGGAAACTTTCACAGATTAGAATTTAAAATCAATTTAATTTCTTTTGTTTTTTCGAAGATCTACGTATTCGAGTCGCCACCGATCCTAATAGCCAGTATAATTAATCAAAGCTTTCTACATCTTTTCACGACCCACTTAGATTCCTTTTACGACCCACCAGTGGGTTGCGACCCATAGTTTAGGAAACACTGCACTAGACCATATAAGGGTCAATTTTTGCCTCTCAAATATCAGTACTATATATGTCTTTTTCAGGAAAAATTCTGTCTGTTAATAAGTAAAAGTTCATGGTTTCACAAATCAATTCAGTTTGGTTATTGTTAATAATTGGAACCTAGAATAAGAAGTAACCGAAGATATAATAGGTTATATTGCAATGAGGTTTATTATGCCTTACCTGATGGACTGCAGAATACAAATATTAAGTAATTCTTCTCGTCATTTAAAATTAAAATATCACCATCAAACAGTGCATGCTCTGAATATCAAAAATAAAGTTACCATGTGAAGATGTGGGAAACAAAACAATTCATGTTAATAATTTTGAAACACTTACCTAATTTTACTGCATCTTCACTTGTTCCACCCTCTGGTGTTAAAGATTGTGATGCTATAGCAGCTGATTCTGGGATTAAAATAATTATTTTTCACTTTAATATTACACTCATTTTGATTTGAAATTAAGAATGAATTCAAAATATATACCATCACTCTTTTCTAATCTGTAGATGCCGGCTCCCTTCTCCCTCCAGCTGGCTATGAAAGTTTGTGGGGGAGAACTAGAATATGATGTTAGCAGTTCATCATTATTAGTTACAGTTAGTCAATTTATTTTTCAATTACCGCTAGCACAATTACTGCCATTTGAATAAAATATCTAACTTCTTGTGTAGTTCCGTGACTACCGTTTTTGCTCCTGTGCTTGTTTTGGTGAAATTTTGTAGTTGTCCACCGTATACATCTTTTCCCATTACTGCGTCATTGGTGTGTAGAACCTGGTACCATTCGTCAGGAAACTGTCATTGGAAAAACACATTAAGAACACATGAATATGATTGATCTGATAATATTGTTGGACTATGATGATCTTATTTTCAAAGATTTTTGTGACAATTCTGACTCAAACAAATGTTGACTGGTTGGTGCTCCCGAAGTACGTGCACCAAGATGGCACACAACCTGGACATAATATGTGTACCAGGTTGGGGTTATCAGGTTGTGGGCCATCTTGGGGCACATACTTCGGAAGCGCCGATTGTACAACAATAGGATTCTGCATTATATCTATGGTATGCCAAACATACCATCTTTCAAAATAGTAATGCACACATAAATAAATATGGGCTTTTTGACAAATTTTTAATCTATCGTTATAAAAAGTCTTTAAAAGTTCGAAACTTTGAGAAATGTACAAACCTTATCCCAGTCAATATCTTCATTATCCTCTGGAATGTTGCATTGTTTAGTCTGAATGAATTCAAAACTTTGAACAAACATCAATAGCAGAACATACCTTCCTTTGAACATCTTCCTTTCAATTACCGGTACCTGTTTTAATGTATAGTTTAACTATTTACGGAAATCTTTGATAATTTTGAGGTTTATATTTTTCGAGAAACTACTCTGTATTTAGACTGTAGCTGGAAATTATTTTGGTTGCTTTGTGTATAGCATACAAAAATCAGTCTGAATATGTCCCAGCCAAGCGACTTCACTTTGCCTGAAACTCTTTGTGGCAAATCTTGTTTCTAACAGTACGGTTTTATATAATTTGAGGAGCAATGTCCAAAAACAAGGATATGGGTTTGTTGTTGTTTATATGAATTGATTTCCCCTTATAAACAAAGATAGGACTGCAAAGTGCAGTCAAGTGATCATTTCATATTATTGATTGTATGCAAGACAGCCAAACTATATTGCAAATCACAGCTCCGATACACCTGTCCTGGAGGTGTAAAAAATCAAGTATCTCATATAATGTCCTTTCAGCTGAAATTTGACAAATTCGCAAGATTGCAAGAATAATAATCAAAACTATGTTATAATTCGTTAGTCAGCCACACATTTTTATGTCCTCAGGTTGCTGTGACTTTATAGAGCAGGGTTACTCAACTATTTTTACCTAAGATCCGCATACGAAACTTCAAAAATTTTTGGGTCCGGTCTTCCCAGAAATTATATTTCCGCATACTTGAACGCGCACCTTCTCGGCTGACTAATGATTATTAGCTAATCAAGATTGTTTATTATGGCGTTATACTTCTTTTCATATATATTCAAAACTATAAAATTGATTTTATAAAAGGAAACTGCATAAGTGGGGCTAAGGATCTAAACTAAAGAATTAGTTGCGGTCCGAATCAAATACGCGAAAGGTCCAGATTCGGACCGCGGTCCGCCAGTTGAGTATCCCTGTTATAGAGTATCGCTTTTATTTAGTCATGAGGCTATGCAACTGCAAGTTTTGTTTAACAAAAACAGATTTTTATGGCAAGACATTTTACATGCTGTAAGTTCAAACATGTTCATGGTGCTTGTTGAGCTTTGTTTCGCTGCACTTGCTGAAAACAGCTTAAATACTCTGGACATTCACTGTAGTTTTAGAATTAATTTTGAATACCAAACTTTAATTTATCATTGTTTGTAAATATTGGCAACACAGTGATAGAGTAAGGTTTTTCATTTATTGTTTGGGAGGAACAGAGAAGGATTATGACAATATATTGCAATGTGATGGCCTGTAATTCTGAGAATTTTTATATACGGTATGTGTATACCTGAACGATTGCAAAATACATTTATTAAGTAATTCTTCCCATCACTTAATATCAAAACATCATCATTCACCATTGAACATTTCATAATCTAAATATAGAAAAATAAATCAACATGATTTAGGCAATAGCATCTCACATCTATAAGTAATAGTAATTTTACCTATTTTTGCTGCATCTTCGCTTCTGGTGTTAAAGTCTGTGTTAAAAGAGGCCTGGTGAGTTGTCCGTCTTTTCGTATTTTCTACGGCGCCTGTAGTTGTATTCACACAACATGAGCAAAATAAGCTACTTACACAAATAAAAATGCTTTCTAGAGAATATTTATGTATTTTTCTCAACATTTGAGCACTAAAAATATCAAAATCTCATTTCTATAGACCTAAAACAACGCCGTAGAAAATGCGAAAAGACGGACAACTCACCAGGCCTCTCTGTAGTCGAGTTGTCTCTGGTGAGTTGTCCGTGTAGTCGAGTTGTCCGCATCCCCCTTGTAATACGGTATGTAATAGTTCGTCACACATAAAATAAATGAGTGCTTCTATTTATTTTTAGTCTAGAGTTACAACTCAAATGTATTCAAAAGTTATAATTTTCTGCGAGAATGTACCGACCTTGTTTCACTCAATATCTTCATTATCCTCTGGAATCTTACATTGTTTAGTCTGAATGAATTCAAAATTCTGAACCAACATTAATAATACAATAAACTTGCTCTTCATCACGATAAACATCCTCTTTTCAACCTACTCTATTCTATTTTAATGCTAGACAAATGTTGGAATAAAGAATAGACTGTTATCAATTTTCCATATTTACGGAAATGTATGTTGAACTGTTGTATCATTATTTCCATCGTTTCATGGAAAAGGAGACAGAAAGGGATCAATAGATTCACATTTTCAAGAACATGTTTATTCATTTAGGCGTTCATGCAATCTTTCTTTCTGTACACATATGTAAATTCTATCACATCCTAGTTTCTTATGTTTTATCATTCTTCACCCATTTTTACACCTCCCCTATTCAATTAACAATCTGGACATCAGAAACACATCATTAGGAGTCTCTTATAAACTGTTTATTCTGAATCAACTAATTAATAATTATCTTTATGACTAAAAGGATCGAAGCAATTTATGGTCAGTAATACTTCTCAACCTAATTATAGTTTTATTTTAAAAAGGAATTTTTTTGGGTTCCACACCATATCAACAAATATTGCAGTGTAGTTTTACATGCTTCAGAAAGCAATGTCTTGTACCAACTTTATCATAAAATGACGTCATCACCTGTCTGTGTGTGCAGATGTACATGGGTAGATATACACCGGATGCAAATGTAAATGAGGAAAAATGTCATTAATTTGATGTTTCTCTGAAATGAATTCATCTCACATCCACAATTTGTATTGATGAAGTAGATTGGCAAATATATATGTATAAAATAGACATAACATTGCTGATTATATGAAATAATAATGATAGTAGATACATGATGCATTAGGTAATTGATGATGAATATATAATATTTTTTAATAATATCTGCATTTTTTATAGATTTTCTTTATTTAATTAAAACTCATGAAATTCTCCGGATGTTCAACTGATTCTAAAAGATGAAGCTGTACATTGATTCCCTTTTCCATGAGTTTGTTCCACATCAGTGTGAATTGCTGAATTGTTGGATTCATAGTGGGGAAAACTACCCTGACAACCCATTCATCTGAAATATATTTGGACAACTAATAAACAGTGTGAAGGAGATTTTCTGGCATGACTTTTATTGGGAAATACGCGAGTAATATTACTATAATAAATTCATAGAATATATCAATTGATCATACCTTGCCCTTCTCTTTTCCAAGCATTCCATTTTTCAGGGCATATACGGTATATTTATAACGAATAAGCCGAATAGATCACAGTAACAGTGGGCCGCCTTTATTTTCGAAATTGATTCATTCAAGTCATGTTTGTTTGTAAACAATCTCCTCATGGCAAGTTTTAACATTTGTGTGAAGCAGTGAAGAATAGTGACAATATATTGCAATTAGGTATAGTTCCAGTATTAGTATAGTATTTATATATACCTGAATTAATGCAGAATACATTTATTTGGTAATTCTTCTCATCACTTAATATCAAGACATCGCTGTTGAGCAGTGCATCATCTGAATATCAAAAAATGAAGATATAATATAGCATTCTAACTTGAAAAGGTCCAAAAATGTTACCGAATTTCATTGTATCTTCACTTGTTCTACCTTCCGGTGTTAAAGATTGTGAGGCGATCATAGCTGGTTCTGTTTGAAAATTCAAATAACTTTTATTATTCAGCAGGAATGTTATACATATTTTACTCCAAGGATATTACTAAATATACCATCACTCTTTTCCAATCTGTAGATACCTGCTTTCTTCTTGTTATAGTGGACTGTAAAAGTTCGTGGAGGTGAACTAAAATATTAAGTTAGCATTATATCATGAATAGTTACAGTCAATTTATTTATATACGACTGGATTGTCCAACCTTTTTGACCAAATGGCCATGTTTAGTTTACCAATGATTGGGCTGGCCATTTGACATGGTTGTTATGTTCTAGTTTTCACTACACCGACTACAGATTAATGAATAAACAAACAAAACCCTCACACAAAAATTATGAAAACAATGAAAATAAAAAGATTCAGTTAAATCAGAAGTTTTTACCCCATATACCGGTAGATATTTCTATGTCAAGTATGACACCGCTTTTATCCAATAAGTTTGTCAAGATTCGGTGCGATGGAAGATGTAGCAATGCCCAGGGAATTTTCATATGACTGTCAGAAATTAGTGATCTCATGTGGGATTTGACGTGGTTCATTCGCGAAAAAACTTGCTCGTACAAGTAGCCTAAGTGCTGTCAAATATTGAGTTCATGAAAACCACCTTTTGTAGCTTCACAGAAAAAAGGCAGAAAAACAGATTGAAATATATGGCAGGCGATAAAAATAAATTCAAACATTCCTCTCTAGCAATGACGCTCACAAAGGGACATAAATAAGCTTTCGATAGCTGGGTGGTGCTTCTCGTGCGTTTGAATGACGAGAAATAATTTCTTTATTAGAGGTTTCAATAATGGCCTAGATTTGTGAAAGACATTGGGATTTGAATAATTCAGCGCGGGCCACTCTGAAACCTTCGTCGGGCGACAGGTTGGACGGCCCTGATATAAGACCTAATTTGACTGATGCAGAATTGTGTAAACTGTCTCTCATGTGAAAAATATCCTACCCCTCATGCAGTTCTGTGACCGTCTTGACCATTCCTGTGCTTGTTTTGGTAAAGTTCTGTAGTTTTGCACCAAATACAACTTTATCCATTACTGGGTCATCAGTGTGGAGAACCAGATACCAATCATCAGGAAACTGTCAATAGAGAAGTACATAAACATATCTGATCTCTTAATATTCTGTGATTGATGTATCTTCTGAAAATAGGGTGATAATTTCAATTCCAACAAAGAACACAAATACTAATTTATGCATGCATATATATATGCTTATGCTAATCACATAGGTTTGTATAATACTGATGTTTGGTTACAGAGAGATATATCATATTTTGAGGCACACTATATATCCCCCTTTTTCTGCAAAGAATATATTGTGCTTCTTATAAGCAAGTGTGCCGAATGTATGGTTCAAGTAGTGCTTTATTGTCTATACTCAAAACCAGTACCAAATGTGTCTTATTATAGCATGTATGGGCTTATTTATGGACAAAAACCCAAACTTGATAATTATTGTTTATGCACCTTAAGGTCTGTAAAATATGGTTATGTATTTTTGTTCTGCATTTACAAAGAAGAATGTACTCACATTACTCCAGTCAATATCTTCATTATCTTCTGGAATGTTACATTGTTTAGCCAGAATAAATTCAAAACTTCGAACAAACATCATTAGCAAGATATACCTGCTGTTTTTCATGATGAACATCTTCTTTTAATCCTAGTCAAATATTTCAATGCTAGATGAATAATGAAATAATTATTCAACTCAGAATAGTTCAAAGATTTTTATAAAATGTATTCTTGTTACTGTATGCTGTAATGCTGTTGACATTTCCACTAGTTTTCAACGTGACAAAATTTTAGACAAATCTTTCGTGGTTACTTGGTACATGACATAAAAACATCAACCTGAATGAATCCCTGTCAAGTCTCTTTATTCTGACTGGAACAGTTTGTGGCTTTTGAGAAGTCTTGCTTCTGACAGCATGAATTCATAGGCTTTGATGAAAAATGTCTTGAAATAACTGTCATACAATACCATTGCTCTATACGAGTTTTTATGTACATTTACCTACGGAAATTTCCACCTATTCTGTCAAATAATGATAGTAATATTTGAAGCATTGAAATATTAAAAAATGCTCTGGCAATATCATCTTGTACAATAATGAAAATATATTAGGATCAATTTTGTTTATACTGTCAAAATATGTGATAGAATCATTCAACATAGGGCCATGAAAATCATGAGCACAGTTTTAAAGTAATCAATATGTTTTAGGAACTCCTACTCTTAGACCTATCCGGGATGCTGAAGTATCTTTAATGCAGATCTTGTGGATTTGTTTTTTGCTATTCTCTGCTCATGGTTTTTCCACACGGTTTTCCCTTTTGGAATCATAAAGTATAAATTTTTCCCTATGCTGACAACTTGACATTTTATTAGTTTGAGAATGTGAAATTATGAATGCCTGTTAACTTGTTAGTTTTCCTTCAGATCAACTTATTTTCTTGCTTTCTATGAATTTGAATGCTGTGTGGTGGCTTGAATAATGTTTTAAAAAAAGTTGTCATTAACTCAAGGTAAAACTAAGGTTCGAAGAAGACCACCAATAAAATACTTCATGAAATATAATCTGATTGTTTATGTAATCCTTCTTTTGTCTGAGAAAATGTAACTGATAACAGATTTTTTGCAAAGCTGACATTTTCCCGAATATTTTAAGAATTCAATTTTAATTTAATTAATATTCATAACTATAAACTGTAACTATAGGTAGTCTAGCTCCGTTCCATCCATTTTGATAATGAATCTTTCATAAAAGATATTGGTCATAAATTTTCAGGACGACATGAACAAGTCAGTGACTTCATGTGCATGGACTTTGATGGTAAAGGGAAGAGTAGCCAGTGTAACAAAGTAACTAGTAACAGGGCTATTGAAAAATTGCCTCCCTCACTTACTTCATTTACACCATTTTGGGGTTGAAAAGATGAATGTTGTTGAAAGATTATTATTAGGCTAAAAAATCTATCTTGCATCTCATTGAACACTGCTGTTCATCAACTCTGGATGCCCAACTTTTTCCATCACAAATGACTCATTTCACAATGAGTTTAGATGTGAGTGGTGAAACTAAATTAATTGACTTAGATATCTCCGAAGCTTTTAATAAATTTTGGCGTGCTGGAATTTGTACAATTCGATCTTGTGGTATATCTGAACATTTTTTGCCATATATCTTTTTTCTCGGATTGCCAAATCAAAGTTGTTATTGATGTTCAATCCTACCAAACATTCTCAATTTTATCTTCTTTGAATGGAATTTGTAATTTCTTATGATGGCATTACTGTATTATCCATCTATATACCAAGACAAATAATTGCACTCTTGCATTTTGATGGCGGTTGTACACTAACAATATTATAGTCATCAAATAATATTGTCATCAAACTAGCTTGGAATTTTTAAATGCAATTTTAAACTTGAGCAACAGTTTTATCTATATTGATGGTTGGTATTATTTTGCTGAAAATTACACAAAAAAACATAAGACTAGTGAATAGGATTAAAATAGCATCTACAGGCTTTACATGTCCTATTAAAACTGAATCCATCAAAATTTAGATTGCAATTTTCGAATAGTGCAGTTTTTACTCTTAACACTAAACAGTTTTTGAGACCCAAATTTTGGAGTTCTCCAATTTTTTTGTCCAGTTCATACGAGCGTGTGATCTCCTTTCATAAATCTGAAAACATTGTATTGCGAAATACCAGCAGTAAGTAAGATGTAACTGCACATACGTTACCACAACATCGAAGGGCAGGCGTTTATTGTATCATAGAGACAGATTTAATATTGCGCAATAATATTCGGTTCGATTCGGCGAAAATATTCGATGCACATGCGTTACCACAACATCGAAGGGCAGGCGTTTATTGTATCATAGAGACAGATTTAATATTGCGCAATAATATTCGATTCGGCGAAAATATTCGATTCAAATCAAAAAATTATACGATTTTAGACAGCCCTAATTGTTACAGATAATATAATGGGTTGTGTTCTTTCAAACTTTCAAAACTTGGCCCTTAAAGTTTTATAGCTGTCAAACTTTATTAGCTATGAGCTCCCACCCATTGACCATCAATCTACCGTCCAAACCAAAAAAATTAATAAATCTTTATGGAGAACTTCCGAGTTATGTGAAGTCACTTCGTCATAGCTGTTTTCTGACTGTATTGTCATAAAGTATAAAAACTTTTTACTCTTTAAAAACTCAGTGATTCTGTTTGTTTTTGAGTGAGTGCGGGTGACTTCCCTTTAAGTGAATTTTAGTTACAAAAACTGTGGAGGTTAGGTTTGGATATACCACTCATCTTAAAATGTTAAGGAATTGCTAGTACTTGTATTTAGAAGCGAAGGGGTGTAAAAATGAGAATCAGCTAGACATACTTCTAGTATTGATTTAAGCTCTTGTGTTTAACGTATCATGATAATTAAAAGTCTTGCATCAGATTAGTTGATTAACAATAATTTATAAATTCTTCGGAAATCTTTGCACTTTAATAGCTACTTACAACACCTACCCATGAGCCAGGACTAGATTGATTTTACCTATTATTTTATGACTTTAGTCCTGTCCATTTGATGTAAGAATTAATCATGAAAAGAACATGAGGCAATATATTTTTTTTTATTGCAATTTTTACCGTTAATAAATTAATTGTTAATGAACAGTAGTTATTTTTTGAATTTACTGTGGATGATTGTCTGAAATGAATTTGTTTTACATAAAAAATTTGTATTTATGAATTAACAGGCAAATATATAGGGATAAAATTAAAATAACATTGCTGATTATATAAGTTAATGTAGTAGATGAATTCATGATACACATAATTATATCTGCAGTTTTTATAGGATTTTCATCTATCAAAACCCATATATTTCTCTGGATGTTCAACTGATTCGTAAAGGTGAAGTTGTACATTGATTCCACTTTCCATGAGTTTGTTCCACATCAGAGTCAGTTGCTGAATTGTTGGATTCATAGATGGGAAAACCACCCAGACAACCCATTCATCTGAAATACATTGTACAAGTTACAATGTACAGTGCAGAAGGAAAATTTTACATGCCTTTTGTGGTAAATATTCTTGCAATATTACTATAGAAAAATGATAGAATTGCCAATCATGACAGATTCAAAATAATGTTGTGTACTTCAGTACAATACACAAGACAGAGAAGTACGGGATGACGATGTACAATAGTCGGTTCATGGCACATCCAGGTTTCGATGTGAAAATATGGGAGTAGGGTATGAATCGTCAATTGAAATCTTTTTACAATAAATATTAGTACTTTTTTCTCACTTTGAAGCCGACATAAAACAAACAAACATAAAACAAATTCATCCTTGTTGTAAGCCGACATAAAACAAATTCAACCCTGTTGTGATGTGAGAAACACGCAACACTGGAATATATCAAACTGTGTTTCGCTGGTAATGACACACAATTTCAGCTCTTGGAATACCTCACAGTGATGCGCATTCCATTTTTGGAGCATTGTTTCAATTCCAACATTCCACCCCTAAAAGATACTGGCTGCGCCCCCGATTGCAGTTGGTTTAGAACAATTCTCATTATTATTGCTTTTACTGTAGTTTTGTTGCATAAGACTACGATATGTACATAGAACAATAGTATCATACTGGTTTTGAGTGAGACAATAAAGCCTAAATCATTACTTGATCCATACATTAGGTGCACAGGCCCATAAGTCACTCAATCGATTCTTGAGAAATAGGGATCTTAATTGTGCCTCATGATCAATAAATTACAGTAGCCTATATATTTATATACCTGAATAACTGCAGAATGCATAAATTATATAGTTCTCCTCATCACTTGAAATCAAAAGATTACCATTTAACAGAGCATCATCTGAATATCAAGAAATAGAAATATAGAATAAAGATATCAAATAACATTCTACCTTAAATAGGTAAATAACTTTTAATAATAACAATTTTACCTATTTTCGCTGCATCTTCACTTCTTTCACCCTCTGGAGTTAAAGTATGTGATGCTTCGAGAGCTGGTTCTGTTTTTAAAAAAATTTCTATTTTTTTGACTAGAATATTATGACAAATTTGAATAAAATGTTAATTAAAAATATATACCATCGTTCTGTGCCAATCTGTAGATACCTGCTTTCTTCTTTGTATAGTGAACTGCATAAGTTTGTGGAGGAAAACTGAAATATAAAGTTAACATTATATCATGATTAGTAACAGTTTGTGTTAAGCATTTCTCATTTGAAAAATATCCTACTTCTTGTGTAGTTCTGTGACGATCATGTTCATTCCTGTGCTTGTTTTAGTAAAATTGTGTAGTTTTGCACCAAATACATCTTTATCCATTACTGGGTCAAATGTGTGGAGAACTTCGAACCAGGCTTCAGGAAACTGTAATTTGAGAAGCATAGTAAATGTACATAAATACAGGATGTCCAAAAAGTTCCGCTCGATTTCATAGAATCACCAATCGCAAATTTGAATAAATTTGGATCTATAACAGTGGTCGGCAACCTTTTTTCGGTGACGGACCAGTAAAGCCTGACCCAAATTTTGGCGGACCACCCTATATAGACTTACCAAGCTTATGTAATAAATTATATGTATTAGCAAAAATAGGTTGATATTAAATTCAAAAATAAAAGTGATGCTAAGTAACATGTTTCTTACGTTTGGCCTACTATGATTTTGTAGTTTTCAATTTTGAAAACCCGACCTCACATAAAGGTAACAATGCCTCTAAAGCTTGTTTTGCTATGCCGGTGGTATTAATTTAGGAGTAGGGAAAAGTGGGGAAGGTTGGAACACTTTTTTTTTTCTTTCACAACTTTTGAGCCTTTTATTTTGCAGAATCATTTCACTTTGCGCGACTAATGCAGAAAGGTAAATGTAGTTTGTGTTCAGCAACTAAGAAATCCTCTTGCGACACACGTCTTACCACGATATATTTTAAAAAAAACGTTTGTCAAGTGTTTCATTGTACCCAACTCGTGGGGCACATTCAAACAGACCTGGGGCACAGTGGGCATGAAGTATGCCCTTAAAAATAAGCAATTAATCAGCATTACCCTCTTAAGAACAGGGAGACTTCAAATTTGAAGATTTAGGATTTTTAAAATCAATGTTCAACCAAAATATTTCAGATATTTTTACACAAAATTCCGCAAACAAATTATTTCATCTTATTTTCCGATTCCAAATCTCGAAATAATTTTGATTCTCGAATATATTCCATATCGGGCCATGGGTCGAAAGATACCATAATATTAAACAAAATATAACGCATCTCAAGGCCTCTAAGCACTTATTGTATCAAACACTGTCGAATTGTGTTCAGTATAGGGCATGTCCCACTGAACCCCGGTCCATTGTTCCCCATAGGAAACAAATATTTTCGAACAATCACACAGCCAAACTAGGAAGGGTTTGTCATGTTAGAAAAGCTAAAGTAGAAAAAAAAACTGGAATGGTGAAATTTTTCACCTCATAGATTGCGTCGCTCTGCACGGCCGTTGTTCGTTTGGGGGTACGTTGTATTGTAACTCACCTATAGGCAGGGATTCCATCGATCTGGAATCCAAAATAAGGACGACTGGAAAATTTTCTGCATTGTGAGCAGAAATAGCTGGCTTTCCTATGGCCTCAAGGTTAATGTCACAATTACAGACGTCACAGTGTGCGAAGCACTCACCCTTCTTCGTTCACCTCAAAGCTTCGTTTTGCTTTGAATTCTTTCCTGTACTCATCACGGAAAACGTTCTTACATTTGCTCATTTTTAAATTTAGGCTAAAATAACCACCACCACGACAAAACCTCAGGATCGCCGCACTATCAATGATTCATGCCTAAATGTGCCTTGCTTCTTTGTGTTCCAAATAAGATTGTGTTGCTTTTATGATGCCACAGTAAAGCTTTGGCGATAAAACAAACAACACAAAGCTTCCTTTATGAATTCCAAATATGACAAAATAAGGACACGCAAGCCAAAAATAATGACGCAAGCTAAAAATAAGTCAAAAATAAGGACAAATCTCGAAAATAAGGACGGTATGGTCTCCCTGCCTATAGGCGAACTCAAACATCAAACCACATACGTGATTCCGGATATAGTATAAATGTAAGAGCCGATTTTTCTCTGTGCCCCATGTCCCACCATGGCCCACCTTCCCCTATTGACCAAAAGACTGTCAAAGTACCCTATAAATCGCAAAGACTCTTTCCAACTCATTATTGTTTAAAATTTCAATCAACTATTCCATACAGGACAATCTAGTCGCTAATAAAACAATCCCATTGTGCAAGGATGTTTGTAAGGCATCAGTTGGAAGCTTAGTATGACAAAGAATGCAAATCGGGCCAATTTTGATGCTCTCACTTACAGCCATACAATTATATTGCAAGTACAATTCATTGTACTTTTTAGTCGTATGGTTGTGGTTGTTTGATTTTAAAGATGTTATTAGAACATTGTCCTTTTTGTGTCACGTTTCTGCGGACCGGTAGTATTCTTTCCTCGCGCCGGCAATGGGTCGCGGCCCGGTGGTTGTCGACCACTGATCTATAACATCCAATTAGAAACAGGTTGACTATAAATCTTTTTTAATTAAAATTGAAAAAAAAAAAAACATTTGAATATAAAAACTTTTTGGACACCCTGTATAAGTGATATTGTAATATTTTTTATTATGGTGAGCTTTTAAAGATTGGGCAATAATCAATTAAAACAAAGAAAACACATCTCCTTGATTAGAAAATGTATATATGCTGATGCTAAACACAATTTTTTTTTCAAAGTTTGAAATTTAAAGAATGTACTACATTATTCCAGTCAATATCTTCATTATCGTCTGGAATGTTGCATTGTTTAGTCTGTATGAATTCAAAACTTTGAACCAACATCAATAGCAAAATGTGCCTGCTGTTTTTCAAAATGAACATCTTCTTTTTATCCTATTTAAATATTTCAATGCAGATGAATAATGAAATAAAGGAAGAATTCTTATCAAATATTCTCTAGTTATATCTACTGTAGTTTCGTCATCATTCATTCGTATGTAGGTATGTATAAACTAATAGATTTGAAAAATTGCTGTCTGCAGTGTGACAAAATTTTTTATTAGTGTATATAATACACAAACAAAATTTTACTCTTTACTCTGTCAATAGCATAAAAAAAAAACCTGAATAAATCCCTGCCAAGTCTCTCCATTCTGACTGGAACTGTTTGTAGCAAGTCTTGCTTCTTACAGCACAGTTTTATAGGCTTTGGGTAGGAAATAGCTATATAATGAAATGCATGACATCAGTTTGTTTATATCATGTATAATAAAAACAACTAATAAAAAATTGCAATTAGGATAGCGTTCCATATTAAAAACATCTAAGACAGTTGAATCCCATTGTTATGTACATGACTCAATTTCCATCTATTCTGTCAAATAACTAATGGAAGTAATATTGGAAGCATTGAAATGATATAGAATGATGTGGCCCTACTATCCTGATTTATCATGAAAATCAATATATATAAGGATCAATATTGTTTATACTGTCAAAATATGGGACACAATCATTTGACATAGTGTCATGGAGATTGTTAGCACAGCTTTGAAGTAATCAATATATTTTAATAGCCCTCAGACTCAACTTATTTGGGGTGTTGAAATATCTTTGATAAAGATCTGGTGAATTTTTTTTTTGCTATTCTCTGCTGCCTCTAGTTTTGCGCATGTTTTCCCTTGTTTTGGACTCAAAGTATCATCATCAAATTTTTCCTATGCTCAACCTGACATTTTTATTAGTTTGTTTTAGTAAGTTTAGTGTGTAGTAAGTTTTACTTCAGATCAACTTACTTTCTTGTTTTATATGAATTCGAATGCTGTGTGGTGGCTTGAATGATGTATTGAAAAAGTTGTCATGAACACTCTAAAAACAAAGCGGGTTCGCTTTTCTCCAGAATTGGTACTTTTTCCAGTTTACAATAACTTCTGGTCCTTTCTCACGAAAAAAGTATATGTGTATTAGCTCATCTTAGCTTTGTACAGTGGGGGAATATGTTTAGGGTATTGTAGTAAAGTGCCTTCCTGGAACCGTGTATGGAGCGAAATTTCAAGCATATATTAAGGCAATGTCTCATTTTCTCAATTATTTCATTGTCATATATTTATTATATTGCTCTCATGACTCAGAAAACCTCACAACAAGAGCGACAACTGTTATCAGTATTTTGTACCAAGTTCATCATATCATCCATTTTTGGGAATCAATGAAAACAAAGATACATTAATGATGAAATGAAATCTTCTTTCAAATCATAAAATTATAAAGAGAAAGGATATTTGTTTTCCATTTTCTTATCGGCCATCTTCTTTCTAAGATTTGAAATAAATATGTTATAGTGTGTAATAAATGTGTATAGCTGTGTTATAGTTTCTGATTAACCGGACTAGTATTCAAGGCTGTAACTATTGCACCGAGAGCTTGTTACTTTAAATCTTTCATCAACTCCAGATGTTCAACAGTTTTAGAAGGGTAAAGTTGTACAATGATTCCTTTCTCGATGAGCTTGTTCCACATCAAACTAATTTGGCGAATAGTTGGATTTAAAGTTGGAAATGTCACCCACACAATCCATTCATCTGAAAAATTGTGAGAACTACCGGTAATATCATTTGTATGTAGAGTCAATATTTAAAAAGATTCGATGTAAAATAAATATGTCTTATCTACCCCTACCCCTGAGAGAGGGAAGAATAGTTTAGGTATTATTGCACTTGTAGTCAGTTGCTATTTCCTCAAATTTAACACAAATTTTCCCTTACATATAATGTTGTATTACTTCTAATAGTGAGCTGGCGTTCCTTATGAACCTCCTTGGCTGATTTTTAATGACAATAAAATTTATGGTTTGCTTTTAACATACCGGTACTTGATTCACAAACCTTCACTATCAGGATGTAACTTTCCTGTTTTTTTTTTTTAGAAAATCATGATAATTTTTTACCTTATTACATATATGATGGCTGTTCATTATGATTGAGTTATTTTTATTACTCATAAAAACTATTTACTCGTGAGTGAGTCCACTTTATTACTAATTCTATAAATATTTCTAAGAGTAAATTATTGTAGAAAACATAAATATCAACTCGAATGAACTACGGTAATATAAAAAATAAAAATACCCACAATACCTGAAAAACTGCAGAATGCATGGACCATATAATTCTTTTCATCACATAGAATCAGACTGTCGTCATTGAATAAGGCATCATCTGAATATTAAAAGATGTAATTTTAATATCCGCAATATGTTTACAATAATCGATTGTGATCTGTAAATTCAATTATAAATTACCTATTTTTTTAGCATTTTCATTTATTCTTCGGTCTGGTGTTAGAGTGTGTGAAGCTAAAACAGCTGGTTCTGTAACAAAATATACAATTTCTTATCTAATATATATTTCAATTTCACTATGTACTTATGTTCAAAATTGATACTTCTGCTCATTTCCTCTCTATAAACGCCTGCTCTTTGTTTGATCCAGTTCCTTGTAAATGTTTGAGGAGGAGAACTGAAATAAAGTAGAACTTATGGTTAAATATCTTCAATTACTGAATCCATTGCTGATTTAGTCAAGCATTGCATAATTTGATTCCAAAGAAAATTTTGTTCATTTGTATATGTGGAATTTCAAAATCTCTTTTTTTTTCTATTTTTAATCTTTGAAATCATGTTATCTTGATTTTTTGACTAATAAATTGAAAACTTACTTTTTATGTAAATCTGTGATTAACAGTTGGATTTCTTCATTTGTGTTTGTGAAATTCCATAGCTTTGCACCTAGAACATTTTTTTTCATGACCTCATCGTTGGTGTGCAGCACCAGATACCATTCATTCTCAACCTACACACAACAATATGGTTTGCAGTTGCTTTTGGGTTATTGTACATGCAGTCAAAGTTTTGCTTAAACTCAATTTTAATATCGGCTATGTCGCTTGTCGGAATTTGCACTTTAGTAGAATGTGGAAATCCTCAGACACATTCATTGTGAAAAAATGTATTTGCTTAGTTCCAATGTTTTCTTTTAAAAATGTTTTGGAAAAACTTCACTCCTGAGATAGATACATACATACCTTATCCCAGTCAATGTCTTCATTGTTCTCTGGTATTTTGCATTCGTTTGCATGGTTAATCTTGAAGCTTATAACAAACATTAAAAGTGGAATACACATTTTCTTTATCAAGATTAGCATTTTGTATTCTATGCTGCTAAATCTTAGTTCTAAATACTGCAATATAAAATCTTATCATAACCTGTAAATAAATTTGTGGTTATTTATTCAAATATTCAGTAGTTTGTATAATATTTTAGAAATATTTCATCAATAGCTATGTGCAACTTCAATTGTTATAATGAAAAATGAATAATAAAGTGTTCACATTTGACATACGGTACTTACCTCACCCCCTCAAAATGCAGACTGTTTATTGAAAGCCTTGCATTTTGCACATATACTTGTGTACATGATGATTTCCTTTATTTCCTAGCTGTGTGAAATACGAGATTTTTTTGTTTTTATGCTGTCTGACAATTTAAAACATGCATGCAGAATAATAGTCGCTGTACATATTTTTATATCCAAGTCTTTCCACCCAATCTATTTTTCGTCACATGAAGTTTTTCTATATTTTAACCTACCGTAATCTCTTTTTTTTATCATCCATATATATTTACTACATATTTATTCATCATATATTCTGGTGATCGTGCATTTGAATGAAAGGCTCCAATATATCCACAACATGATATATCTTTTCATACTTTCTATTCAGATAAGTTGTTCATAGGTTGTATATTTATTTTTGGGTACTTTGGGTAGTTTGATGTTTGAATGGGAGGCATTGTGACTTGTGAGTATATTTCCTTACATGGTAAATCATGAAAATCTGTATCATTTTCATACTGCATGGTAGCATATGATAGGTATTTCAGTATCTATATTTGTAGTTCTTAAACACATATTATATTGGTTATGAATATTAAAAATGATCATATTTATTAAACTTGTTACAATAGCGCTGCCCCTTTTTAAAATCAAGACCAATAGATAAGAATGCAGGAGGAGTATGTAAAAGCTAGTTTTATATATGCATGACTTCATGACCTCACCAGATACGAGTCATTCTCAACTCACATACAACAATATGCTTTGCAATTTTTACTGGGTGATATTAAGTGCAATCAGAGCAATCAGATTGTTGCTCAAACTCATTTTCATTAATAGCTGTGATTTGCAGTTTAGTGGAATGCGGAAATCCTCAGACACATTTGTTGCGAAAAAGAATGAATTTGCTTAGTCTCTATATTTGCTTCGACAATGAAATTTCACACCTTAAGTAGATACATACCTTATCCCAGTCAACGTCTTCATTGTTTTCTGGAAATATACATTCTTTTGCCTGGTTATAACGAACAGCAAAGGTGGGATACGCATTAGATAGGGATAAAATGCGTATTTTTTTTGTTTATGCTGTCTGACAATATAGAACAGGGGTGTCAAACTCGTGGGTTTTCAATGGCCGCATTGCATTTTGGAAGTTGTGCAAAGGGCCCCAAACAGTTTTTGATATATTTTGATAGGTTCCATTACATTTGAACCCACGTACATTTGAACCCATGACAATTGCACCTGTATGCTATTGCACCTATGGAATTTTTTTGTTTTTAGGATAGTTGAACCCATACTAACCCTCCCCCATGGGTTTTAGCACCCGCATATAGATTAAACCCGTGGATATACACACGGGTTCAAATGTACGTGGGTTCAAATGTACGGTCACCATTTTGATAATGTATACTTAAAGCATATTTTTAGATATGTGTAGTTTGTGACATATATTGTGATGCAATCAAATAGTCGAATAAAGTTTTATTATTTTCTGAAATTTCAAAATTACATTTACATAATAATTTCTTGGTGTTTCACTATTAGTGCAATTTACTATATTTATTACAAAATTCAAATTTTTGTACAACTGTCCAAAACACTTTTGAACAAAGATTTGATGCGGAAAGAATAATACATAAACTAAAAATGACTGATTCTAAATATATACCCCTAAAATTTACAAAAATACTACCGAATAAACTCTATGTTTTTTTTTATTACCTATGTCATGACGTTTGGCATCTCTTTTGTGCCATTAGCTTACTAATATCAGGCTGAATTGATTTTGCACTACCAACTCTAATTAACGAGGTCACATGATCATCGGTTATACTGGATCATTGAGAATGCTTTAATGCAAAAATATTACATTCATCATTTCATGTATAGATCAGTAAACAAAAGTAATGACTGACTTTTCGGACCATACATTTCCCGCCACATTTTCTACCATTGGCACCACGTGGCATATGACGGTTGGCGTTCGGGTTATGATTTATATATACTAATTTTTAGTAACTAGGTAGTTGTATAATTGTAATTAAATTTGTCATATTGACTGCTGAGCTTATTCTGATTAATTTTAGGTTTTTTTCACGTTTAAAAATTCTCTATACATACGCCAAGTATGGTGCGGTCAAAATCATATTTTTCAAAACATCACAGGGCCAGGGATGGAATGTATGACTGAAAGTACATGATAAACCAATACTAAGCCATTTTAAGGGAGTTTATTGTGGTTGATTTCGGTCTGAGTCACATCAACAATTTTACATGTCTGAAGGACGATTTGCAAATCGATGCTAATTATAGAACTGGCATTTTCGGACAAGCTGGAGTCTCTTTTTCGTGGATTATACAACTCTACTACAGAACATTAACTGTAAAATACTATTAATACCTTATAGAGTCATAATAGCAATAACGCTTACAAAGGGACATAAATAAGCTTTCGAGAGCTGAGTGGTGCTTCTCGTACGTTTGAATGACGACGAATAATTTTTTTATCAGAGGTTTCAATAATAACTCAGATTTATGAAAGACATTTGGATTCGAATAATACCGAGGGGGCCACTTGAAAACTTTTGTCGGGCCACAGGTTGGACGACCCTGGTATAAAACCTAATGTGACTGATGCAGAATTGTGTAAACTGTCTCTCATGTGAAAAATATCCTACCCCTCATGCAGTTCTTTGACCGTCTTAACCATTCCTGTGCTTGTTTTGGTAAAGTTCTGTAATTTTGCATCAAATACAACTTTATCCATCACTGGGTCATCAGTATGGAGAACCAGATACCAATCATCAGGAAACTGTCAATAGAGAAGTACATAAACATATCTGATCTCTTAATATTCTGTGATTGATGTATCTTCTGAAAATAGGGTGATAATTTCAATTCCAACAAAGAACACAAATACTAATTTATGCATGCATATATATATATATGCTTATGTTAATCACATAGGTTTGTATAATACTGATGTTTTGTTACAGAGAGATATATCATATTTTGAGGCACACTATATATCCCCCTTTTTCTGCAAAGAATATATTGTGCTTCTTATAAGCCAGTGTGCCGAATGTATGGTTCAAGTAGCGCTTCATTGTCTATACTCAAAACCAGTACCAATTGTGTCTTATTATAGCATGTATGGGCTTATGTATGGACAAAAACCCAAACTTGATAATTATTGTTTATTCACCTTAAGGTCTGTAAAATATGGTAATGTATTTTCGTTCTGCATTTACAAAGAAGAATTCACTCACAATATTCCAGTCAATATCTTCTGGAATGTTAACATTGTTTAGCCTGAATAAATTCAAAACTTCGAACAAACATCATTAGCAAAATATACATGCTGTTTTTCATTATGAACATCTTCTTTTAATCCTAGTCAAATATTTCAATGCTAGATGAATAATGAAATAATTATTCAACTCAGAATAGTTTAAAGATTTTTATAAAATGTATTCTTCTTCCATCATCATTATGTATCTGTAAACTAAAAGTTCTGGAAAATTACTGTATGCTGTTGACATTTCCACTAGTTTTCAGTGTGACAAAATTTTATACAAATCTTTCCTGGTTACTTGGTACATGACATAAAAACGTCAACCTGAATGAATCCCTGTCAAGTCTCTTCATTCTGACTGGAACAGTTTGTGGCATCTGAGAAATCTTGCTTCTGACATCATGAATTTATAGGCTTTGATGAAAAATGTCTCAAAATAACTGTCATACAAATGCATGGCATCACTCTGTTTATAATATAAACAACTAACAAAAACTGATGCTGGTGAACTTCCAAGACATTTCAATACCATTGCTCTATACGAGTTTTTATGTGCATTTACCTACAGAAATTTCCACCTATTCTGTCAAATAATGATAGTAATATTCGAAGCATTAAAAATATTAAAAAATGCCCTGGCAATGTTATCTTGTGCAATAAATAAAATATATTAAGATCATTATTGTTATTGTTTATACTGTCAAAATATGTGACAGAATCATTCAACACAGGGCCATGAAAATCGTCAGCACAGTTTTAAAGTAATCAATATGTTTTAGGAACTCCTACTCTTAGACCTATTTGACCTATTTTGAAGTATCTTTAATAGAGATCTTGTGGATTTGTTTTTTGATATTCTCTGCTCATGGTTTTTCCACGTGGTTTTCCCTTTCTTTTGGAATCATAAAGTATAAATTTTTTCCTATGCTCAATCTGACATTTTATTAGTTTGAGAATGTGAAATTATGAATGCCTGTTAACTTGTTAGTTTTACTTCAGATTAACCTACTTTCTTGCTTTATATGAATTCGAATGCTGTGTGGTGGCTTGAATAATGTTTTAAAAAAAGTTGTCATTAACAAAAGGTAAAACAAAGGTTCGAAGAAGACCACCAATAAAATACTCCATAAAATATAATCTGATTGTTCATGTAATCCTTTTTTTGTCTGAGAAAATGTAACTGATAACAGATTTTGTGCAAAGCTGACATTATCCCGAACTGCTGTTTTCAGAATTCAATTTAAATTTATTTAATATTCATAACTATAAACTGTAACTCGAGGTAGTCTAACATATTGGTCATAAATTTTCAGGATAACATAAACAAGTCAGTGACTTCGTGTGTATGGACTTTGATGGTAAAGGGAAGAGTAGTCAGTGTAACAAAGTAACTAGTAACAGGGCTATTAAGAAATCACCTTCCTCACTTACTTTATTTACACCATTCTTGGGTTGAAAAGATGAATGCTTTTGAAAGATTATTATTAGGCTAAAAAAATCTATCTTGCCTCTCATTGAACACTGCTGTTCATCAACTCTGGATGCTCAACTTTTTCCATCACAAATGACAAATTTTACAATAAGTTTAGATGTGAGTGGTCAAACTAAATTAATTGACTTAGATATCTCCGAAGATTTTGATAAATTTTGGCATGCTGGAATCTGTTCAATTCGATCTTGTGTTATATCTGAACATTTGTTGCCATATATCTTTTTTCTCGGATTGCCAAATCAAAGTTGTTATTGATGGTTCAATCCTACCAAACATTTTCAATTTTATCTGGATGTCCTTCGGGATCAATCCTTAGACCCACATTGTTTTTAATATTCATCAAAGACATTCCATATAACCTCATTTTCAATTAATCCATTGGACGACGATTTTTATCCTTGTTTTGATGTGAAGTCTGGTAAACATCGTAGTTTGGAACTTGCTGAGTTTAACGTTTTGTCAAGTAGTCGGTATA